ACATAGTGATGCATAGGAAAAGAATTTGAAAATCTTCTTCCAAAGCAAAGCAGGCCATTATTTTTCATATTAATATGGAAGATCCCCAGGTAGGGTAGAATCAAGTCTGTTCAATTCAATACCCCAGGGGATAAAGGGAGGGACCTAAATAGGAGATCAAAGTTAAACATGGTACAATATATGGGATTTTTTTTTTTAAAAACTCGTCTGAAGAATGATGGCAAAACATGATACACTGTAAGTCATAATTATGTGAACATATCCTTAGATAGTATATATTCAAGTAGTTTTCAAATCATGGGACCAGGATTGGGTAGGGCATGGGAGATTGGAGATTAAATTTTGTCATGGGAAAACATGGGAAAAACTTTAAAAATCTTAAAAAAAAAAAAAACAGACTGCCATGATGATACACATCAGTATGGATGCATCCAAAGGTAGGGTAAATTTAAGTTTGTTCAAATCATGCCCCCCGGGGGGGGGGGGGGGGCTCAATAGGTGATCATATTTAAGCATATTACATTTAATATATAGGGAAGAAAAGTCTTTAACATTTTTTTCCTAAAGAAAAGCAAGGGCTTTAGTTTTTCATATCAATATGGAAGCATCCTCGAGTGGGAAAAATTCATTTTTTTTCAAATGATACCCCCACTTTCCGCCACGAGAAGGCGGTAGGGTGATTGAAATTTTACAAGGAAATATTGGGAACATTTTTTAAGTAGTAAAGCCACAGTAAATCATATTTATATGCAAACAGTCTTAAGTTGAGTGGATTTTTTAAAATTTAAATTATGGACCCCGGGGGGGGGGTAGAATTGGAATCAAATTTTACGTAATGCAAGTGTACCGAAAAAAATCATTATAAAAATCTGTTTGTACAGAACATTCATGTTAGTCATATCGCATGATTTGAAAGCCCCCTAAGGTTGTGTGGATTCAAATTTGGTTTTAAAATATTTCCTTTAGGCTAGTTACGGACCACTACAGTAGGTGTCAAAATTATTCATGGGAATAAAAAGAGAAAACGATCTTTTTAAAAATCTCCCTCTGAAGAGCGGCAGGACCGAGGTGACTCAGGTGAGCTCTGCGCCCCTTCCCCCTCCTTGGAAAATGATGCTACGTCCCTGCGACGATAAGATCATCCCCTTACTCCGCGACTCTAGAGCTTATCGTTCATACCACTGTAACCCTTGAATAGTGTTTTAAGAAGACCAAGAAACAGCTTACTTATTCACATATTCAGAGTTCCATATACCACGTTATTTGCTGTATTTTATTAATGTGCTGATATGAAGTGGTCTGAAAATATAACCTAACATTTAGGAAAGTAAATTGCCAATTATAAATAATTTCTATGCACTTTTTACATTTCGGGCACAAAATAATGTGTTGTAAACCATTAAAAAGCTTAAACAACAAACTACGTACTGGTATCTGGAACCTCCTCTTTCTGTATATAAATCCTATGTTTGTTTGTGACAATATTTGGATCCCCTCCCCTAAGAAAAGAAGGGAGACTAAGATTGATGCATAAAGATACATATGTATCAACAATTCCAGAGAGCATCGTGGAATTGCAAATCTTAAATGCGTTCCAAACACTATTATTGCTTTCCAAAAGTTGCTACATGTAGCAGTTAACTGAACTAAAAACAAAGCGATTAAAAGTATAAAGCCCCCTCTTCCTTTGAATAAAACCCGCATAACATTTCTACCATGAACTTTCATAGGAGAGACACAGTACTAACTGGAGATCAAACAGAACAAAGGAAATAAAATTGAGAAAATTATGTGCAAGCGAAAAAAATCCGAGCGAACGAGATAGTATCCTTTGTGAACGACATAATTATTTTTTTCAAGAAATGAGAAAAATATCTTCTACATGTGACAATCGAAAATTCTTGATATCATAATTCAGTTTCTTGATATATAGAAAAAAAATACTAGATTTCAAAAATCATTTGTTTATATCCAGAAATTAGAATTCTAATACCTGTATCAAAAAAATTCTATTCGTATTATAAGAAAACCGGAATTCGGCTAGATTATTTTAAAATCGATTTTTTTTAAATCAAAAATTCAAAATAATGCTGTTCAGGTACGTAAAAAAATGAACCCCGTTCTCGCAGGTGAAGTTGTATAAAAATTTATGGACGATCAAAGTTTTACATAGGAATATATAGGATATGATTGGTCATATTGATAAGGAAGCATCCTCAGGTGGTGTAGATTCATGTTTGTTCAATTCATGACCTCTGGGGGTAGGGTGGGGCCACAATGAAAGTTCAAACTTGTAGGAAAAAAGGTCACAGTTAGTCAAAGAAATATGTAAGCATCCTTAGTCAGTGTAGATTAATTTTTGTTCAGATCATGCCCCCCCCCCCCCCCTGTTTTAGGGGTAGGTCGGGACCACTTATGCATTTTAGCTTTTCAATACTAATCTGATTTTTGCTTTTTTCCTAGCCACAATGCTCAGGTGAGCGATGTGGCCCATGGGCCTCTTGTTTTCGGTTTTTTTGTTTTATTTTTTTATATTACATAATTTAAAATTTATAGTTACAGTAATGAGATTGAGGAGGAAGATAACCAGTTTGGCAGTTTATTTTCAAATCTGAATTCAATATTTCTTGTGTGTGTGTTTGTGTGTGTGTGTGTGTATGGGGGGTTGAGTAGTAGATTGAGGTTTTCAAAAGAAGACCTTACTTGTCATTAGAACCATATTTTAAAGGCATGTATGTAAATGTGCAGTGTTTATTTTGAAGTTAAAATTCTGTGCACTGATTTATACAATGAACATTGGGGGTTAAGGCTTTCTGCCCCATCTTTACTCATGTTGAATTGAGTATAGGATCGGGAAACATTCCAGAAAGCATTAAGTAAAGTTGGCTCTATCTGCTTTACTGATATTTTCTGATATTAAACAATCCAATATTTTTTTGCTATAAGAAAATTATTTTCTGGGACCAAAAATCGATTTTTAGGTCACATGAGACATTCAGTTGACCTATTGCTATCTGTTGGGGCCAGAGGGGTGGGTCTAAAACCACTAAAATGAAAGCAATCTTTAAGACCCTTTTTTTTTACCTTAAGCCATCAAGCAGTTAAACTGTTGGCATAATTGTAATCAGTATATTAAACCCACTACCGATGTATTGAAATTTAAAACCCCAGGATCAGGGGTACTAGAGTTAGGTTGGGCCTCTATTGATTATTTAGTAAAAATGCAGACATTCTTTAAAAAGTTTCTCTCCCTCTGTATACTTAGCAGAAAAACTAAGTGCATGGTTATGATGAGCAATGGTGCCTCTACCAAAATTGTGAAATTCATGGTCCCTGGGTCAGGGGTTCTGGTATTAAGTTGGGGCTCTGTTGTTTATATAGAGAAAAATGAATTAATTCTTTGAAATCTTCTTTTTTGCTCCTGGGCGTTTACCAGATAAACTAAGTACATAGATATGATGAACAAGGATGCCTTTTAAAATTGTGAACTCCATGGCCCCGGGGTCAGAGGTCCTGGTTGTTAGGGTGGGTCTCTAATTAATGATTACATAGTGAAAATATTTGAAAGAAACTTCTCTTTTCCTTGGTTTTCCGCAGATAACTATGTACTAAACTTACGACGAGCAAGGATGTTTTTTTAAAATTATGAAATTCATAGCCCTTGGATATGGGGTTCTGGTGTTTGGATGATAATCTATTGACTTTTAAGTGAAAATATATTGCTTCTTTGAAAATCATCTTCTCTGTCCCTTGGTATTAAATTTCATGGCCTCTGGGTCAGTGGCTCTGTTGTAAGAGCAGGCCCCTGTTTATATAGTGAAGATACATGAATTCTTTGAAAATCTTCTCTGTTCCTAGGTATTTAGCAGATAAACTAAGTGCATAGTTATGGTGAATGAGGGTGCCTCTTCCAAATTGTGAAATTCATGGTACCTAGGTCAGGGTCCTGGTGTTAGGGTGTGCCTCTATTGATTATATTGTGAAAATGTTTTTGAAAATCCTCTTTTGTACTCCTGGGGATCTAGGAGGAAAAAAAAGAGTACAAAATTGTGATAAGCAAGGATATTTTTTTATTTTTTACCAGGAATTGGTGAAATTTTGGACCGCTGGGTCTCGTGTTCTGGTGCAAGGCAGGGCTCTATTGATCTTGTGGTGAAATTTGTATTTAACTGATAGAACTTATTCCCCTTTGCTATTCACCTATGGTAATTAATCAATGTAAATAATTTATCCGATCGGTCAATTAAATAAAAAAACTTTTAACGTATAACACAAAGGTACTTTCACAGTTTTTAATGATAAAATAGACTTGTAAATAAGTAAAATCCATTTCCAAAAGATGAAAAACACCTATTTCATGGTGGTGATGGTGGGGTCCACGTTTTCTAGGGAGGAGGGTTCCAAAGTCATTTTTTATTTGCTTCAGTGTATACTTTTAGTAACTCTGCAAATTCCGGGGGGGGGGGGGGGGGTTCCGGACCCCCCCCCCCCTCAAGATCCGCGCATGCTGCTGATAATGGCAATTGGGAATGTATTAGCACTGACAAGTTAATAAATCTATCTTATGATTTGTTACCGAGCACTACACTATTTCGTTGATCCCTGGTTATCCTATTTCTCTTGATAATGGGTAACATATCTTCATCTATCAGTTTTGTTTTATTATATATTTCTATGGGCCCTTTACAGTGTTGTATTATACTTAGGTGACCTTTAAGGCCCTTGGGCCTCTTGTTTGTTCATCATTTGATTCTTGTGGCGAGGCAATAGATTCTGTGGTTAGTACATTAATTTACTCTGACCTTTCAGAAAATTCTGATAAGAATAGGAAAGGAACTCTCTGGAAATAGGTCACCCAATAATACAAGCCAAATAAAAAGTGGAATGGTATAAACAACACACAACAATAAAATTCAATTTTCTTTTTTAAAATTTATTTAAAACATGAAATTGTGAGGTAATAATGATAACAAATTTCATTGGACAAGTTTTGAACACATAGCAAAAAATAAATTAATATTTAAAAGTACAATAAACAAAAGGGCCAAATATAATTGTTACATTGTCAAATTCATGATTTTATAAAAATATATTTCCACATAATTATATTTCAATAAAAAGGACTAGAGAGACCTGATATTGAACCATAACACTGTGATGATTTCAGAGAAACACCAACAGAAATTGAACCATTAAAAATATCTTTCATCCAAACGAAAAGCAAAAGAAATCTTCAAATGATTTAAAAGAAAATCTCAACATATAAAACAAAATTGGTTGTAGACAATTAAAATCTCTCCATAAAATGATTATATCTCATAAAATCATTATATCTTTGCTGAAGTTCAAAAATTTGAGAATTTGGCAAGTTAAGCATTCATTGCAGAATTCAAGCATCAAACTGTATTCTACCTATACCTTCATTTTTTTTTTTTTTTTAATTTACCAATTTTCAAACTCTCTCTTTGTTAAACATTGCAATGAATTAAGTATCATTAACCTAGTAATTTCTTAAGAGAATTCCGCTTTGTTTTAAAATAAAATAAAACTTTTAATGAAACCAAGACTGATCTTTACAAAGCATCATGACATTGCTTTTCTTGGCCAGATTTGTAGTTTCAATCTTCGAGGTCTAATCACATATTCTGCAACAATCCTTAGACTGTATTCAGGTGTCACATTTTGGTCCCTGCTATCTTTTGTGCATTATATCTGGATTCTTGATCGACAATGCATTTACTGTCTGGAACTCGGTGTCCATCTCACCCAGACTTCACCTGTGTCTACTCACTTATCACACAAAAACTACTCTTCAACAAATCCTACAAAATGTCCTAAGGTCAAACTTCTTCAAGACCGAGGATTTGTTGTGAGGTGTTTGGTTTCTACAAGAGGTGTACACACAACAGAGTCCAGGGATTCTTGAGAGTCCTGTAATGACTGTAGATATTTGACTCGGTGTTTCTCTACAGCTGGACCCCAATCATCTGCATGATGGACCAACTTCTTGATTCGCTATAGAACAAGAAAATAATGTTTTGATTCATTATGGTCACTTAGAAAATGTAGAAACATAAACCGCAATTAAAATGCTATTTTTAAACTTTGAAGGATAATGAATATGAGCTTTTAAAACACCCTTCCTCCTTTAAAAAAAGTATATGATGCTGAAAATTAATATATTTTTCATTACAAGTAAAGATTGCTGAAAATGGATGCTGTGCAATCCAAGGAGGAAAAATATATTAAAGTCCCCAAATAATTTTTAATGCCTCTAAACAATTCTCTAATGTGGATATTCTTTAAAATTATATGGAAACCTATGACAGTTTGTTACGATTTTATTGTATCATTAGATCTTTCATGAATCTCTCTCACATGGAAAAACACTAAAGGCACACAGAAATATTAAATTTCCCTATTGCAAAGATATCAATCAAGCATTAAGTGTTAAAACTGATAAGTTTTAAAAATAGTACACTTACTTGAAATAAATTGCCTTTCTCTCCCAGAATTGCGATTAGTGCACATACTGGAACAGGCACCAGAGAGACAAGTCCAAGCATCCAACCAAACACAATAGCTCCATCTGGGTATTCATAATCTCCGTAGGTCACCGGGCTTAACTGGGTCACACTGAACAACCATATAAACTGTGTAAAGAGAACAAATATGCAAAAATTATGTTTTGATTTAAGTAATACTTGGGATACTATAAAATTTAGCTATTATGAACAAGGTGTCTATAGAGCAGAAATTCTACAAAAGTTGAAAATGCAGAAAAGTGACAAATTCAAATCCAAACTAGAACTGGCCAAAAGGGACAAATACCCCCCGCTGGGTTTTTCAGAGGTGCCAAATCACTAATATTTTATGGATCTAAGAGGTGTTCACAATTTAGAGTGAAAAAATAATTGCTCATTATATTTTTTTTGATGAATGAAACCAAGGAACAACCTAATAAAACATCAATACCAATACATTGTAATTACATTGTTTTTTAAAACATTGAAAAAATAAATTGCAACTATCTGTCATCTTTTTGAGACATGACATTCTGCAAATTGATTGTTGAAAAAAAAATCAATTAATTACAAAATCAAATTAATCTTGATAACTTTATATCAAATTCATTTTAAAAATAAAAGGCTGGTCATCCAGTAACTATGTACTATGACAGACAATAAATTACAATTAAGAGAATTAAGAACAGAGCTGATCTTTAAATTCCCAGGAGATATAGATAACACATGCTTGATCAGAGATGCCCTAACAACTTCCCACACTGAACTCATTAATTTATCTCTAACTGGATGATGTCCACTCATTACTCCCAAGGGACAAATGGATTTACACTATCTGTTGTGTAATGTAAAAATTGTTTTTAATACATGGTGATTTTTTTTGTTTTAATGAATAGTTTTAAGCTGTAGTTCACATTTTTGTACAGATGTTCTAGATATGTCTCAAACCTTAGAAATAAACCCAAAATGACTAAGTCAATAAAAATAAAAAAAAAACCCTGTAAAATGCAGAAAAATTATCAAATAATGTTGAAAATACCAGGTGCACATCTTCATATGGTAAATAATGAGTGTACAAAATTTCATACAATTCTATGAAATAGTCTTTGAGAAAAGGTCAGGACAAAACCACATAATACAAGAGGCCCAAGGGCCTTAACGGTCACCTGAGTATAATACAACAATTTAGAGGATCCATAGAGTATAAAATGAACTGAAAGGTGAAGCTTTGTTGCCCAAAAGCAAGAAAAATAGGGTGATCAGGATCAACAAAATAATTATTCACTGATAGTTTATGAATTAGGTTCTAATCTGTTCCCCATTTATCACTATCACTATACAGTGTATTAAAAACCTATCAGTGCTTCTGTACTATTTTAATTTCTTGCTCAAATCTCTTACATTGGCCTCTCTCGGTCTTTGATGAACATTTAATAAGACAAGTTATTTTTGTTCCATTTTTATTTATCTATTACTTTCAAGTCAGTCTATCTGATCATTAAAACTATGAAAATACTTTTTGTATTATACAATAAAAATTCTTGCTTAATTCTCTTATTCTATTAACCTTTCAAGTACATTGTTTACAGTGATTAATTATCAAAAGTAAATGGCAAAGGGGAATAACTCCTCTCAGTAGAATACAAATTAATAGAGCCCTGGCCAGGACTAGAACACTTGAACAAATGGTCCAGATGTTCAAAATCTGGTAAAAATACCCTTCCTTATTAAAACTTTTAATCTTTTTGCTTCTGATATGCCCAAGTGCAGAGAAAATTTTTAAAGAAATAATGCAGTTTTACTTCAGATTCACTATATTATCAATAGAGCCCCCCCCCCCCCCCCCCACCAAGAAACACTAGAGTCTCTCACCCTGGGACCAGAAGTTTGCTAATCATAAGTAATCACTTTGTTTATCTGCTTAACACTAAGGGGCAGACAGGATTATTTAATAGAATTAATGCATGTTCACTATATTATCAAGAGCCCCACCCTTACACCAGCACATCTGACCCGGGTCATGCAATTCACTACTCTGGAAGAAGCACTCTTGCTCATCATAACTATATACTTAGCTTCTTTGCTTTTTAACCAGAAGCAGAAAAGAATATTTTCAAAGAAATTTTGCTTTTTCACTATATAATCAATAGAGCCCCCCCCCCCAAACCTTTTCACTAGAACCCTTGACCCTGGGACCATGAAATTCACAATTTTGGAAGAGGCATCCCTGTGTATCATAACAATGTATTTAGTTTATTTAAATAGTACCCAGGGGCAGAGAAGAAGATTTTCGAAGAAAAAAATCACCTTCACTATAGGATCTATAATAGCCCCACCCTAGAACCAGAACCCCTGTCCCTGGGGCCATGAATTTCACAATTTTGGAAGAGGCATCATTGCTTATCATAACAATGTACTCAGTTTGTTTCAAAAATACCCAGGAGCAGAGAAGAAGATTTTTAAAGCATTAATGCATTTTCACTATATAATAAATAGAGCCCGGCCCTAACATCAGAACCCCTGATCCAAGGGTTATGAAAATCACTATTTTGGAAGAGTCACCCTTCCTAATATCATAACTATGTATTTAATTAGTTTCAATAATACCCAGGAGAAGAGAAGAAGATTTTCAAAGAAATAATGCACATTCACTATATGATCTGTATAGCCCCGCCCTAGCACCAGATCCCCTAACCCTGGGGCCATGAATTTCACAATTTTGGTAGAGTCACCCTTGCTTATCATAACTACATATTTGATTTGTTTCAATAATACCCAGGAGTAGAGAAGAAGATTTTCAAAGAAATAATGCACTTTCACTATATGATCTATATAACCCCGCCCTAGCACCAGAACCCCTGACCCTGGGGCTATGAATTTCACAATTTTGGTAGAGTCACCCTTGCTTATCATAACTATGTATTCAATTTGTTTCAATAATACCCAGGTGTAGAGAAGAAGATTTTCAAAGAAATAATGCACTTTCACTATATGATCTATATAGCCCCCCCCCCCCCCCAGCACCAGAACCCCTGACCCTGGGGCCATGAATTTCACAATTTTGGTAGAGTCACTCTTGCTTATCATAACTATGTATTTAATTTGTTTCAAAAATACCCAGGAGTAGAGAAGAAGATTTTCAAAGAAATAATGCACTTTCATTATATGATCTGTATAGCCCCACCCTAGCACCAGAACCCCTGACCCTGGGGCCATGAATTTCACAATTTTGGTAGAGGGCTCAATGCTTATTACAATCATGCCAACAGTTTGACTGCTTCATGTCCAGGAGTAAAGAAGAAGATTTTTAAAGATTGCATTAATTTTGGTGGTTTTAGCACCACCCCTCAGGCCCCAGGGGGGCAGGGACCATGATATTCACAAATTTTGTTCCCCTTCTCACATAGATGCCATATGCTATAATTGGCTGAAATTGGTTCAGCGGTTTCAGAGAAGAAGCTGAAAATGTTCAAATGTTAACACACGACGCACGACGACGGACGAAAACAGATAGCAATAGGTCACCTGAGTGACTCAGGTGACCTAAAAATGCAAAAAACACCTGTAAAATGCAGAAAAATTATTCAATCATGATGAAAATACCAAGTGCACACCTTCATATAATGAATAATAAGTGTAGAAATTTTCAGACGAATCTATGCAAAAGTTTCCGAGAAACGCTCTGGACAAAATCTGGTCTACAGACAGACGGACATGGTGATTCCAATATACCCCCCCTAAACTTCGTTTGCGGGGGGTATAATGATGAATTCATTCAAAATAGTTCACATAGTTTATAATTCTGTACGGATCATTCAAGATCAATTAAAGTCATCAGATAGGTTAATCTAAGAAAATAACTACTGGAAGAACTGTAAAAAAGTTATCTCAATGTTCATTGTCCTACAAATGACTAAAACTTACAGTGATAGTTAGGGGTGTGATGAATTTCCAGCAAATCTTCCACCAGATACCAGGCTGATATCCAATCATGAGTTCAATATCCTTGTAGAATCTGTCAGCACCTTCACAGGGGAAAGAGAAAAACTTAACTCAATTTACTGCTATTACTCATATGGTAGATAACTTTCTTTTTGCACAAAGAGCAACAGCAGCACAACTTAATGCTGTTATTCTTTTTTTTTTATATCAAACTGGAAAAAGAATGAGAAAAAGAGATCAAATTTTGTGATATTTTCCCATCTCATTCTTTTTAAATCTTATAATTATTAAAATATTATACTTCCATAAAACTTACCATAGATCCAGGCAATGACAACACATTCAGTTAGTGAGAGCAACATCAGAGAGAATGTGGCACAGTACCAGTCCATGATCTGAAGCACATAGATTCCTCCCTGTTGGAAAAAAAAATCACACTGTATGTAACATTCAGAAAAGACGAAGTGGATAAAGAAATTTTATTATTTTAATTGAATTTTTATTCACAAAACCCAACTGTTTTTCCCGAACATATTTTCTTGAAAAATTGACTTCAAATCTCTAAACATGTGCAATACATGTCCATTCAAAATACCAGTAATAATAATAAAAAAAATCAGCATTTTACTTTGGTTGTGGTATTTGTTTTTACTCTATTAAGAACAAATTTTTTATTCTGCCTGGAAAACCAGATCTCTAAACAGTTCACTCACCTCCATGATGCATGGGATACCCAGAAGGAATTCGATGAAGCAGAAGAAAGCTGTGAAGAGAACTTTCCTGTTCTTCAACAGATGTGGGAACTCATCAACAAAGGCACTTGTCATGGTTTCAAACATTCCAAACTAAAAAAATCGGAAGAAAAATGACAGCACAGGGATCAAAGACTAATGAAGGTCTGCAATAAGAATGATATGTCATTCTTTGGAAGAATTCAGGAAACTTTATTGATTTTTTTTTTTTTGAAGTTCTTTAACATAGAAAGAAAAGTGTTTATGAAGTAAAAGGCGCACTATTTAAATTATAATGTATCCTGAATACTTTTAAGTTCTTAAACAAGCCACAACGAAGATGATTCAAACACATGCATTTGGGATGACGAAGACTGTAGTATTTAATGGTATAGAAGCCACCAAACAGTGCCCTGGTACTGAGAATCTACAGAGCTCTGAAACTCAACAGCCAGTCTATTGATTCTCACACCAAGACAATGCCTGGTAGCTTCAAGTGTCATTACTTCCTTCGTAATTCTGTTAATTTCTTAAGAAAATTGAATATTTTTATTTAATCATGTATGGTAAATCCCCATTGGATTCAGTATTCTTGTTATAATTCTCCTATACTGCATCCATTGGGTATAAACTCTTTTGTAACAAGAAATGAGATTTATTTATTACAATAATTTGAACATATTAAGATGAATGATACAAAGGAAATAAATACGTAATGCAGGGCCTTTATAAAGTTGGAATGTATTGATCCTAGAAGAATTATTTGAAATGTTATATATGCTGGTAGGGTTAATGGTCAAAATTTTGTATCCTGCCTATGGAAAAGCAAGAGACATATGAATTTTTATATGTTTTAATACATTTTTTTTTAATGACTTTTTATATGTTTGAAAATATTCTAAATACCTGAAAATGCTTTTGCTTGTTTACAATATTTACAAAGACCTTGCATGTTTATGTTTTCATAACAGATATACATGTGTATGAATCATAAAAACATTGTGAGAGGTAAAGTTCACAAGCTGTTTTACTTGAAGAAAGAGATTCAAAATATATTTAATATTTACAATCTAATCATTTGATACTTTAGTTATTGAAAAGATTTCTTGTGAACTTTGTGCTTAATTAAACCTACAACAAAATGAAATCTGTTATAACAGTTATGCCCAATATGCATGGGCTTACTAACAATTCTAACACCCCCCCCCCCCCTCACTAAATAATTCTGGTTTTCAAAAACAATTTACACGAACTTAATCGAGTAAGGTGGACTGGACCAAAATTTTCATGATTTCCATGGGTATTTTAATATCTTCATTTCCACTACTCAAAAATGATTTTAAAATACTGTTTTATTTCTTTTAGTGAAAATAATGCATTTCCCCTGCTCATGCATATTGGGCAAAATAAAAATAGGGCAGCTGATTCAGTACATATTAAGTTTGCTATTTATATCACAGTGGACCAGGGTTACCGTGGTGATACAAGGATGAGTTGATCACATGGTCTTCCTGCAACCACATTTGACCACAATCCTGGACAAAAAAGAAACATAGCAGACAAGGTTTCTCATTAAATCTCTTTACCCCAAATAGACCTACAACCCCATTCCCCTTTCCCCTCCAAATTAAGATGGAAGTGTAAATGGATCAAATTTGCCCAAATATGCATTAAAATGAATAAATTGTACAACAACGTTATCTTTTTTTCCAAACCCATCACTTTGCTTTCATAATTCCTCCCTCCCCCCCCCCCCCCCCCCCAGCATCATTTCTTTGTAGGTATAATTCAATTTCCAATATATGCCACCAACCCCCACCCCTTCCCATTCTTTTTAAACATCAGAAGCAACTATGTAAATTTATGCAAGTTACAATCAAGGCACACCTAACCCTTCCAATGATTCTTAGAATAAAACAATTTATTATCAAAATTAAAACAATAACAACTGTACATCAACAGTCCCGCAAACAAACTCAGAACAAAGACTCTCTCTTGCAGAACTTTGCATTCATATTTGATATACAACACAGTACCATCTCTTATTCAAGCTCACTCGTTCACAGAACTTCTCTCTCAGAGGTATGTAAAAGATGTGTAAATATGTCGAGTCTCGAAACACAAGTGAAGAATAACTGATATTTGTCAAATTAAAGTGAAATTTAACAACTAAGTGACAGATTAAAGGTCAACACAAAATATTAGTTCTGCAGTTTTGTTCAACATTTTGTTAATTGGTTAGTACTAACACTTATTACTATAATATTGTTGAATAATTTGCTTCTATTTAAAAATAGATCCTCAGTCCATTAATATTAAGTGCACTACAACTTTTGAAATATTGTACACATTCTTTCACACACCTTCATTTTCTACAGGAATTTATCAACATTCTCTCACACGAAAAAAATCTAAAAGTTTACCTGTGCACCTTGCTACTGCAAGAATACCTCTAGATAATAAAGATTGTTCATTATGCAACAGATCTAAAAACTCAGCAATATGGTCTCTAAATTAAATATAAAAAATACCAAATCATAAAGTTGGAAAATTTAGGAGTTACTTCCCTTTTACTGTGTCACATTCATCTTGAGACCATATTCATGAGTAAAACAGTAATTTCTATTTTAATTTTTCATTTTAATTTTAAAATCAATTACAATGTATGAATATTAAATACTGACAATATGGATGAAAAATGAATGAAGGATGCAAAAAATCTGCTTTGATAAGCAGCCCAACACCATGGAAAAAGATGTACCGAATACATGAAAATTGCAAATCAGCTGTGCAATTGTCTTGATAGACTTTGAAAACTATTGTTTATAAGACATAGTAAATTAACCATATAAAACAAAATTTAAGCAAAATAAATAAAGGATTTAATCTTTATTAAAAAGATTATGAGGACTTGTGGAAAGCAGATTTAAAAATTCTGAATCTCATTTTTGAATCATTCAGCTGCAAATCAACCAATCAGCATTCTACAGCTGAAGTTTCATAATCATAAAATATTATTAATCCAAATACAAAATTACTTTAATTTTTGAAAGCAATTTTCATCACAATACAATTGATCTTTGATTTGCACAACCATTTAACTATTTCTTTTCCCTTTCTGTAAAAACTTTCACAGCTGATTTTTTTCATTGTTAGCCATTAAGATAGTCTGTGTCCATTGAAACATAAGACTATACACTTCCATGAACACAGATTTCATTGGATCATGATTTAATGACACACACTTCCATTTTATACAATAATGAAACCATTTTTTCTCATTTCAAGCCATTTTAAAACCTTTAAAATTGTTCTCGTATAAAAAAAAGCCTACTTAAATTAAGCACATTTTTTTAAATAACGTATTGGATTTGCTCTATTATATATATTTATACATATCAAAACTTTGATTTAAATGTCAGTGGAAAACTTTTTTCCCCAAATGATGTTCATTATTGAGAAGTATGTGTCATCACTTCCAAGAGGTGTCAATTTTTAGTCGACATGCACTAAAACAATTTCTTACCTGACTGTCCAAACCAATGGTGAATAACATCAGAAAAAACAGGACAGCCCACAGAGGGGAGATGGGGAGTTTGGACACAGCTTCTGGGTAGGCCACAAAGGTCAAACCAGGCCCTGAAAGTTATAGGCGAGAATTTTTAGTCATCAATCTACATGCATATATCAATTTTTACAGACTCATTGGTTATATTGTAAATTAAATCACTGGTTGTTCAAATATTGAATATTAAAGTTATTAATATTTATTAGAATTATCTGATACAAACATCGCAAATATCTTTTTTTTCCCCCTAAGTTTCTTCATGCATTTATTACTCCTCAAAAATATTTTCTTCCTCCTTTTAAAAATTGTCTACTCAGCAAAAAGTTGTTGTTTTGTAAAATATGACGTATATATATCTTCCTTAAATGATATATATCACTGATAACAATGGCTCACTTGTAAGTTGTTACTCTTGAATGTAACGTACTTCCCATTTCACATTTACAAAAATAAATACAACTTCCTCACAAACAAAAAAATGCAATCAAGCAATTTCGCATTAACATTTCAACGTCTTTGATGACATCAATAATATACCTACCCTGGGTTACAACTTTATCGATGTCAACACCCGTCTCGTAAGACATGAACCCCAGGACAGAAAAAATGACCAAACCAGCAAACACGCTGGTGCCGCAGTTAATAAGGGGGACAATCATGGCGTCACGGTAACAGTTGTTGTTGAATTTGTTGAAACTGGCCATTGTGATAAGACCTCCCCAGGCCATTCCAACTGAGTAGAAAATCTGGACTGCAGCATCTCCCCATACCTAAATGAATCAGAAAGTTTTCAATTGTTTTGTTTTGTTTTTCATTCTAAAGGAACTCATTAACAAGTCAATTAATTTACATAAACACAACCTTTAAATTAAGACCCCCCCCCCCCCCCCCCAAATTAATATTCATTAAAAAAACAAAGTTTTTTGGAAATTCTATTATGTATTTCTTTTATTGATAATTTTCCTTGTTTAATATAAACTAGAACTGTCCAAAAGGGACAAATACCCCCCGCTGGGTTTTTCAGAGAAGGTACCAAATCACTAATGTTTTCTAGATGTGAGAGGTGTTCACAATTTGCTTAAACATTTAGAGTGAAAATTTTATTACTCATTATATTTTTTTTTAATGAATGAAACTAAGATGTAGCCTAATAAAACATCAATACTAGTAATTACAGTGTTTTTTATTACATTGAAAAAAATAGTTTGCAACTATCTGTCATCTTTGTGAGACATGACACTCCGCAAATTGATTGTTGAAAAAAAAATATCATAATTAATTATACAAAATCAAATTGATCTTAATACCTTTATATCAAACTCATTTTAAAAATAAAAGGCTGGTTCCAGTAACTATGTATTTTGACAGACATAAATTACAATTAAGAGACTTAGACAACAGAGATTTTTATTTCTTTCTGCCCAATTCCCAGGAGATATAGATAAGACCTGCTTGATCAGAGATGCCCTAACAGCTTCCCACACTGAACTCATTAATTAATCTTTAACTGGATGCATGTCCACTCATTACTCCCAGGGGACAAATGGATAATTTACACTATCTGCTGTGTAATGTAAAAACTGTTTTTAATACTTTGTGATTTTTTTTTAGTTCTTAGACTAATGAGTAGTTTTAAGCTGTAGTTCACATTTTTGTACAGATGTTCTAGATTCTATGTCTCAAACCTTAGACATGAACCCAAAATGACTAAGTCAATAAAAATGAAAAAAAAAAAACACCTGTAAAATGCAGAAAAATTATCAAATAATGTTGAAAATACCGGGTGCACATCTTCATATGGTAAATAATAAGTGTACAAATTTTCATACAAATCTATGTAATAGTCTCTGGGAACAGATTCGGACAAAACCACATAATAAAAATGAAAAAAACACCTGTAAAATGCAAAAAAATTATCCAATCATGATGAAAATACCAGGTGCACACCTTCATATGGCAAAGAATAAGTGTACAAATTTTCAGACAAATCCTTGCAACAGTTTTCAAGAAATGGTCCGGACAAAATCTCATCTACAGACAGACGGACAGACAGACCGACAAGCTGATTCCAATATACCCCCCCCTAAACTTCGTTTGCGGGGGGTATAAAAAAAATTCTTCTAAGACTTGTTAAAAAAAATTACTTCAAAAGAAATACATACCTTGAAGGTTGCCAATTTTTCCCATTCTGGAACCAGATAAAAGTATATTCCAGCTCCAGCACCAGGCAAAGTTACCCCACGGATAAAGAGAATTATTAGAACTAGATAGGGGAATGTAGCCGTAACGTAAACCACCTGAAAATGATGAAGACATATAATGTTTTGTGCATTCAATACATGATTTTATATGAATTACTTCATCTTCCATGATAAATATTTCATATTTCTTAAAAATGTTATGCAATATCATCCGCATACAATGAGTGTGTCTTGAATATTTATTCATATCTCATTTTGATGTGCTTGATATTAAGTAAATGAAGCACACACCCTTCCAGAGGACTTAACTCCCTTGCACAAACACAGAAACACGACAATCCAAGCCAGGGCTAGACAGATGAGGAGTTCCCAGCGAATAGTGCCCAAGTCCTCAATTCCTTTTGTGATTTGTAACACTTCATTCCTGAAATAATTCAAATTTTTCTCAAATACAAAATAACAAATGAATATATTAATTTTGTACTTAGTAAGAAAATTGTGTCACAATAGATTTAGTTTTAGACTTCCCCAATCATTTTTTTTTATCATTAACTTATCAGATTAAAACAAATTCTTACTGCCAAAACTCCTCACTAGCTGTGACCTTGTGATCTGATAGCGAGGTATTCTTTATTATGTCAAAGTCTGTGATGTTTACGTCAGTCGCATTGTATCCATCAAGTGTCCCATTCATAGTCGCATTGGGCAAAATACTTTCACCCCGGATATAACAGTTGTCGGTGTTCCATTTATTATCGCATGTACTCCATGGCAAAACAGCCTTGAAGGAGTGGTAGAGGAAATATATCGTCCAGGTTATGATGATGTTGTAGTAAACACAAACAATGCCCGAGATAATGACCATACCATAGCCCACACCTGCAAAACATAAAAGTAAACAACAATGAATGCAATATTGCTTTTAATATTTAATTAAATAAAAGAACAAGGTTCACTTTGGGTCTTTTTTGGCCCTGTGAATTTCAGAAAAACTGAAGCTGCTTGGTTTTAGCTGACAATGCATTAAATATCATTTAGACCTTTGGTGACTGCGTATCTATCAAAAATGACGTAATTTTCTGGCTAGTCAATGCATTATGACGTCATGAAATGCATCATTTTCCTCATATCCTGAAAAATTCCACAAAAACAGCCAATTTTTAAAGGTATTTTTCGATATTTAATATAGAGCGCAACCTCTGATCTAAAATATGCAACTATTAAGTGATAGAACTATTTCTGAGAATTACAAAACATGTTTTATTTTTTAGATCAGAGGGTGCACTCATATTATTTCTCTTCTGTGAAAGTACTCAAATATACTTGTTTTCCTTAAAATTCAAGAACATTGCAATTTCATGAAGCCTGTTTTCCAAGACCTTGGCTTTAAGGAGAAAATATTTAATAGGAAATGAAAGTCTCTACTTTATCTTGATGTTTAAAATGGAACATAAAGTGTTAGTCAATAAATCGGTATATCTACAGGGCCATTATATGCATAAAGTGAACCTAGCTCTTTCAAGACCTTCTTATGATATGTAATGTTTAATTTCATGAACTTTTCATCCTTACATATATAATGCTAACATACTTCAGCCATTTTTCATATTCAGCTCTAACATATATGACAGAATTTTTTTTCATTTTCTCCTTAAAGTTCAAGAAACACATTAAAGTAAATGTAGATTAATTAATTTCTTGTCATTTTTATCCTTCTGTCATATCAGGAAAAAAACTCATTTATTTACTTAAAAGCAGTAATTAATTAAACAACTTCACTAGAAACTTAATTCTTTCATCAAGAAGAAAAGAAAAATTATAAAATATACATGCATCAATGCATATTGATAAATTATATGTGTATTGATTTTTTTTTAGCTGCATGTCTATGTTAAAAGCTAAAAAAAAATATCAAAGTAGTAGTTTTAGCTATACTCATTAATTCTTCCACTACATTTTATGGCTTTGTGTATTTTATCAATATCTATTTGCGTAATTTCTTCATTTATTTTCAAGTACGCAGCGCATTGATTCAATATGTTGTGATGTACTTTAGAAATAATAACCCTCAGCTACCATCGATTGCCTCCACAGGAATTTCTAGAAAGAACAGAGCCAAAATCAATAGAAAAGACTTGTTTGTAAGCCATGTTTTCTTTCCGTACATACATAATCTGTTCTTGACCCTTTTTCCTCTCAACAAAGAAAAAAAAAACATACACATAATTCCTGCTCTCTGTGTGAAACGTAATCCATGATTGTAAAAGTTGTAAAAGCTTTATTAATTCAGGTTTGTGTTTAAATATCTAAATAAATAAAAGTTACAGAAAATTCTGAAAATCTTCAGAGCCCAATGTTTGCTTTTTTATTATTCCTGGGCTTGTTTCCACTGACCTTTACATAACAGTATTTACTAACACACAATCTTGCTGCTCCCTGATGGCTATTGGATAATTCCAATGGCAGGTGTTATGCAAGGGCAGCAGTTTACTAGTAATGCTATAATTAATCCCCCCCCTGATGAGGGAGCAGGCAAGTCAGATGGACAAGGAGAACACATCTCCCACTGATAATACAACAAGGAAACCTAACAAAGCATTACATACCAAGCTTGTAAAAGTACTAGGAGTGGAGCAAGGGGGGTCATTAGGAGCAAGTAAATATTTGATAAATAAATAATAAAGACCAGTTCTTAGATAAGGTTTTCATCACTTTTCAAAGGTGGAAAGCTGCCAACACATGGAACCAATTCATTGGCTTCTAACATTATTTTTTTCTGATCTTCCTATCTAAAGATCAACTGAATACCATGTTATGGTATGTGGGGGCTTGCCTTTTTGATATCTAATTGCCTTACACACATACAGAACTTTTTTTTAAAGCCAAGTATGAATTGAATAAAACTTTTGATGCTCTGAAAGGACATGACCCAATCAATCGCATGATTCGCACCTTGACTAAATCTCTGAATGAATTTAAAGGAATGCTTGGTACAATACTACACTAACAGTTCATGAAACTTTACCTTTAAATAATGGGGAAATTTTCCACACGGTAATAGGGCTCAAGCTGGCAAACTGACCATAGCTGATCTCCAGGAAGAACAAAGGAATTCCACATAAAATCAAGAAAATCACATATGGGATCAAAAATGCACCTGTTAAAAAATAAATAAATAAATAAGTAAAAATTAAGGTTGGAAAACAATCCAAGTAATTTTTTTTTTGATTTTCAAGTACATTGTAAATTAATTGATCAAAAAAGAAGAAGAAATCATTGATTCTTCACCCCCCCAAAAAAAACCCATACCTCCTCCACTTTGGTAACACAGGTAAGGAAACCTCCAAATGTTTCCAAGTCCCACAGCAAACCCCACACAGGACAAAAGGAAGTCCAGTCTACCTGACCAGTTTCCTCGACCGACATTTTCATCCCCGCTCTCAAGGCTACTTTGACTACTTCCAGCAGAAGACGATTCACTATCGTCCAAGGCTTTCTGTAAATTAATTCAAAATGTTAAATTTTGCCCTTTTTTGCAGCTTTATGTATGTGGTGAATACGGAAAAATGTATCCAAAAAAAAGGGGGGGGGGTCACTGTTCAAAACCCAAAATTGGTACATAATTTATTCGTTTCAGTTTTTGTTGCTTTTCTTACTTTTTCAAAATTATTTTTTCTTTTGGTTTACATCTTCTCTATCCTACAAACTCTTTAGATACATGCATAAAAGATTTTTTTTTCATGAATACCTTTCATCAAATCAACGTTTCAATCAAGGAAGTTTAAAATTAAAATATTGACAACTCATTCATTTCCTTGTCACGCTACTTTTACAATACAATTTGAATTTCAAACCAATCAAATATTTCAAAAATATTTGCTTTTTTTTCACTGTTGATGCCTAAATATAAATTATTATAATGAGCGCACTCTTCGTGTGCATGAACAAGGCGCCAATCGATAACTCATCACTTGATGTATAACTCTGATTCAGAGAGAAAATAAGAAAATTCACGAACCTCTTTTTCCCTCACATATTCCTCGTCAACAGTAAAATCACCTTTTTTCTCTGTTTTATTCATTTTGTTACGTGTAATCTAAAATAAGAACAATTCAATGAGCGGTATAGACCATGTGTTACAACAACGTGTTCTTTCCCGCTCGACGGTTTCAGCTTTTCTGAAATCAATTGTGCAGAACAGCATATCTTATTTCATTCTCGGAAAAATTTCCTCTACGTCACAACCTCTTCCGTAAAGGGAAACACGTGTTATGTGTGAAACGCTTCGGAATAGTTCAAATAAAACTATTAATAATATATTTTTTGGCAATATATCAGTACCACTCCTTTTAAATATTCGAATAGTGTATTGTGTAATACTTATAACATGCATAATTGGTATTTAAATGCATACTCACAGATACGTATGTATACACACACAGTTAGTATTATGAGCAAGTTCAAAAGTTAATCTCATTCAGCCGAGTCAAGCTGGAATTAAGATTTTTACATCCGTTCTTGTCTTCCTATGGCATTTAATTGTCATTGGATTAAAAATAATTATGTAACACAAACAGATACATGTAAATATTGACTTTTCCATTCTTCTTAGAAAATTTCGCACGACCTTCAAAGAAATAGAGTAGAAAAAGATTAATAAATGTGAGAGTTTCCCTGGCTGCTTATAAAACAGGACCGTAGGAAGAATTTCAGTTTTTTGTTGTTTTTTTTTTTTTTTGTTTTGTATTTTTTTTTTAGGGGGGAGGGCACATTTTTCAGTTTTGGTGGGCACTATATACCAAGCAAAAATTCCTTGAAATCAAAAAGGAAAAATAAGGTTATCAATCGTATTTCAATATATTGAGTGGGCATGTCCATGAAGTTGTTTTGTTATATATATATATATATATATATATATATATATATATATATATATATATATATATATATATATATATATATATATATATATATATATATATATATATATATTAGTATATATCTATATATACATGTATATTGCACAAACAGTCCAGTTTCTTAATTTATTTTTCTTAAGAATAGTCTTTTGCTGTATTAGGATATAAATTTTAATTTGAAGACTAGTTGCCCCTCCCTCGTTTCTTTATGTTGCAGTGAGGGTTTTGGACTTTAGGATCCCCCTTTATTTTGCTTGTCCCCCCCCCCTTTTCACATACACACACAAATGAAATAGATTTTTCGAGTTAGGTGAGTTTTATTTCTTATGTTATTAATTATAATTTTTCTTGTCAAACTTTTTTTTCAGTTTAATTCAAAAACGATGCTTTGGTAGGTGTCTGTCACCCATTCCACCGTTAGGGCTGTACAGTTATACTGTATTTATGACGATACCGAACATTCTTATTTTTTCTCTCATTTCCAGCTGTCTGATCGACTAAATTAAACATAGGTCACACGATTAAATTAAAATAAAATGCATATTGAACCCCCTCCAATAAATAAATAATTTCAAAAATTCAATGCATGATGTTGCTTGAAATGGAAATAATTTTCTGTACATCAACAAAGTGATGACATTACATTAGTTGACTTCTGAATGTATCTATATGTAAATGATCCAGTCAATTTATTGAAAATAGTGGCCTAACGTCAAACTAATTGTAACAGAAATTATTTTGTGATAAATAAAATCTAACATATACAATCAATATGAAGTGAAAATCGAAGAAAAATCTTTTGAGGAGAAACCATCATTTTGGCACCTATGGGGATTACTATAGAAAACTGGCACAACTCTGTAAATTCATCAAATGTTTTGCTGAAAAAAGGGGAAAAAGGTTTCCGTTATATGTCGGGTACCTGGGGTGGGTTCTCCAGTCCCCAAGTACCTGTGAACCGACATTCATGACTCACCATTGCTGGTATGTGCAAAAACTTTTTATTTAGAAATTTCACTCAACAATTTTAAACTGGGGATTCAAGGTTCAACCTTTATCTTGAACTTCTACAGACAATATATGCAAACACATACATAAAGTTGAACTGTCCCGTTTTCCATGTAAATGCATCCAATTAGCAGTTGTGTGACATAAGGCCAACAGTAAAATTTTAGATATTTCAAGAATTAAATAAACATAATTCAAATCTATTATCAAATGTTGACAGATGAATGTGAACAATGTGACGTATTTTACATAACTGCTGACAAACATATGACAACACACATATCTTCATATGACAATATGATAATATCATGAATATGGGCAACATACTAACTAAAAAACGTCAATGTTTACAGTAAAGAGAAGAAATGCATTATTTATGAAAAGGAAAATTTTATGTTTAGTTAAACAATATATAACCCTCCCCTTTTCTCAGGAAATAAATACTTAGTACAGCAAAATAAGAGGAAATAATGAATTTTTAAACTGTAAACAAGTATATACAACTGCTAAGAAAAACAATGCATATCTTTACTTCATATGGCATTGCATCTTATGGCAATTAAACATGACAACTAACGCACATCTAGAGGATTAATCTAAATCCCACTTCACCGACTTGATAGTTATGACGTCCCAAGAATTTCTGTTTGTTGATGAATTGAAAGAATTATTATGGCTACGGTGTATGTACGCGTTGATTGCTTCCCATGAACATTTTCATTCTAAATATAAATATACAGATCAATTTGAGATACAGATCAATTTGAAGGGAAAAAATGACTTTGAATTATTATTATTTTTTTTTATAAGAGACGATAAAGAATCATGGAATGCATTGAATATGCATTGAAGGTTAAAATTAATTACACAGTTTCACGATGATACTTTTATCATAAGGTATTTTAAAGATAAATATTATTCACACAGAAAATCTAATAAATCAGTAATCCACTTTCTTTGAAGTAATTTTTCCCTATCTGATAAATAAAACGTATTTCAGGGACTTTTAGAACCAACTCTATGTATTATTTAGCCATATACACGTACTAAAATACAGACATAATTAATTTACCAGTTATTGAATCAGTTAATAAATACATCTGTTGAACATACACTGAAATATAGTCTTAGTTTAAGATAATTAGGCTTTAAATGTACCAGTTATTTTCAAATAATTTAATTTTGTTTGTATTCTAGCCTCTGATTGGTTAATATCCAAAAAGGAACACAAATTATTTCTGTATAACCTGGTTTGGTATGGGGACACACCCCCCTGACAACCAGCTGAATCGTCTGTATCCATGCAATGCTCTCATTTCCAGTCCTCGGGATTCATGGAAAATTCCAGATTTAATAAATGTACCTTTAGCTTCAAACAATAACTCGGATCTTACCACATGCAAACAAAAAACATGGCTGCTAGGACTATGTATCAGTTTTTACCTCCCCTTGCTTCCCATCACTTCCGTTACTAGGGTTGTATTATTGAGCGGCAAATTTGAACTAATAAAAAGCAACGAAATTTTACACCCACAGTTGTTTAATGATTTTAGAATTAAATTATAAGGAATGACTCTAATTCTTGGCCAAATTATTCGAGTATAACCTGGTTTGGGTCAGTTTACGCTGTTTTATAATCCGCTTCGCGGATTATAAAGCGTAAACTGACCCAAACCAGGTTATACTCGAATAATTTGGCCAAGAATTAGAGTCATTCCTAAATTAGATGTTTTGTTGATCATATTGTATAATTCTGAAATCCTTCATAGTCCAAGATAATTAGGTCAAAAACTGGCTAGTTATTTCCAGTTATTAAAATAAATTAAAAAAATGTTATATACTCAATACAATAAAACATGCTTATAGCGAAGTGCCAGCTAAGGATGGACTAGACGGACTTTGCTTCGTTATAAACGTAATTCATTATTTAAGGAAAGTTAAGCAGATTTCCTGCAAAGGAAGTCCAGATACCGGTTCCAAGGGTAATTTTCTTGTACCTGATGATGCTGAGCACTGCAAATAAGTATAGAAAATTCAAGGACTTTTTGAAGACAGGCCCGTAGTAACGGTTTCAAAAGTGAGGGAGGGGAGGCAACTTCCCCCCTCCAAAAAAAATCTGACGAGCAAAAAAAAAAAAAAAAAAAAAAAAAAAAAAAAAAAAAAAAAAGGGAGGGGGTAATTTACTGTCCGAATCCTGAAATTTGCCAGTGCTCGACCTTTAAACATCAAAAAGTGGGAGGAAGGGGGCCAACCAGCATCTAAAGGAAAATTTACTAAAACGAAATAGTATAATCAGAAAAGGGGGTGGGCCCCCTGGCCTCCCACGTTCTACGGGCCTGGAAGAAAGGAAAGTTTACAGAGCTTTGCCATCCCCTATACTCCCTAGATCTCAGCCTTATTCCAAAAACGCATGGAAACAATCAGCTCTGGGAAGTGCTAGTCATCAGTGTCTTTTGGGCATCCCTAAAGATGAGTATGCAGAAGTTTTCTGATCATGGGTACAAAGACTTGAGACGTGTTAAGGGTAACAGGGGATACTTTGAGGGATTGAAAATATTAAGAATGTGTTTTACGTACTAGGTTTAATTCTTATTTTTGAATGACCTTTTTACATAATTATTGAACGACCCTCGTATTTTTTGTTGCTAAAGTCTGGTTGATTTTATAGGTACATGTGTCTTTCCACTTAGAGAATTACACGGGGAGTGCCTTATTATGATCATATACTGAAATCGGTCAAAGTCCCAGTCAATTCAGCTCTAAATTATGGTTTTCACTTATCTCCTGTGGAAGCCAGGACCTATGGTGATGGAATTTATATACCAGCATTTTCTTACCTGGGAAATTGATATTAAATTAACTGACAGAGAAGAACTACCTCATGAGAAAGTTGATATAAAAACACATCATAACATTATGAAAAAAATTACAAAGATTATTATGATAAGACATTTTCTCACTTTTTCGATGATTTTTAATTGTATTTGTGGATTTTCTTTATAAGTACATATATTCACAATCTTTAAAATCTTTTCCAGAAAAATAGTGAAATGCATTATTTGTCCTGTAGATTCACAGAAAAACCACGGAAGTTTGTCCAATCTATTAAGCTTTATTCAGAGTCTAGTCTATCAGCAATGGAATAGCACTGATGCAGAATTTAGTTGTTTAGTCAAAGAAATCCATTAAATGTCACAAGATTGTATCTTTTCAATCAATGATCAAGCGTCTGTTGAAGTCTATGTGTATTGTCACAACTCATTACATCATTAATAATAAGCTTTGTATGGTCACAACCCAATTGTAAAGCAAAGGCACATGCACTGGAAGTTCATAACTGTTGTAACAATCCATTGCATGTATATAGACACAGTATACATAGTATTTCTTTGAAGGGTCATCCACTCAGCTCCATTGTCCTTATCCATTAGGTAGACTGTTCAATCAAGGAATGCTTCCAGTCAATATGGAGGAGCTCTAAATGTGCTTTAGCTGCAAAATGAAGAAAAAAAAATGATTGTCCATTATATATATCAAATTTATAACTCTTTATTAGACAATGCAAATTGTTGTCCTGATTTTTCTGCAAGATGCGTTCTTTTACTAATTTGATTATTTTCTACAAATTAAGTAATACTTTTCTCTACCTATAAAGTACTCTGAGATGTAGGGAGGGAATCCCCAACTTGCTAAGCCTTAAGCCTATACCTATGTAATACCTTGGAATACAATCACTGATATAACTACTGCAAATCTCTGCAATACCTATGTAATATCTTTACTTATATTCACAGCAATTACTAATTCCATGAGTAGGTGAGTACCCTAGGTACCTAAGTAGAATCCTAGATTCCATTCACAGCTATAGCTACTGCCCTGAGGAAGATAAGTCCCTAAGTACCTATGAAATACCTTAGATCACATTAACTGTTACAGCTACTACCCTGAGGAAGATAAGTCCCTAAGTACCTATGATATACATGTACCTTAGATCACATTAACTGTTATAGCTATTTCCCTGAGGAAGATAAGTCCCTAAGTACCTATGAAATACCTTAGATCACATTAATTGTTATAGCTATTGCCCTGAGGAAGATAAGTCCCTAAGTACCATGAAATATCTTAGGTGCCATTCACATTTACAGCTTTTGCCCAGAGGTAGGTAAGCCCCTAAGTACCTTAGTATGTGTAGTACCTTAAATTATATTCACAGCTATAACTATTTCTGTGAATAAGTGAGTCCACTATGTACCTATGTGGTACTTTGGATTCCATTAAATGCCATAGCTTCTGCCCTGAGGTAGGTAAGTCCCTAAGTACCTATGAAATACCTTAGATCACATTCACTGTTATAGCTACTACCCTGAGGAAGATAAGTCCCTAAGTACCTATGATATACCTTAGATCACATTAACTGTTATAGCTATTGCCCTGAGGAAGATAAGTCCCTAAGTACCTATGAAATACCTTAGATCCCATTCACTGTTATAGCAACTGCCCTGAGGTAGGTAAGTCCCTAAGTACCCATGAAATACCTCAGATCACATTCATTGCTATAGCTACTGCCCTGAGATAGGTAAGTCCCTAAGTACCCATGAAATACCTCAGATCACATTCACTGTTATAGCTTCTGCCATGAGGTTGGTAAGTCCCTAAGTTCCAATGAAATACATTAGATCCCATTCACTTCTATAGCTACTGCCCTGAGGTTGGTAAGTCCCAAAGTACCTATGAAATACATTAGATCCCATTCACTGTTATAGCTACTACCCTGAGGTAGGTAAGTCCCTAAGTACCCATGAAATACCTCAGATCACATTCACTGTTATAGCTACTACCCTGAGGTAGGTAAGTCCCTAAGTACCCATGAAATACCTCAGATCACATTCACTGTTATAGCTACTGCCCTGAGGTTGGTTAGTCCCTAAGTACCCATGAAATACCTAGATCACATTCACTGTTATAGCTACTGCCCTGAGGTTGGTAAGTCCCTAAGTACCCATGAAATACCTTAGATCACATTCACTGTTATAGCTACTGCCCTGAGGTAGGTAAGTCCCTAAGTACCCATGAAATACCTCAGATCACATTCACTGTTATAGCTACTGCCCTGAGGTTGGTAAGTCCCTAAGTACCCATGAAATACCTTAGATCACATTCACTGTTATAGCTACTGCCCTGAGGTAGGTTAGTCCCTAAGTACCCCTGAAATACCTCAGATCACATTCACTGTTATAGCTACTGCCCTGAGGTTGGTAAGTCCCTAAGTAACCATGAAATACCTCAGATCACATTCACTGTTATAGCTACTACCCTGAGGTTGGTAAGTCCCTAAGTACCCATGAAATACCTCAGATCACATTCACTGTTATAGTTACAGCCCTGAGGTTGGTAAGTCCCTAAGTACCCATGAAATACCTCAGATCACATTCACTGTTATAGCTACAGCCCTGAGGTTGGTAAGTTCCTAAGTACCCATGAAATACCTTAGATCCCATTCACTGTTATAGCTACTGCCCTGAGGTAGGTAAGTCCCTAAGTACCCATGAAATACCTCAGATCACATTCATTGCTATAGCTACTGCCCTGAGATAGGTAAGTCCCTAAGTACCCATGAAATACCTCAGATCACATTCACTGTTATAGCTTCTGCCATGAGGTTGGTAAGTCCCTAAGTTCCAATGAAATACATTAGATCCCATTCACTTCTATAGCTACTGCCCTGAGGTTGGTAAGTCCCAAAGTACCTATGAAATACATTAGATCCCATTCACTGTTATAGCTACTACCCTGAGGTAGGTAAGTCCCTAAGTACCCATGAAATACCTCAGATCACATTCACTGTTATAGCTACTACCCTGAGGTAGGTAAGTCCCTAAGTACCCATGAAATACCTCAGATCACATTCACTGTTATAGCTACTGCCCTGAGGTTGGTTAGTCCCTAAGTACCCATGAAATACCTAGATCACATTCACTGTTATAGCTACTGCCCTGAGGTTGGTAAGTCCCTAAGTACCCATGAAATACCTCAGATCACATTCACTGTTATAGTTACAGCCCTGAGGTTGGTAAGTCCCTAAGTACCCATGAAATACCTCAGATCACATTCACTGTTATAGCTACAGCCCTGAGGTTGGTAAGTTCCTAAGTACCCATGAAATACGTTAGATCACATTCACTGCTGTAGCTACTGCACTGAGGTAGGTAGATCCCTAAGTGCCTACGAAAAAACTTAGATCCCATTCACTGCTATAGCTTCTGCCCTGAGGTAGTAAGTCCCTAAGTTCCAATGAAATACATTAGATCCCATTCACTGCTATAGCTACTGCCCTGAAGTAGGTAAGTCCCTACACACTTATGAAATACATTAGATCCCATTCACTGTTGTAGCTACTGCCCTTAGGTAGGTAAGTCCCCCTATGTACCTGTAGTACCTTAGATTCCATTCACAATTACAGCTTTTGTCCTAAGGTAGGTAAGTCCCCTAGCTGCTCTGTCTCCTGGGACATCTCTGATAATAGTTGTGTCTTCCTTCTCTCCCATTCCAGAAGCCTCTGTCTCTCTTGTTCTCTCTGAGTAACCTAAATACAGAACCATGTACTAAAATGATTATACAGTCATGTTAATTCCTTTATTTATATTAAAAAAACATTAATAACACCAATTTTAAAACTGAGAAACAGTATTTACAATCAATTGATATTTTTCTTGTAAACTTCATACACAAACAGGAGGCCCATGGACCCTGACGGTCACCTGAGTATCAATTATTTATCAGGCTAAACTAGGCACACCTGGAACTAGAACTTTGGATTTATGCAACACAGATTTTATTCTTAGGTGAGGACTTAATCATTATTGTATTCAAGCAGCATGTCTCCTAGATCAGTATAAAGAAGATAAGGTGTACTTTGTAATAATTAAAAAAATGACAAACTTAGTAGCAGAAATGTTCAAATGTTTGCACATGAGGCAACTATGTCAAGAGATAAAAACAGCAATAAGTGACTCAGACAACTAATAAATCAGCTGCATTTATATGTAAATAAAACACAAACAAGAAATCATGGTTATCAAGTGCTTAAAGAAAATTGATACTAGGCAGTTTCAGTTTGTATACGCACCTATGCACATGTTCCATTTATTGCACAGTGAAGTGCAATAAAATGATTTAAATTTATGCATGTACTTTTACTATACTTAGTTTTCTAAAGTAGATAAAATTGATACAATTCAGAATTAAAGTTTTTAAAGTCATTTTTTAAACAGATTATACAGTACCCTCCTTTCCTCCACCATTTTTTTCCTTTGGATTTCTCTCTCATGTTCAATCTGTATTTGCATTTCAATCTGCTTTTCTAATTTTTCTAGTCTTTGCCTTTCCTTTTCTTGCCTATATGACACACAAAGTATTTTTTTAAATTTACTAATAAATGTACATAATAATCAGATAACCTCCTAAATAATCACACATAAACTTCATTATTATAAATTAATATTCACAGATTCAATCAAAAGTTCATATGAGTAACACAAATATTCCCTTTTTTAGTGTCTCCCTCTTCACATGGCCTTTTCAGTCATCCCTTCCTCCCCTTTCTCCCTCTCCCTCTGTATGCTGTGCTCATCTCTCCTCGCTCTCCCCTTTTCTCATGTAGTTTCCTCTCCATGTTGCCCTTGTTCTACCCTTTTATATCTAATTCTCACCCTCTTCTCTTATTTAACCCAGACCCCATCTCTCTCTCCATATTTCCTTTCCCTCTACATACTGCCACTCTCTCTATCCTCTCCTCACTCTTACTCCCATCTATTCTTTCCTCAATTAACTAACTCCCTATTCTCTTCTCTTTCTTTCTCTCCATACACATATTGCAACCCCTTCTCCCCAGTTCCTCTATACTGCTACCCACCTCTTCTCACCTCACTCTCTTCTTATTCTCCAGGCTTTTCCAACCCATCCCACAACTCACAACACATTCTCTCCCTTTTCTTCTATTTTTTTTCCTATCCAAGTACCCCTTTCTTTCCCCCACTCTTTTTCTCCTGTCTTTCTCTCTTGAGAATTCCCCTCCTCTCTCTTGACTTCATTTGCTTTTTCTAGTTGTCTCCACATCAACTTTCATTCCTTCCCCCTCCCCCCCCCCCCACCTCACCTGACTCTTTCCCTCTTCTCCTGTTCTATTCTTTCCCTCTCCATGCTGGCTGCCTTTTCCTTCCTCATCTGTTCATTTAATATCTGTCTGCGTAGTTCTCTTTCTGCCTGATTGATGTCGAAATTCTCCCTTGAAGAGGGCTCTTTTGTGACTGCTGATGCAAATTTAACAAAGTTTTGATTGAAAATTTTAATATGCAAATTTAACAAAATTTTGATTAAAAATTTTAATAAAACTATATCATGCAAAAAAAGAGGGGTGAGGGATACTCTTACTACTACATTTTTTTTTCAAAAAAATTGCCACTTGTGTCACACAGGTATGAATTAAGCATCACCACATGTATTTCTCTATAAAATTACACATATAACTACATGTATGAGTAGAAATTTTGCTATTGTAAGCAAAAGTATATGTCACAATATTTTAGGTGTAACAATAATGATATGTCACCCCAATTTTCCTTTAGGGTGACATAATTATTGATCAGTTAGCTGATGCATCGCAATATACCAGTAATGTCTATGAGAGTCATAACTGTGTGATACAAAGATGCTCCGTGTGATATTATCATATGAATATGTATGATTATGACTGAATAATTTACAAATGTACCATTTAAATTATTTGACCATGCAAATAATCAAATATGATCTATTTAAATGAATAATAATAAATAAAAATAAATTTACTTATAACAAAAATCAAAAGAAAACACCAATGATAAATTCTTTAAGACATGCAAATTTATTAAAAAATTTCATAAGCATATTTTCATTTTCTGTAATGTTGAAGCTAAACACAGTCCATGATAATCACATCTCGCTAAGACCAACATATGTCATCATAGGGAAAATCTGGAAAGACAACATGAAGTGTTGATGATGATGATGATCAAACAAACAATGTTGCATGGTTACATTTAAAATAGCCAGAACATTAAATGTTGGGCTGCAGTCTCACCATATTGTGCAGTTTCTGCCATTTAATACTTTAATATTGCTTGACACCAAATACAGTAAAAAACATGCTTACAATGAAGTGCCAGGGATTGAAGATTTAGCTTCATTATAAATGTATTTCATTATATCCGTTAAATTCACAATCAAACATGTATTTCAAAGCCACAGGGAATGAAAAAACACTTTGTTGTAAGCGTCAATTCATTATAATTATTGTGTTCAGTATAAGCATGTTTTATTGTATAAATTAAAGTAAATTCTAGAAACTGTATAAAATGACCATCAACCTTGCCATGACCTTAAAATCCAGAGCTGTATCTACATGTATGTGACCACTGAAATATCTTCAATAATTATATTTTCCTATTCTAAGGTACTTACGCCCTGACTTATCAGTTTCTGGCATTGATCTCCCATCCTCCTCTGTTGTGTCTGCCACTGTGTCATATTGTGGGGGTGGGGGTGTGGAATCTTTGCCATTAAATTTACTGTACACATCTGTCCTTCCAGACTCTAAATGTTTTTCAAAAGAATTTTGTCAATGTAAAATAATAAAGAATCAAAGACTTATAAACTTTTTTTTCAATGAAATACAAGAGATTTTACCAATATTGATATCACTTTCCATATATATAAAAAAAAGAAACAATATTTCTGAACAAAATCTTTTTAAAAATGATCAACTCATATCATATTCATTTGATAGATGTAACTCTGTTCTGTGTAAGTTGAATTCAAATGAAAGTTGGGCACTTAAAATGCACATCTCCACCAACCACAGGCCTGTAGAATGCAGGGGGAGGGGAGCATTTCCATCTTACCCTTTTTGGAAAATTATCTTTTGCTTAATTTTTAATAAGAAAATGTGCATTTAACATCCCCTTCCCCCCCCCCCCCCCAAACTATTGTTGCAGTAATGCAAAGAATTACAAATTACCGAGTTAGTAAAAGATTCTAAAACACCCCCCTCCCCCATGAAATAGGATTTTTTTTTCAAGTTTTTTTTTTTGAAATTGTCTTTTTTTTGAAGGGCTGCCCCCCCCCCAACTTTGAAAACATTGCTACAGGCCTTAATTTTTCATAATTTAAAAAAAAAGAATTACTTTGATTGTTGGGTAGTATATCTATATTAGTTTTATTCAGAGGAACCAGTTCTGGTGGTAGAACAGAGGGCAGTTGTCTTCCTGTTTGTACAAGGTCTGCAAGGTGCATGGCTAGACAAAACTCCTCATATGTTAGCTTTCCATCCTTGTCATAATCTGCCAAAGTCCTGCAATATACAGTTGTAATTATACAAGAACATTCCATGTCATTCAGAAATATATGTGTGTGTGAGGGTGTGCTGTTATTTTTATGAAATCACAAAGAAAGCAACCCCCCCCCCCCCCCCACACACACACACACATGAGGTACTCAGAAATTAGAAATTGATATCATTCTTGACAGCAGAAAGGTATTAACAGATTGATTATACTTTTAATTAGACTTTTCTTTGTTTTCAAAGCACAAAAAATTCTTGCTGTTATAATTAAATTGATAAATACAGAACTGTAAGCAAAATAAAAATGTACTTTAAAATAACTGACATCTGAATATGAGATTTTATGCTTTAATATTATGAACCCCTTCCATCCAATAAAAGATGTCCAACGTATGAATTATTTTTTTTATTTTATATAATTCAAATAAATATTTTACCATATTTGCTTCAAGACTGGTTGTGACAATCTGGATTGAATCTGTACTGGTAAATCTGAAGTGAATGCACATTGAACGAATGAAAAAAAAAATTAAAGGTTGTAATTATAGCTGCAGATCTGTATCTCAGTCTAAAAAATGGGATGGATGACCAATTTTTTTTCAGACCAGTGAGCCACAGTTGTAAAGTGATTTTAATTGTCAATGACACAGTTTATTGTCAATATTAATTGTCATGTTAATTATCTAAGGGTTTAAAGATCTCGAAAAATTTAAATTAGGGTTTATTTACCAGTATTGTGTTGATCTTTCTTTGTGAAATATACCTGTCCAGTGGGCTCTGGCATTGTGGGTCCTGATTCATCTAAAAACGCAAAAGATTGTTTCAATAATTAATTTGCTAAATCAACTATCTTTACAGTATTTTGAAATTCGTAATCATGCACCTAATACTGTACACATTTCAAACATATAATTGTAGAATATCAAAATCTCTGTTTAAAAAATACGCGCAAAGATATTTTTTCACCATATCTTATTAAAAAAAAAATCAAGGTTCCGCCTTTAGAATGCTATAAAGTTGTTATGTTTCAAACAGACGTATGGCAAATAGGATTTTTACCCAATCATTTTAATAAAATTTTGGCGTCTTGGTCATTTTTAATTTGTTTTAAACTTTTAAATTTCACCGAGGAGCGATACTGAAGAAATTATTTTCTGTTCTCCATTCCTTTAAAAATTTTAATTCTAAAACATCAATGAGAGAATTTAGAAATACCTGATCTATAAATGTACGTTTCTACTATTTCGCAATGCCGAAACAGTAACACCATATGAACACTGTACCTGTCGAAGAAGCAGCACATCCCATCTTTCATGTCTTTAGGTTTTCATTTCACTTTGAATTTTTCGTCCTAACATCAGATTTAAATCGTCAATTTCAACTCTTTCGTCTGTGATGAGGATTAATTGACATTACACAGATACAGGGAGTATAACTGTGGTCAATGTGATGTAAACAGTGACCAGTAACCTTTCCTACTAATCAATTAATTGACGACTGGTGTGTGTAAAGGGCAATAACTCTGTCAGCTCTATTGCTTTTGGTTAACGTGCAACGCATCGATCTGTGTCTCTAAGATGAAAATAAAAATTCCTTTGAAATACACCGAGATATATGTTATTTGTTTGTTTGTATTTTCTTGAAAATAAAATTATCAGAATGTATGGTGTTGTTTTAAAAAAATGTCAATGTTTGAAAGGTAATTTTGCTTCAATCAGAATTTTTCCAGCGCAAATTTATAAGAATGGCAGACATTTTAATACCTTTATTTTTTTTTTCTAGCATTGCATGATAAAATAAATTATAATTTTTCAGGAAAAAATTCCTTCTCGAAAACTGCAGAACTCTAATATTACTTTTAGACTCCCCCCCCCCCTTCTCTCTCTCAAATGAATAAATAAACAGAAAATCTGCCACTTTTTTCAACTTGTTCAGTTATATTCAGTCTATGTATTTCAGATACATGTAGATACTACACACTTTTTCAACTTGTTGAGTTTTTCACACATTATCTCTAGTCTGTGTAAAGGGTACATTTAGATATTAGTATCTTTAAGCATGTCCAAATACTAGGGGCAGATCTAGAGGGGGTGGGGTCGGGGTCAGGGCCCTCCTGGAATTGGCAAGAGTTATTTTAAAATTTCTAAGTAAAAGTAACGAAACTAATGACCTTGGAAACCCCCTCCCCACGGAAACAGGGACCCCTCCCGAAACGGTAAGGAGAGTAATGTGTTTGAAGAAAATTGACTTAGGAAAGTGTCTTAACTCCCCCCCTCCCCCTCCCTGAAATAGGTTTTCAAGTTTGCGTATGTATTTTTTTTTTTGGTCGAAATATTTTTACACTTTTTGTATTGTACAGATTGATAAACTTATGCATTTCCTTTATTTTGTCTAATTAACAGAATATTCCCATGACACGATTTTACGCGTATATGTTTGAAAATATTTACATCGAAGAGCACTCAAAATATATACATTCCGAGCTATCAGAATACAGAAAAAAATATGAATGTTTGTTTTTCAACATCTCTACAATAAAATATCAATTAAATTAAAGTTGTTGTTTTTTTTTAATTATTGATTTACTGTTTATTTTGAAGTACTTAAATTATCGGTTCGCTCAGCTGATAAAGTGTTATTAAGTAAAAAGTCATCATTACTGTTGGTGACATCGCAATTAGAGAGGTAGATACTACAGTATTACTCGATAGATATATATTTTCACCGGCCTAATATGTTTTCATTAATTGAGTGTTTTCATATAATAAGAAATAAATTGCTGGGGGATATGTTGTTCTCTCTGATCACATTGATGGTGAGTATGAACAGTGGTATGAAGACACGCTTGTGTACAAAGTAAACGGGTAAATAATCACAAGGGAGGAAAAAATGGTTTATGAGAGCACTTAGGATGAAATATAATGACCTGATAGAGGCCTACAAAATTGAATTAGAAATGGTCTTGATACTTCTCTCCTAATATCAACCATGAGATTCAAATATGAGACAGAAAACTATCTAAGTTAAATACTTCAATAAAAAAAATAGTATCAATTTTAAATCAAATTTAGATAGACTTTGTAATATATGTAATAGGAAACAAATAGTAGTTGAATACCTATTTTTCAGAATGCCGGAAAATGTATCTTCCTAAAAATTATTATAGAAGGACATTTTTTTTCTACATATTCTCAGAATCGTTGTCAACTGCTGATTTCAATGAAGTAATTAAATTGTGTAGTAACATATATTTAACATATATCTAAAGTATATTTACGTTACTAAAAATAGAAAATTCTGTATAATATTCTTTCAAGAGGGTACTCTTCCTACTGTTTTAATTTGATTGCAATCTTGCCATAAATAGAGATTAATCGAAGGATCATTATTCTAGTTATTGCTGTTTCGAATTTCGAGTCCAAATGCTACTTTTCTTTTCCTTTGCTATAAGTACAAACCAGTAGAGTTACAGTCTCCTCAGAGACTTTCTGGTCTACAAAAAAAAAATTGGTTTCCAAAACCACTTTTACACTTTAATCAGTAGCCATATCTTTTTGGAATACAATTGGTGGTGTCCTGTAGAATGAATAAATTGTATGCGCGCATCAAATCATTCACCACGTACTCGGTACTTGCATGGACGTTGCCTCTAGTACGTTTCATTTTATCAAGTTTCAGATAGTGCATTTTCAGCTAAAGATTTTCCAAATTAGGCCATTTCAAGTTTTTTCTCTGTTTAGCGTCCACCCATCTTTCAAAAACCTACCTACCTATTCGCAAAAAACAAACAAGCCAAAAATTAAAACACAGACTTTATAGTCTTGAAAATGACGTCATACAAAGCATTTCATTTCATTAATATATTTTTCTCATACAAAAGTCTATTCTTTAGCAAGATCCAGGTATTAAATGCTTAAAATATACATAATATGGCATATTGTAAACATATACTTAGAGATTTTGACAGAATTGAAAGATTTTGACCAGAATAATCAATTTCAGGACTCCTGATTTTGTTTGTTTTTTCTCATATGGGGTGTCAAAAACCAAGGCGCACGCGGACGCTAAACATAGAAAAAACTTGGAATGGCCTTATATGATATTTTTTAAGTACCAAAAAATTCACACAATAATTTACGCACATTAATTTGCAGGATTTTTCTATAATATACATGTACATTATTCAAACTATGTAACATAAAATAAGATTATACTTATTGCCGTGATAACTGATTACATCTAGTAAAATATGATAAAGGTTAACGTGATAAACCTTAAAGATATAGTTTAAATGTAAAAAGGTCAAGTTAATGGTACCAATGCTCAGTAAGATGCACATTGACCCTCAGTTTTCTTTGCAATTTTGAGTCATGCTATATGAGTAAGTAATCTAAAATATACTTCTCAAAAGAAAATTAAAAAAAAGTTCTTGAAAACTTTGAAAATCCAACATCTTATTTGGTGGAGGTGATGTGCATTGTTGTGTCGGGGGGGGGGGGGCTTAACATACTATCAAAGGGGGGGCTTTCAATGAGAATTCTGCCACTCGGATCTCCTCGGGTGGCTCGTTCCTCGCACACAAACGTTTGTATGGTAGCGAGTCAGCCGAGGATTGCCGATTGATATTCTGCCGGATTCGTTTTATCGTATTTATATCACCAAGAACATTCCATACATTTTCAGTTTGTAAATAATCCTTATTGAAGTTATTCGAAGCTTTTTTTAAAGAAACTGCATGGGGAGTCGATAGAAGCTGAATTGTGGTATTGTAAGTCACATTGTGTAATTTTTATTCACAATTTTTTTAATCTATAAATGAAATAAGACAATTTTTTGTGCTGTCGAAAGTAGATCTATCTACATGTATATTTCGTAATAAGTCTGCGGTATATACGGCAAATACATCTAGTAATCAGGGTAATATGAAGTACAGTGTAATACATGTAATATGAATTGTTTACTCAAGAGGTTTAATCATAATTACTACTTGTATCTTACAGTAAATTCGGTCCGTCTATTGCCAAACCTCTGTTGGTTCCATATATGTATGCCTAGGTTAATATGTGGGACTCACTTAATTTGACATTTTGATCAAGGATATTTTCACACGTATTGATTTATTTCATTTTAACAGTAAAAATAAGTCCAATGCATGGTTTCAGTCTAGTAGCAGGGGGCATTTATAAACCATCTTAATGATATTTTTTTCCCCAGTGCATTATGATGACTATATTTCTGTCTGATATCAATTGAAAAATTGTGTGCATAAATCTTGAACTTTGAATATTGTACATAGAGTCAATTGCTTTTTCAATGTTATGTGCAAGGGTTTCCCAATCTATATACATGTATATAATTGTTCCCTTCATGAATCTCAATATCCTGCCTGATCATGTCATTATTAGATAATGTGTATTGAATAATTTCATTATTTTAAATGAAGATGGCATCATTATGCTGCTAATGATCATGTGTAGATTGCTGTTATTAGGAGCTGGTAAGTTAATTTAAGACATAAAAGATGAAGGTTTATTACATAGTCTGACCAGAACCATTTTAATTAGTATTGCATGGCTTTGGTTAATTAAGACTACTCTATAGACCATGATTATCAAATATATAGAAAAGCTAGTGTATGTAGAAGAGGAAAAATGGTCATATTTGTCCATGATAGCCACTGTTTAAGCTTAATATGGAAGTAATAAATACATGTAGTTGTAACAGGAAGACCAGATTAGGATTTGAACCAATATTAAGGCCTGAGGAGTTCGAGACAGATTCTCTGCCAGGGAATTTGAGACAGCGGATTCTATGCTAGCTGAGCTATGTATCTTATGGTGCTAATAATATTTTAAAAGTCATTCTCCTTAACCCGGAGGGTGAGAATGCCAAGGAAGGAGTTTCAACAACAAATGGGGGGATGTAAATCTGGCTTTGTAATCCTCGTTTTGTCTTGCTCCTTCACATTGGTGTCCTCGTGGTCCTGCTTGCTGCCCTCAATTTACTGTATTATTGCTCCCTTACTAATGTATCACCATTACATTGTTGCTCTCCTTAAATGCTCCGTAAGATCTTACTCTCTGGTGTAGCCCTTGCATCCTTCTCTTTTGGTTTCTCATCTGTGGCAGATTATTCACTTGTCATATTAATGAAGGATTGTATAACATCAAATATTTACATTTCAAAATTTCTTTGTACAAGATAAAACTATAAATAGTAAAAATACTTCATTTCTACATAAAGTTTCTGGTTCATCGATAGGCATGGTTAAAAAAAATCACATGCGGGGTGGGACAGAGAGAGAAAGAAGTAGCACATGGATTTACAGAATCAAGAGCATGTAAATATAAGGAATAACTGTCAGATTTTTTTGTTTCATGAGGATGATCAAGCGATTGGCATGATCAATCGCTTGATCGCAATCATGAAACCCAAAAATTACACAGTTATTCCTTAAATATAACAGAAAATTCCAAAAAGAAAATGACATTGATAAATTTGAATCCAGGGCCCCTCTTAATAGTACTCAGCTAGCAACCTCCCAAAATACAACTGTCATGTTTTTTTTGTTTTTTAAAAACTAAACCAAAAAAACCCATAAAAGTTAGAAGTATAGATCACCCTTTTCCCTTGTTCTCTTATAAAAAAAAATATCAATCATGCATACATGTATGTATACATACTCAGGTATATGACTTTCTGTATTATTTCCTTATTTGAATGTATTTTTGATATTAATATCACTTTCTTCTTTTATTATGTAAATATAAGTAAGGATTGGTTCATTAATGGCTGCCAGCCCCAATATTATAGCTGACTTGTATATAAGACTTTCTGTATTATTTCCTTAAGGTAATATGTCACTCATCAGCCTTTTAGAAAAGTTCAGTCAGAACTATTAATTACAATTCAATCTTTATAACATATTTAAATTAAACACTGTAAAATGCTCAACATTCAATTAAAAACTGCTCAAAAATTCATAAAGAAGCAAGATTTATAAGGGACTAAGGATATTGAGCAGAAAATTCTGCAAATCTACACATTTATTGAATTTAATATCTTGGAACTTTAGCCTCACATACTTTTACTTTATTTTCCGTTATGATATGCCTGGAATATTAAATATAGGTATCAATTTATATTTTTATAACAAAATTTACACCTTCGCTCAACAAACTTTGCCAAGAAATGAAGATGTATTAAAGAAGACAAGAAAAAATTTACACAGTTTTTTGCCAGAAAATCGCATATTTTGACCAATATTTCAAAATTTACATCACTGACCCTAACCTTTTCTTTCATTATTTTAAACTTCTCGATACTACTGACCGATCAGCACTTAAGTCGTAAAATGTTTGATACAAGAAAATATTCTATTGTCTATTTAGATTTTTGATACCCCAAATATGAGACTTTTTAAGTGCAAAAAGGTCACACAATAAATTACGCACATTAATTTGCATGATTTGTTCAATGATAAATATTATTCAAACTATTTTACATGAAATAAGATTAATATATTTATTGCCATGGTTGCATCTGATAAAATGTGAAAACGGTTAAAGTGATTAACCAAAGAGTTACAATTTAAGTGCAAAAAGGTCAACTTAATTGTACCTTAGCTCAGTTAGATGCACACTGACCCCCCATTTTCTCTGCGATTTTGAGTCATACTATTCGAGTACTTATCCAAAAGATACTTCTCAAAAAATCCTTGATATAACAAATTTCACGAGTGACATACCTTAATATTTGAATGTATTTTTTGATTTGTATCACTTTCTTCTTTTAATTAAATAATGTAAAATAAGTATAAGGATTGGTTTAGTTTATGGACCCCAGCCCCAATAATACAATAATATAGCTGATTTGTATGTACACAAAGGTATCTAATGTGTAGTATATGGGAAGGAGGAATGAGTTAACATGCACTGAAAATTCATAAATACATGATATATATAATGTAAAACATATGGCTGGACTGACTAGTCAGATATTCTAACCACTGAGCTACTCAGGCTAATATCCATAGTCCAGCCAAAATTTACTATACTTGACTTCCTGAATTTAGATATCCAGCAGCAGTATATATAATCATCTGCTTTGTGAATATTGAATGCATGTATATTGTAAAAGGATTTAAATAAAGCTATAATGACTATGACACTAGACATATTTTTACAGATGTGCTAAACTAAATTCTGCCATGATGACTCTCCAGAAAACTGTTTTGCTGAGTTCGGTTCTCCTGTCAGTGTGTTGGGGTGCACTACAGGAACCGAGGAATGTTTCTCAGTACCATGAGATGATGAGGCAGGGCCATGCCAAGATAACACAGGGGGAGTCTGAACCTGATTTTATTCACAGATTCAACGGTACCACTATGTTACAGGTCAGAATAAAAAAATGAACCATTTGTTCTATTGAATTTAATATTGCTTTTAAAACCTTGTTGAGTCTCCCACGTGGCGCAGTGGTTAGAGTGTCTGCTCTAGAGTAAGGAGTTGATCCTTACGTCACGGGTTCGAATCCCACTGCGGGACATGGAGACCAGTCCTTCCGATGAGACCATATAAACCGAGGTCCTGTGTCGCATTAGGTGCTGGAACGAAAAAGATCCCTCACTGCTCAATGGCCCTGAGTGCCGAGTATAGGTCAAAATTTGTAGCTCTCCACCGGCAAATGGTGGCGTCTCCATATGAGTGAAAAGTTCTTGAGAGGGACGTTAAACAACAAACAAAAAATAAAACTCTGTTGCTCTCTGTAGATGCATCCATGTACAACTGTGGATCTATACTCTCTACAAGAATTCCAAAATTTAGTGATTTTTATTTTGTAGAAAATGCTATCTCTAGACTCGATGTATAACCAGGCTTTGCTTCTGAAGAAAGAATTCATTACTGAGTTCACCTCAGGGATCAAAATGTCAGCGGGTTGTGGTGTTGGACTTAAGCTATTACTTGATGGATTGAAAGAAAGAAGCCTCTGGTCTATAAAAAGTAAAAACACTCTGCCTTTTTCAAAATTTATAATAAGTAAAAAATGTATCTCTGCCTTTAAATAATTTGCATATACATATTGAAGAATACTTCAATGGAAAACAACAAATATTACCAAGTTACATCTCTCTGGAAAAAAAGAGTTATTGCCCTTCATTGCAGAATTAAATGTAAAAATTCCTCTAGCTGCCTTTTGTGCTCAGGTTAGAGTTTTTGCATGTATTTTCACCTCATTGTATGTATTTCAGTGCTTGATGCCATAGGGAAAGTTCCCAGTGGTATATATGATGGTGATTTTATATGGCCCGGTCAGTATGACGAGTGTATCGCAATCAGTCAGGCATTTACAGACAGAATCACCTATAACATGAGTTTCTTGGTTCGAGGGAAATATTTTGTAGCAGGATTGTGGAATCCTGTGGTAAGAGTATGCATGTTTTTTTTTTTTGGAAATTGCCAAAAAATCAGACAGCTGCGTAAGATGTTCACAGAAAGTTTTTACTGGCCTCAGTTTAATTATTTTTCCATGTTACTCTTCAGACTCTTAGATATTTGAAAAGATTAGGACAATGTCAAGATATAGGATTTGTATGTTATGTTCTATATTAATACTACTAATGCATCAAAGCTTAAGGTACATAAACCCTCTGCTCACTCATATAAAATGTTGCTTTAACACATATGATTTTCCAAAAGATATGTATTTTATACGTAAAATGCAAACAAGTTTAGCACAGTTTCGGGGCAAAATTGCACAAAAAAGGCATTTCAACATGACAAATCTATAAAGGAATAATAGACATTTATGTCAATAAGAGTTATCTCTCTTATCAGAGTGTCAGTGAACCTTAAATCAATGCTTTGACATGTTTTAAATTGCTGTGCTTTGGTAATGCATTTCATAAAGAGGCAGTGACATCTGATTGAAGACTTGAATGCTATGGTCAGAGATTTGTTATGCATTATGAAATGACTATAAATGTTAACTGTTTTACAGGGATATAACACCACTGATCTTAGGATGGGAGTCTGCCTGCCTGATGCATGTAATGCAGCTGATGTTAAACAAGTGTTAGAATTAGGTATGAACTTAACATATAAATAAGACTGGTGAAACTGTCTATCTGTTTTGATTGCAAAGTGAAGTTGTTCAAGTCTAGGGAAAACAATAGCATACAGGTGTTTGGAAGGAAAAGTCATTATTGTGTCTTATTTAATGAACTGGGAGGTCATTTTTCAGTCTTAAAGGACAGTGTCATGACTGCACAGATTTTTAAAATTGATCCAATTTTTTGCTAACTAAAGATAATATCAATGTACCTGGCTTTCGAGTGTATAGTTTTGCTTTTACCAATATATCTAACATGTATATATAGAATAGGCTAATGGCTACCAAATTTATAGGTCCGTCCAGAAAATGGAAGCACACTCTTATTTGGTTGTAGATTGATGGATATTTATGTTTAGCAATTAAATAAAATAACAATGCTTGTGATTTTAATCTGCTAAGGCTGGCTGAAATTAATTCTACGTTTAACATCACCTTAAAACTTCAAAACCTACAAGGGAAGGAGGAAAAAAATTAAACAAAAATTTCGTAGGCTTATTGATATATATCATTTTGTAGGCTTATTGTTTAATGATCATTTATACTAAATCCTTCAGTATAAATGATAGATTCCTCTTAGATATACTTCATGTATAGGACCAAATTACGGTAAATGTTGTCTATTCTTATGTAAAGCAGTTGTAGTTGCGAAAAGTAAAGGCAAACTAGAAGACAAACTTAAAGCATGGCTGTAGGAACCGGGGGGGGGGGGGGGGGGGGGGCAGTGTCACCCCCAATAATTTTGCAGATATATAGATAACTATAGAAAAGATAGATACTCTATGCTTGTGCCCCCTCAATAAAAACATCTGATGACCCTTTTCTTTTTATTGTTTTGCTTGTCAAGAAATTTTTGGTAGTTGATAGTGCCCCCTCAATGGCTGTGCCCCCCCCCCTCCCCAAACTGAAATTGCTTCCTACGGGCCTGTAAAAAAGTTACCAGTATGTTTGTGTTTTCAAAGTGCCAATTTCTTTGAAACCTAGAAACAGAGAATAAACTTTGGACAGTCGAATTGATTTGGTTGAAAATGATATAAGAACATATATAAGCTTATACATTTGGTACTTGAATTAGTGCAGATATTAATAGATAGTCACCTTTTTCATGTTAAGCTCCTTCCTAGACTTGCTGAAATTATTTATGTGAAACATGGCTACAAAAAAGGAACTCCACCAACTAATTACTGCAAATTTTACTTGTACACATCTGTATGATAGGGTTCTTTGTCACTGGAACATGTACACATAGCCATCTTTCTCCCAAGATGTCCCTATACTTTCAAAATAAAGTTTAGACAGACAAATCTTTAATAATTTTTCTACTCATGTGAAACTTGCAAATTTTTGTTTCAGATGAAGGAAAGTTGATTTTTAGTAAATTTTGTTTCTTTTGCAGCGTTTTTGGAACTGTATCAGTACACAAATAAAACAATCAAGCTTTCTCTGAAATATGTGTATCACCCAGAAACAAAGTACAAGAGCACTCCAGAGTTTATTGTCTCCAGGTAAACTTTTATAAAATAATTAATGTATTACTGGTATAAATTGGTAAATTCATGACTGTATGTACATCAATAGAACAGTTTAGGAATAATAAAGATTCCAAAGTAAGATTTTTATGCCCTGCCATGAATATGGCTGGGGCTTATACAGTTTGTCATGTCTGTCTTCTATCCTTCCATCCTTCTTCTTTCCTTCTGTCTGTTCTTCCGTCATGCTTTGCATTTAGCTCAGTTCGAAGCTCAGTTTCAAAGAAACTATTCAAGATATTTTTATCAAACTTCACATTCTGATAGATATTGATGAGAGCTTTTCAACTGCATGAACATTTTTTGATCTTGACCTTTTCTTTGACCTTGACCTCACTTTTCTTTAATTAGTGTTCAGCCCAGTTTTAAAGAAACCATTGAAGATAATGTAATCAAACTTCATATACTGATACACACTATCATAAGCTTAAACTGCATCAAGAGTTTTTGACCTTGACCTTTCCTTTGACCTTTACCTCACTTTTCTTTAATTAGTGTTTAGCTCAGTTTTCAAGAAACTATTGAAGATAGTGTAATCAAACTTCTTATGCTGATACATACTGAAGTTAGCTTTTCAACCGCATCAATATTTTTTTGATCTCGACCTTTCCTTTGACCTTGACCTCACTTTTCTTAAATTAGTGTTTAGCTCAGTTTTAAATAAACCAAAGATATTTCTATCAAACTTAATATGCTGATACGTATTAGTAAGAGCTATTCAACTGCATCAAAAACTTTTGACCTTGCACTTTCCTATGACCTTGACCTCACTTTTCTTTAATTTGCATTTTTCTTAGTTTTTAAGAAACCATGTAGATATTTTTATGTAAGCTTATGCACTTATATATAATTTGGTGAGAATTTATCATCTATATCTATTTTTTTAGATTTCAATTTTCAATTTCAATTTTAAAGAAACAATTTAAGATATTCTCATCAAACTTCATACATTTTCATGTTGCATAACTAATATACACTTGGCGGGGCATTCATGTCCTATGGACATATTTCTAGTTTTGGTTATACATTGTAGCTAGAATATCTTTCAATCTTCATTGGGAGTATACGTACATGTACAATAGCATTCCAGGAAAAATGAATTTTGGCAAAAATATCCTTGTATACAGTTTAATACTAGCATAATGCATCAATGTAATTGTTTTGTTGGCTTTTGATCATTGATATACATGTACATTGTATATTTTATTTCAGTGTGATCTGTTCCATCATTGGTTTTCTGTTATTGCTGGGCACTCTGTATGACATGTTTATTAATCAAGGTGTCGACTCTTCAGAAATCGGAGATGTAAGGATTAATAAACAGGACAGCGATGCACAATCTGTCAATTCGGACACTACACATCTGATGTCAGACGGAACAAGAGTATCTGTTTTGTCATTCAGAAACAAGGTTTTACACAACAGTAAGTATTTCCATAGGATCAATATTCTGTAGGGAATATCTTAAAATAATATACAATTATTGCTGCATTTAAAGTCAATACGATGATTTAGCCACCTGAGGAGTATAATATCCACCGAGCCTGAAGGGTGAGGTGAATATTTTACTTCTCAGGTGGCTAAATCATCGTATTGACTGAAAAAAAGGAATAATTTTTTTACTATATGATTCAATAATTAAATAACACAAATTTGTACATTATGCAATCCATGCCATCTTAGTTTTTTAAATTTGCTGAGGTTCTTGCCAAATGCAATAAGAGAAGTTGGGGTAAAATAAGCATAGCAAGATGTATAATATTAATTTGGAATTTTAATCTGATTTAGGTACAATGTATGAAAAATAAATGTCAGGCACATAGGATCAATTTTGAAAAAAAAGGGGGAACCTGATAAACTTACCTAAAAAAATCCTTTTGTACACAGAATTGAAGTGAACATTATTTGAGCATTTTTAGATTCAACTATACATATATATATTTTAGGTGTACTTAGGAAGTTTTTACTGACGTTTTCAATCAGCACCAATGGCAGTAAAGTTCTCAACACAGATGCTCTCCCTCCTTCAGCAGTGCAGGCTGTCAATGGGGTGCGGGTCCTCAGTATGGGCTGGGTCATACTGGGCCACACCTACTTCTTTACACTGGGCAGTTCAAGTACGTATGTACTAAAGGTTACCCTTCTGATTTTGTTGTCATATCATATCCTTGCATTAATAGTTAGGCGATATCTTCAACTTTTGTGCTATAATGTATTAAAATACAAGCAGTGGTAATTTCTGTAGAGTGTAACATACCAGTCAACTTCAACTAAGTGGAGCATTTGTTGAAGTGTCATGTGGCTTGTTTGATGAGATGCAGGACACACACTGATTTTTCAAGAGTTCCATAAAAATGGCTTTAATGCAAAAGATTAATGCAATTATTTTGCTTTTGTTGAAAAACGTTCTCTTCATATGCATTTGTTGTTTTCAAAAGTGTCCTAATTTGATGAAACTGAAAACTGCTAATCTAAAAAGGAACTAAAAGCAAACTTGAAGATTTTATTTAGAATGTACTCTAGGACTCTACAGATACATGTATATGAAAGCTTGGAGAATATGGGATTTTAAATTTTATTCCGATTTCTCTCTTTATTATAATATTTTTTTCTACAGAGAATGTAGCAGCAGCTCTGAATTGGACACAAAGATGGACTTTCCAGATTATCCTCAATGGGATCTATTCCGTGGATTCATTCTTTTTGCTTAGGTATTTCAAAAGTAACCAAGTCTTTGAACATTTTGTCATGTCTTTGAAAAAATGAGTCTCTTTATGTATCAACACATTTTATTTCAATTTGATATTTGAAATAGGACTTGTATGAAAGCCTATTAGAATCAAGTAAAAAAAAATGGACTTCAATAATAAACCACCCCCTTATGAGAAAATTATCTGGTGACTACGAGAAAATTTTCTTGTAATTTCAAGAAAATATCTCTTAATTACGAGAAGAGATCTTAATCGAGATAATTACCAGTATCTTGTAATAAGAAAGGATCTCGTAATTACAAGATAACTATCTCGTAATTACGAGAAAATTATCTCGAAATTATGAGATAATTATCTTATAATTATGAGAAAAAATGTGTATATAGAACAGAGTTGCACAAACTGTGAGTAGTCTTAAAAGTGTTTGGCTTTGTAAACGGGAAAATGTACCATGTGAAAAATTTTATCAAAATGTTTTAAAGCGTAGTAATCCAAAACAAAGAACCACATGGAAAAAAGTAGATCTACAGTAAATATTCCCAGTTTAACTGATACTTTACTTAACTCCACCTGTTTCATATACAACTGTACAATGTCAATCCATAACAAAGGAAGACTCGTAATTGATTAAGATATATTAGCTGGCCCATAGTCTCATTGATTCATTGGTAAAATTTCTGATTTTAGTGGCTTGCTTGTGAGCTATTTGACCCTCAAAGAGTTACAGAGAAGAGATGGAAAGCTGAATTGGTTATTATTCTACTTCCATAGGTTCTGGAGGTGAGGATGTATTCATATTTCCAGTGACATTTATATATATTTTTCTAATCTTTGATATTGTATGTGGCCAAATTTGCAAAATTATTGAACATATTAAAGGTTGGTTCTTCGATAAAAGATTCTGACTAAAATCTAATTGATTCTATCTTGATTTTATCAAAAATTAACATTATTTTACCATGATTCCATGAAAAATATACATAATTAAAGAAAAAACCTCTTGTTATGTAGGTTGACCCCTGCAATGATGCTAGTTATACTTGTATACACAGCATACTTCCAGTACTGGGGGTCAGGACCTTTCTGGCCCAATACATCTCCAGACTACAAGAACTGTAAAGATTACTGGTGGAGGAACCTTCTGTATATTCAGAACTTCTTCCCCATTAGTGAGGAGGTAAACTTGATTTAAGACGTGATTAATTTGAAATGCATTTGAGCTCATGTGTGGCACAGGTTAGCTAAAGCTGGATGGTATTAGTAATACGGTGATTTGCCACGACATTCTTTACAGTTTATCCACATTTCTTGTTGGCCATCAGCTTTAACATTCATGAAAATTTGGTTTATTTAAATTTTTTAAAATCACTAGAGGAATTCATTTAAAAGTCTGTCGATTCTATTATTCAATTATATATCAATATTTTGTAATTTCTTTTTAATGTACATGATTCTACAATCGCTTTTAAAAATACAATCCTTGTTACATGTGTGGTATCTGGTTTTTTTTTTCAGTGTATGGGCTGGGGTTGGTACCTTGCAAATGACATGCAGTTTTTTGTACTTTCACCATTCATAATATACCCTCTGTATAGGTAAGTGTCAGGTTGATGACTTATTTTTTTTTCATGAATTGTATATTATTTTCATTCACAGGAACTTTATTTTTGAGTATGGGTAATTAAGCGATACATGTACCTTTCTGCTCATGAAAATTTCATTGTCACGTATATTTGTATAATTAAAGATGATAGTCACTAACCAAAATTCGTGATAATTTTATCTCGCTTATAAATAACAAATGACTATCTCATAAAAATAAGGATCCTGAAACTTTAGTGATCTAATATCTATGAACACCCCCCTCCCCCCTTTTCCTTCCCCCAGAAGAAATTTAAAGTGTATGGAGAAATAGCCATATCATTCTGTTTGTCTTTTGTGGTTTCTTTGTCTGTCCCATTTTGTGTTGGGGCCATATGGACAAAATTGAGAATAGAAAGTATTTGATGCAACACTGCTGTAGGGTATTCAAATCCCTAAAGTCAATTTCACAAGGTCAAGTTAGGGACTGTGCTTATTAGATTCTTGTCCATGCAGTATGATGTGCAGAAACTGTCTAAATGTGACATACCTAGGATATTTAATTTGATTCTAAACCAAGACCTTTAGGACAAGGTAAGAGGAAGGAGAAAATGTGAAAATTGTGCTTGCTATAATTTTGAAATACAAGAAGGTTCTAACATGACAGATGAAGTTGAGAGTAACCAAATGACCTTGCTTCAGATGACCCTGAAGCAAGGTCATTTAGACATGTCAAGGTAACAAGGTTTGCTATATTAAAGCTTTCACAAAATTATAGTTTACGGGTCTTTTGAAGACATTGTTAATGCAAGCTGGTTTGCATGAATACAATAATTAATTTATAAAAAAAATAAAATAATTCTTTGAAGAATATTGAATAACAAAATGTGTTGCTTATACATCCATATATAAATAATTGAAAATAAAAATTCATTCTTTTACTGGGTAGTTTGTTTTTCCTGAATAGATTAATTGAAAGTAATGCTGGTACAATGTAATGAATACAAGGTGCTTCAGTTGGTTAGTTCAGTGGCAGCCATTCATGCTCATATACATGTAGTATCAAATGATATATTTGACTGAATGCTTTTCCACCATTCTGTTTAGCTATATGTTTTTACTATTCAGGAAACCATTGATAGGATACATTATAGCACTGGCTGTTATGATAATGCAGGTTGTCTACAGAGCTATCATGTCGGTACAGCTGGATATGACCTTGAATGGAGCACCCAAGTAAGTTAATGATGGCATCGTACAGTGTAGAGATTTACATAGCTTACTTACTAGCTACTTGTGAAACAGAATATTTACAAAGTCACTCATATATATACTGTATACAGGGTTATTTTTGCCCTGTGTTATTTTCACACCTTTCTCACTTGCAAACAATTTTGCCCTGTTTTAAATTTGCCCAGTCACAGTTCTGTTTAAGAAATTATACTGTGTTCTTTGAATTTGCCCTGTTTTAAATTTGCCCACCTGTGAGTAGGGCGAAAGGGGCGAAAATAAAATGGGGGCAAAATTTTCCCTGTACACAGTATTCATCTAATGTCTTTTCCAATGTTTAGAAGCTCGTGTTCTTGCTTTTCATCCCAATATTTACAAAAACCTCATTAGATTATTGTCTTATTGGAAACTAAGAGAATTATAAAATGAAAATTAATTCCATGTACCGGTATGTTAATGAGTCTGTTTAGTTTGAAATTAAAATTATTTAATGCAAGATCAAGCAATTTCATGCAAAAATTAATTTAATTTTGTTTAACAGTCAGGAAGAGTTTTTTGACAAGATGTACCAGAGGCCTTACGCCAGGATAGCCCCTTATCTTATTGGAGTTCTAACTGGATATTTCATGTGGAAATCAGAGAGACGAGTCAAGATGCCAAAAGTGAGTAATAATGTCAATAAGTAACATCAAAATGGCAAAACAGATCAATATGGTTTTATGGTAGTTTCTTAGATGCTGATAATTGAAATTACTGTACATATAAAGTTTTAAAGAACAATCAAGGACTTAAGATAATGTCTTCAATGGACACATTCTTATTCTGCTGTGACATATCAGAGTGTTAATTATTTTTTTTTTTTTTGAAAATAGGTAAATCACTTTACATGTAATTACAAATCAGCAGATACCTATAAAATTAAGAGAACAAAACAAACAAATAAAAAAATTATGACATTTTTAAAAACAAAAATAATTGAAACCCTTATAGCTTTTTTAATCTGTCAGACTGATTTTCAACAGATATGTTACTGCATGTGTATGGTAGGTTTTTAAGAAAATGGATTGAATCCTAGTTGACTGTATGTACATATATAGACTGCAGAAAACAGATATATGAGTTTAAGCATATTTGAATTTAACCAGGTGGTCATGGTATTGGGATGGATTATTGCCCTTGTCTGTGTTTCCTCTGTGATATTTGGGACCACTGAACAATACAGGGGACATAAATCTTCAACAGGAGTAACTGCCCTTTACAACTCTTTATCCAAAACAACATGGAGCTTGGGTGTAGCATGGATCATTTTTGCCTGCAATATAGGATATGGAGGTAAAAATTACACTTAGAATATAATATATAGATATAATCTGAAAAAATGTCAACTTGTTCTTGTACTGGTGCATCTGTATAAAAAGAACACAAATATTATACCTCAGTACATGTACTTTTAATTGAGTTGACATAAGTCAAAGGCATAATTAAGAGAGCTGTTTGGATGGAAAAGTGTCTGGTGTCCCTCTAGATGATTTTCTCACTGTTTTTTTCCCTTTTGTTGTGCATTATTTCTTTAAACTTTTCACGTATTTGTCTTTTTGTCCAGAACCAATGGGCAAGTTTTAATTATGTTTATGCAAGAAGTTAGTCAAGATCAACAAGGTTTGGTGCATGTTCAGTGGATACATTTCCTTTTGTTTATTTTTTGTTGTCTTTCAACCTGTAGGTTTTATCAACACGTTCCTGTCCGCTAGGCTGTGGTCCCCCCTGGGTCGGCTGACCTACTGTGCTTACCTGGTTCATCCCGTCATCATGTTTATCTACAGTATGAGTCAGAGATATGCTATTTACTACTCTGACATTAACATTGTAAGTATACAAGTATACAACTTAAATGAGCTCCCTACCTATATCATATATCATCATCTGTTCCATGATTGTGATGGGGGAAGGGGGCCATTGGCAAATATTTTTTTATCAAGATCATGATACATCTGGACGTCATGGGGGACTGGGGGACAACAAACTGTTTAGATTTAAAAGATTAATTTCAAGCATGCATGGCTTTAAAAAAAAGTTATACACATAGACAGGATACTAGTATTTACTGATCATTGTCTTGGAATGTTTGATCCTGAGATAAGTTGATGTAAAACAGTAATTTTATGTTATGGACTAAACTTTATATAGTTGAAATAAATGTATTATTGCAATGAAGGATTACAAAGATGTAGCCCAGGCATAATTTTATGATAGAAAGATAATTGTAGCAAAATTAAATGCCATTTGAAAGGGGAAGGATAAGATTTGGGGGTGGGACAAGTGTCACAGAAGAATGAGTGACATTGTCAACTTTTACTTCTGGTATTTTAAGATTACATGAAACTCACCAACTTCAGACCATTGATTATGCAGCTAAAATCAAAGACATGAAAAACATAAGATCAAACATGATAAACCATATAGGTTGTTTCTCAGTGACTCGATCAGCCAAATAGGGTTAAATCAGTTTTATGTTTAGAGATATTGCCCCTTGTTGGGTGCCAGGTCCTTTTTACATTAAAATTTGACTTGTTCTAGGTCTTCCTCTTTTTGGGATTTTGGATGGCAACCTACGGGGTGGCTTTCTTTGTTTCCATGGCGTTTGAAGCACCAATGATAGGACTGGAAAGACTCCTGCTGAGGAGAAACAAAGATTAACTGTTCTGATCTGTGATAAGGAATTTTTACATTGAAATTTATGTTTTTGGAATCATTTTTACCTATTTACTGGTGACTTTGTATATTATAAATATATCAATCCAGGTTCTTTTTTTTAATCAATTGAAATGATTATTATAGAAGCTTTACACAATAATCATATGGGAAAATGTATACATTTTCTGTTGGTCATGTTTGCATGAGCAACTTTGTAGATCTGATAAAACATGATTATGTAAAACATATTTATTATCATGTTTATTTAGTTTTGTTTTTAAAATTTATATTTTTATCCATGATGAAGTTTTTTTTAACTGCAGTTAAACATGACCATTGTTAAGAATAATTCTGTTTTGTACACTGAAAGATTTTTTTATAAAAACTTTTATGTAATCATGACCGTGTTTTACATCAAAAAGAGAATTTAAATGTAAAAAAATTGCAATGTTTTTTTTTTTTTGTTTTTTTTTTTTAATTTAAAAATTTGAAATATTGCAATACATATAAATGTATGAATCTTTAGATTTGAAATTTTGTAGACTCATCACACAGTAAAACTTTAAATGATTATATATTTGATTTTCAGCTCATATCATATTCAGAACAAAGGAGCTTATGCATGGGTCAAACGTCTGTCTGTCTGTCTGTCTATAATAAGTTTTTCAAAATGCTATTACTATTACATTTTTTTTCTGATTTGAATAAGACATAGTTATAGTTTTTGACTATGTGAGGATGTGTTGTCTACAGATCAATCAAAGATGTGGCATACAGACTTTGAATAGATCAAATTCAAAATGCTACTCCTTCCCCAGTTTTTGTAGGATTTGAACAAAACTTAATTCAGTTGTAGACTACATAATTTACAAAGTCCAAACAAACTTTGCCTTTTTTTTTCTCTACAAGATTCAATCAAGTTTGAAATAATCTTATGCTAAATGTTGCTGCTGCATGTAACACTTTTCCTAAATTGGAACACTTTATAAAAGCTGTCAGATTTGTATAAAACCTGACAAAATAGTAGCTATAGTTGTCAATGACAAAGATAATGACTAATTTAAGGTTCCAATATATTTCATTTCAACAACTTACAATATATATCCAAGTATGGTATGCTTTTAAAGTTATTGAAAATAGCATGTTTAGTTCTTATCATTTCAAAATGTTACTACTCCTGAAAAAAAAAATGCCAAAGGATGACTGCACTTAAGGACATGCCAAATTTGCGACAAAATAAACTTTCAAAACAAACATTTTTCTTTTCATTTCAATAATGGTCAACATCCAATCTACAACTTTATGTAATTACGTTTAATAAAAGTGTGTATTTACGAAGTTTGAATCTGTTTTCAAAGGCAGGGGTCATCACAATTTCTTGAATCTCCGTTCGATAATGAGGACGCCCACTTTTTTACTTTATACATAGTCAGCGCATGTTTGTCTTTTATTCTACGTTTAACAGTAGTTGTATATTTGCATAAATAACAATATGTCAAAAGGAGATTAATAGACAAACATGCGCTCATGATTAAAAAGAGAAAAAACTGCTTCTTCTTACATTCGCTCTCCGTGTTGTAACCAAGGATTGTGACATGTTGAATATTATAATTCACCACGTGATTTCTTACATCAGGTAACTTTGTGAATACTAAATTCCGTCACGTGACTTGTAAGGTAGCATGTTTTGTGCTAACTAGGATATTGTGTTCGAACATGTTAAGTCATCTGGCATTGATATAAAATCTGCTTTAATCACTTTGACGTGCTCATATTGTTCATTTCGTTTTGAAACCTTTGTCAGAAGTGTATTTGTGCCCTACAGAATTGAGAGGGAGATTGGAAAGAGTGATCAGGTTCTTTTTTCTAAACATGTCATTGTCATTTATCAAGTCTAATTTTAGACCCATTCTTACTATGTTAGCTCCACCTCTCATGCATAATTAATGTTCAATCAAGGGCAGGTAAGTGTAAATTCACTATATTTGGAAAGCAGTAAGGACAAAAAACATCGAATCATTTTATTGTATCACAGTCTAAAATCATTTTAAGATTTAAATTTGGTCCCAAATTGACAGGATTCTTTCATAAACATACAAAAGTTAAATAAGGCTTAGATATAAAAGCAAAAGAAGCAACCGAAAAAGACCCAAAAACAGGCGTTAAGTGCAGTCATCCTTTGTGAACTTGGAAACAATTATTTACAATGTATGGATTGTTTAGAGGGAAAACACTTCTAGGGATATGCAGTTATTTTCTGCAGATATTAATAAAACTAAAGCAGTAGAGCTACACTTTTTTCCAAAGAGTTCAGGATTAATCCTTATTATTATAATTATTATTATTTTTTTTTATATATAATCATTTATCATGGGAAGTAATCAAGATGTGTTCCTTTGATCTGCATATTTACCCTTTTTCTATCTTTACATAATGCTGTTATGTGTTATTTTATATTATATAAAATCTGTCAAAATTTTAATTATACCTTTGTTTTAATATTCATTCTTTTTACAAGGGACTGTTTTCTTTAGAATTTAAATTTTTAAGAGGGCTGAAGTGCATGGTGGGAATGACAATGTTACTTGTGGTATACTTGTGTACCAGTACATGTACTAGACTACTACATGTACTAGACTTTCAATGTACAGTTGAACTTCACCATCTTGAACTCCGTTATCTTGAACACCATGAATATGTCTAAATGAATTGAAAGTCCCAATAATGTTTTCTCTACATAATTTACCCTCAATATCTTGAACCTTTGGATATCTTGAAGCTTTTTCAAGGTCCCACAGAGTTCAAAATAATGAGGTTTGACTGTATTTATAACAGGCCCATCTAGTTAAAAATATGCACCAGGAAAAAGCATATTGGAAAATTAAAAAAAAAAAAACAGTCCTAAGAAAAATATATACATATTTTATTTATTTATATATACACTGTGCATTATATATATATATACTTTATTACATATTTTTTTTTAACAAAAGAAAAACAACTTTTAGCTAGTAAATATTTTACACTGACTGTTCTTGCAATGATATGACATATTAAATCAAGTTTTACAATGTTACATGAACTCACACAAACTTATCAAACGTGACAGTAAAGTTGATATCCTATTAATGTGAAATACGAAGATAACTGAGTTTATATACGAGTTTACTATTTGACATTCCATAAAATATAACAGTTGTATTACATGTACCCGTATTTTCTTCATTGTTCAAGCACACATATAACGAAGTGCCAGGGACAGATGGTTTTTGCTTCACTATAAGCATAATTCATTATATCCGTTGGGTTTACAATTAAAGTCATGGGGAATGAAAATCACTTCACTGTAAGTGTCAATTCGTTATAAACATGTTCGCTATAAGTCTGTTTTCCTGTATTTCAATAAGCCTGACACTTATTCAAGTAACATAACAGTAACATTTTTTTTTTAATAATAAAAATTATAATAGATAATCTGAAAATCTTATCTACTGTTTAGAAGCATCTCACATACTTTTGACAAAAATAATTCTCTCAAGTGACATTTATAGACCTTTTCCAATCACCACCCCATACCCCCCCCCCCCCCCATTTTTTTTACTCAAATTTTTTTTCTAGTGAAAAGAACAACTCTTACATTGGTAGAGATACTGATTTCTTCAAATGAAAATATCTAACTAGTTTGTTCTGTGTGTCATGTCTTATTTTGTTATTCATGTCAACCCTGATGATTTTGTTTTTGTGGTGTTCACATAAGTCCATAGTCCCCTTCCATTGGGTTGTAAAGTCTGGGACCAAATCCATGCATGTGGTGATGTCCCCCATAATGCATCATTGCTGCAGCTGTAAATACATAAAGTAAAGTCATTGAGAAAGTGCATTGCTGACTTAATGTCTTTTTTAATCTCAATTTATATAATATGTGCAACATTGTTTCCTAGTACTAAATCAAAATTCTTATGATAGTTACCATTAGCTGAGTATTTCTTGCTCCAAATTAAATTCTTTATAGTGAAAGGATATGCTTACAGCGTTTTGCACTCAAAGTTTGCAGAAAACTTACTTTGTGCAGAAAAAGTGCAATAGAATCTGTTGAATTCGGGTAAATTTTATTGAGTTGACTTCATTTTAAAAGTTTGAAATAGACAAATTTTAATTTTAAGCCTTAATAAATCTGTTTACCTATATAGCAATTTGTAAGCCATGTACATCGGAAACTAATTAAAACTGCTAAATGCTGTCTTTAGCGAGGTAATTATTACCCCCCCCCCCCTCAATGTAAGTAAATAGTAAATAAACCTGCATATTTATATAATAATTAAGCAATCACTCATGTCTCATCGTTTGGAAATTTCTTGGTAAGCTTTTTTTCATTCAATTAATCTGCAAATGTTTGGAAATCGGAACTTCTTTTTTTACCATATTAATTTGTTTATCACAAGCATTATATTCAATACACACCAGCAATAACAGCATCTTCATTTCTACTGTTTCTAATATTGTGCCCGGATGGTGGCAATGTCATGGGTTGATCTACAAGAGAAAAAAAGTTGTATACCTCATCAGTTCACTCTATATATATATGCATCCAATTTCAAGACTGTTTAATACCTATTTTATACACGGTCCGAAAAACAAAACAAAACAAAGTGGACTTAAAAGCAGAGATCATTATACATTTTTTTTTTCAAAGCTGTGAGCTACATGTATACTGGCAGTTAAATATCAATCAAATAATACTTTGTATCTTTTAAACGAAATCTTTTAAAAAGTAATTATTACTAGCAAAAAATGTTGATTTTTCAGTTCTTGCTGAAACTCTGTCTGACAAAATTCTTAATATATGAAGGATTCTACTTCTGTGGGATTGTTTGGAAGAATAAGATGGAAGGGTATGGGAGGATGGAAAAACGGGAAAGGGAGAGAAAGTGTCATGGAGAGAAATGTGGTAAAGAGGAGGAAGGAGAAATTCAGAACCACACAACAGCAAGACAGTGCCAAAAATACTCCCCAGTAACTTGAAAGTACATGTACGCACATAGAGAATCGTAATTGTGAAAATTATAGTTTTTCTTTAATCTTTCGGATGGCTTTAGAAGTCAACATAATTTATGTTTAGACTAGTAGTTTTGATAGATGAGCGAGTTAACATACTAATAGACTATTGTGTAGATCTAATGGCCGGGTTGACTCGGTGGGGGGGGGGGGGGGGGGACAGACTTACCCTGCTGAATCCATCTAGTTTCCATTTGTTGACTTCGAGGATAAGAGTGGTTAACTGGCCTAGGCATAGAGGGATCTAGACGGAAATATACAGTATTAGAACAGATTTAACATTAACAAATTATTAACATATGCAGCTAGTACGTATATAAAAGCACACAAATTAGTTATGTGCGTGTATTTTCTCATTTTAATTCAAAATAATTAACTTTTTAATATTTGAACAATTCAACAAAGTTTAATGTAGATTGTAAAGAAAATTTGGTACATTTGTTTTAGAACGCTATAAGGCATCGTAGATAATAATAGTTATTGGCCTCGGGCAAACAGTTTGCATTGGTTCTTGGGTCCGACAAAACGCATGTAGCCCTCGAACCTAGTCAATAAATGTATATTATATATAACTTACAATACAACAATCAATACGTAGTTCTACAGTCTACCTGTATTTGAAGAACCTGCACAGCCCATTTCTGCTAGGTATCCATTCTGCTGTGTAAATTTCCTATACCTTTTTTTAAAAAGCGATTTCAAAGATTCATTTGCTTACATTCCTTGTATCTTTAAATGGTAGTTCCCTGACAGTTCTGGCACTGTTTTTATGGTTGCTATATATAAACACTGGTCATTTAAATTATTGACTATTGGGTCTATTCAAAGAGGGATAACTTGAAAATTTTTGTAGATCTGTACTCTTCTTTCATACACCAAGTCTATAAACCTCCTTAAAAAGTCAATACATGTACCTAACAGCATAGGCACTCCCCAGCTTCATTGTAAAAAATATATATATCTACTATACTATAAACATAACAGTAGATATATATTTTTTTTTTACAACTAAGCTGGGGAGTGCCTATGCCTAACAGACATTATTAAAATGAAATCCTTTGCATCAACAGAACTAAGCTATTTCATTACGAACCGTTTATGATTGTTTTAAAACACTATAAAAGGGAAGTAGTTTTGGGAATTTTTTAAAAATATATCTTGAATGTTTGACAGCAATAACCGCTTAAGTAGTCCGTTCCTCAGGTTCCGAAAACCAGCAGTTTAGTAATTGAAAATACTCATTTAATTAAATGTCTCTGAATTCACAAGTAATATATGTATTTACCCATAGTATTTCTTCAGAGTTCCTCATCACAATTATTCATATTATATAAGAAAAATTATCAAATCTCAAATATATTTTCAGGAAGCGCGAGTAAAGGCACCAGCTATGCATTTTCTAATTGAAATTGATCAAAAAATATATTTTATATATTTTAAATATATATTTTAGGATAATAAATTATAGGCATCCAGGCTTTTGGAGAATGTTTTCATACTTGTACGGTATTTTCGTTCCATTTACACTTCAGTTGTTACAAATATACATATATATATAATATATACATATATAATGTAGCTCTTTCATAAGGTCGATCCATAGAAATATCGACTTCACATAAAAACATATCGACCGAGCACGAAGTTTCGAAATTTTTTATTTTCACCCTGGGAAAATTTTTATTTTCACCAAATGTGGGTCAAAAACGGATTTGTCCACAAATACCTGTTTCATGAACTCCTCTTACATTTCTGGCTGTATAGTCCATTCATAATTTGGAATGCAATTGGGTGTTTCCTGTTGATGTGCAATAAGGTTTCAGAATTTTCATTTTCACCCATGTACAGTGTACATGTATAGGGGCCTAATGGGAGTCAAAAGACTTTTTTTCTACAAAAATCTGGTTCCCTGAACTCCTATTACATCTTTGCAGTAGCCAACTCATCTTTTGGAATATGACTGGTGGTGTTCTAAAATGTGCAATTAGGTTTCGGAATTTCAGTTATCACCCCCCCCCTTCGGGAGGGGAGGGGGGAGTTGATGTAAAAAAGTTTCGATTTTCTACAAAAGCCTGGTTCCCTGAACTTGATCCTGTCATATTTTTGGCCATAGCCCATTCATAATTTGAAATGTAATTGGGAGTGTCCTGTGCTATAAGGTTTCAGAATTTTCATTTTTCACCCTAGGGGCCAAAAACCTCGTTTTTTAATTCCCTTCAAAACATGGGTCCCTGAACTCCTCTTACAATTTTCACAGTATACGTAGCCCATTTGTATTTTTGAAGATTGTGAGTATCCTGTAGATGTGTACTAATGTTTCAGAATTTTTATTTTCACCCTAGGGGCCAAATAGGTTTTTTTTTTTTTAAACAAAAATCTGATTCCCTAAATTCCTCTTACATTTTTTCAGAGTAGCAAAATCAAATTTGGAATGAGTCTGGGAGTATCCTGTATAGGCCCGTAGGAAGCAATTTCAGTTGGGGGGGGGGGGGGCACAGCCATACATTTTCAGTTGAGGGGGCACTAAGAACTACCCAAAATTCCTTGACAAGCCAAAAAAAAAAAGGTCATCAAAAAGGTCATCAGACGGCCTCCGGTTCCTCCGGCCATGCTGTAGATGTGCATATAAACGAAGGATTCAGAATTTTGATTTTCACCCTGGGGTGATTTTTTTGGGGGGTATTACAGAATTCTTCTTCCCTTGTTACTCAGATATGAAGGTGAGTACATTTAGAGGCAAACACCTACATGCGGGGATTACTGTCTCGTGACAGCATCTAGATCAATTTTAAAAAATAAAATACAAGATGCCGCCCAAGGGCCTTAACGTTCACCTGAGTAAATACAATAATTTAGAGGATCCATAGAGCATAAATAAACTGATAGATGAAGCTTTGATGCCCAAAAGCAAGAGAAATAGGATGAACATGATCTACAAAATAATTAAGTCTAGTACAGGATTGTCCCTAAGACCCGGGGGCCAGGGAATTTCCCTGCCTAAAATGATGTAATCCCCTGGTTATTCCTCCTATACTCTTCATAGGGGATGAAGCCCAAATCCCCTTCTTTTTAAATGCCCCCTTCTATTTCGAAAAGACAATCCTATTCTTAAAGACAACCCTAAATGACTCTTAGTATTCAGCAACAACTCATAAATTAAGTTCTAATCTGTCCCCAACTAAGACTTTTAACAAACTATCAGTGCTTCTAAACTATTTTAATCCCTCACATTGGCTTCTCTTGGTCTTTGAAGAACATTTAATAAGATAAGTTATTTTTTTGTCTCATTTTTATTTATCTATTAGGCTATTTACAAGTCTACCTGATCATTAAAACTATGAAAGTACTTTTTGTATTAGACAATAAAAGTTCTTACATAATTTTCTTATTCTATTCACCATTCAAATACATTATTTACAGTGATTAATTATCAAAATTGAATGGCAAATGGTCATAACTTCTCTCAGTAGAATACAAATTAATAGAGGCCTGGCCAGGACCAGAACACTTGAGCAAATGGTCCAGATGTTCAAAAATCAAGTAAAAATATCATTGGTTATTAAAAATTTTACTCTGCCGCTGAAATGCCCAGAAACAGAGATTTTCATAGAAATAATGCATTTTCACTGTAGAAATTCAACACAGCTCTTTCCTAAACCCAAGGGAAGGGGGGGGGGGGGGAGGGGCATGGAGTCAGGGATTATGAAATTCACAATTTTTTTGCCCTTCACCAATAGATGGTATTTGTGAAAATTGGTTGAAATTGGTTTAGCAGTTCCAGAGAAAAAGTTGAAAATGTCCAAATGTTAAAGCATGAAGGACGATGCAGGACGACAGACAAAAATGGATAGCAAAAGGTCTCCCAAGTGACTCAGGTGACCTAAAAATATAAAGATTTTTAGTTTTAACATTTTATTTCTCAACCTTACAATTTACTTTATATGCAGTTATACTCTAAAACAAGAAAAAATATTTGCAAGTATATATTTCTTTAAAAAAAAAAAAATCTATTATTAAAATAACACTGAAATTACTTTAAAGAATATATTTGAGTAGAGTTCATGTTGCATTAAATTCTTACATATATCAAAAAATACAACCAAATTCTCCAGGTTAACATTGGTAAATATTTTTAAATCAAGGAAACTTCATCTTCATCACTAAAATTGTCCATGCTTGGATTAATTGTTGAGAAGGAACTGTCAAGAAATGGTTTACTATTAGGTTTTCTAGGTGTACTCTGAAGAACACAAACACCAGAATACCTTGGTTGATTTCTCGAACTCTGTCTTAAATTTTGTGTCCATTGCTCATCTCTATCCTGGCAAGTGTCTTTTTTCTCTGAAAAAGATCTCTGAAAAAACGTACTTTTTGAATTTTGGTTCTCTGGTGGAAATAAGCTACACTTGGGTTTCCACTTCCTGACTGATTGGAGTTTGTAGGAACTGGATTGCTGAAACTCTTGTGTAGATGGTGGACACATCTGTCTAGACATCTGAAGCTCTTGTCTAGGTGGCTTATTCACCTCCTCAGATGGCTGAGGCCTTTGTCTGGGTGACTCAAATACTTGTCTAGATAGTACAGGCGCTTGTTTACATGGCTGACACTCATGTTTAGATGACTCATGTACTCTTCTAGATGGCTGACACTTTTGTCTTGATTTCTTAGGCTCTTGTTCATAGTATTTTTCTCCAATATTGTCACGTCTCAAGTCTTGTTTTTGCATGCAAGGCACACCCACTTCCATTTTATCTTGCTGATATTCTTTGTAGGAACAATGCCTCAACACATTTTCTGAAATTTGATTGTGAATGGTTTTTTTGTCTCTAGGTTGGTAATTAAGCTTAGCAATGCAGTTTGATGCGGATCCTCTTCTATGTTCGACCCAACTGTCACAAGAACTTGACCTTACATGTTCTCTCATGCCAAACTGATTATTCCTGATATTTCCTTCATTTCCACAACTCCTCTGGATACCCCTTTTGGTTGATGGAGATTTTTGATAAGGGAATGCATTTGGAACCTTGAACACTGGTGGAACACTTTGACTGGTGTGACAACATGAATTATTCTCTGTGTTAAAATTTTGCTGAAAATTGTTTGAGATTCTTGGTGATGATCTTGGTGATGAAAGATGAAGCCTGGCAAATGAAGAAGATGGTGAATTACTTACATCAGAATGTGATCTGCCATTTTGCGGAGATGATGGGTAACTCTGAGCTCTTGGAGATTGAAAGCATTTTGAACGAGCTCTTGGTGATGAAAAGAATGTAGAATGACCTCCTGGTGATGAAGGATAAGGTGATATATCAGTGGATGTTTGATTACCTGGAAATGGTAAAGTGGATGAAGATTTCTCAGGAGATAAAGAACGGACAAATGTTTGTGAAGCTCCACCTATACCTCTTTCATCAGATAAATTGCCGTTTTCAATAATTTCATGTTGATGACTACATCCCAGTTGTTGACAAAGTTTCATATCATTAACATTCATACAGTCTGCACATGAACAAATAACTCTTTCTCTACAAGAACAATTGATACCATAACAGGACATAGAGTTTCCATCTATATTTAACTCAGATTTGTTGTTTTCCTGGCTGTTTCTCTTCTGGTCAAAATCTGACAATTCTTCTGTGATTTTCTGTTGTCTCTCATTATCAGCTACAGAGAAAGATGGTTCACTATTTACTTCTGACACTGGATGGATGACAAGTTTTCTTTTGGCCTTCACTTGGTACTTGTCCTCGCTCTCTTGTGAAGGCATCATCCACTTTGTAACTTTCTCAATTGATGACATTGGCTGGTTGTTCAGGTGCAAAGTTCCTTCTTTAAGTAACTGTTTTTTAGAATACTCAGGAAGTCCATTTCTGATCATATTTTGGGATGTATCACTTAATGATTCGAAATCTTCCAAACACAAGGAGTTCCTCCTTTTCGAACATTCTGTTTGTACAACAGTTCTACGACTTCTAAAAACTGTCTGTTGGCCTTTCTGTGCACTACTACTTCTTTTGTACAGATCAGAGGTGTTGCTATCAAAGATTGCATTGCCTCTCTTCATATCACTGCCCTGAATTAGAATCTTTTCATTCCCTTGATGCAAATTTGGATGAGAATCTTTCTTTGGATGATAACCACTTCCATTTCTATAAATCGCTACTTCCTTTAGACCTCGGATTCTTTCACATTCTGAGCTTCTCTGATGTATTGTTTGTGTGTCAACTCTCTCATGTCTGTCATCCAAGTTTCCCTCCGACTTCATCATGTCTCCTCTTCCACACATCTGATACAAATTCTGAATCTGATGTCTATAATCGGGTCTTTTTACTCGGACTAACTCCTTGTCCCCTGACATTAAGTGGTGCTCGACTTGTCTGTAGCTGATCTGAGGCTGAGGACAGCGATACTGCTTGTGGATGCGGCTTCTATCATACACACAGGAAGGAAGCTCGGAACTATGATAACCAGAGCTGTCCTCAGAGGAAGCAAAGTAAGACTCCATTCTAGGGCTTTCCTGGAGGTTGCTGTGATGTACTTTCTTTGTCTCTCTTGTCTTGTATGGCTAATGAACAAAAAGAAAACAATTGAAACTACATGTTATTATAGCTGAATTTGTTTTACCCTGGCAATCAGTTTTTATGTCTTACTAATATTTGTAAACTACCAATCTGAATTCACCTTCATGCTTCACAAAAATGTGAAGTACACTATATCATTTAGAGTGAAGTTCATTATCATATCTCCTTCTACCATTATTTAACAATTCTCACAGTAAACTGAAAAGCTCAGAGATTCACTCATATCCTTATCTGATCTAGCTTACTTCTCCAATTACCTTGAGTTGACTAAGAGCATAAAAAACAAAATGCTCTCAGAACTTTCTTTGCTCTCTGTTACCTGGTCATCTTCAGGATTATCTGGTAACCTTAGAGGTTCAAATGTGTGGTCATGAAAACTACCTTTAGTCTTTATGTGACCATCTTTTGAGTTTTCCAAAGAGCTTAAACATTAAAGGGTCAGATATGACCTTTCATCAGATTGTTATGTTTATGCTTTTCTTCATCCATTAGGTAATTTAATAACCTTAAAAGTTCATCAAAACTTACCTCACTGCCTTACCTTTTCATCCTCTGAATATCCTGATGAGCCTAAGAGATTCAGACATAATTTCATCAAATTTATGTACATTCACTTTCTATATCTTGCCTGTGAGTATCCTGAGGAGCCTGAAGGTTCAGAAATGTCCTCATCAGAACTATCCTCATACTCCTTACCTGATCATCCTCTGAGTATCCTGAGGAGCTTGAAGGTTCAGACATGTCCTCATCAGAACTATCTTCACTCTCAGATGTTGTTATCAAAGTTTCTGCATCACTTATATCTTCCTCAAGATCAGGTCCTAACTGAGACAAAACATCCTTGTATGTTTCTAAAAAGCAAAACAAATAAAATGGAACAATATGGAACAAATATTGAATTCAATCTTAGCCTTGTGAACCTGAAAGATAGAGAAAAAGAGGCCTATGAGCCATAGTGTTTACAAGAATCATATTTTCTTTCCATAGAACATAGCCTTACTGTTGTTTGTTGTTTAAGTACTTTGTAACTTAATCTGTTTATGAAAACAGTATTGTTCTACTGTTTTTCTTTCCCTTACTATTCATTATATAATCATGAGTGATTTGTAACATATTTGTGTCTTTCAAGCAAACATTTTAAGATGATGTACCATTAAGACTCTGAATTCTGGAAATGTCATCAGGATAAGGGTCCGCCTCCATATGATCCTCCCCTGGAATCGGCTGAGATCCCATACTGTCTGGTTTATCATAAGATAAAGGAGACAATAAATTCCCATGGGAATCCCAGGGATCCTCTGGCTTGGACAACACATAAGTACCATGAAGATCTGGTCTCTAGCAATAAGAAAAATGGTGATGTTAAACAATTTAAAACTGAATGAAGACAATTTACTTAAAACTGAAGGAGTCTCACACCAAATGAATGTTTTTGTAGTTTGTATGGAACGCCGGGACTGTCTTATATGAGGATTAAACATTATATGCAGTGTTCTCTTCATTATATGTGGTACTATTTTAATTATATGAAGTAGTTTTTACATTATATCGTGTGCAATGTCCATTATATACAGTACTTCTTTCATTATATGATGTAGACATGTCATTATATTATGTACATCTTTCATTATATGAGGTGGTTTTATCATTATATGAGAGTGCTTTTAACATTATATGCTGTAGATCTAACATTATATGCAGTGAACACAACAATATATTATGTACTTCTCACATTATATACAGTATATTCATTATTATATGTAGTATTTCTGTTATTATGATGATGCTGATTGTTAAATATTATGTCCGGTCCTGTTAGCATTCCGTGCGGTAGATTTTGCATTTCGTTATGATGTAGACACAGTATTATATGCAGTGCTTTCTTCTTTATGTGTATGATCTTTCGGAAGCTACCTTTCAGAACCCCCATTGTTAGATTTAGAAAATTCTACCTTTTTTCGTTCTTAGATATGAAAATTCTTCATGATTTTGGTTTATCTTTAATAATTGGTAATCAACCACGCGCCAGCCAAAGGATCGCGGAATAACCACATACCACATTGCACACAATATTTATCCCTATATTAAAGGAATTTTGAAGTCATATCAATACTTCAATAGTTTACGAGAGAGAGAGGGGGAGAGAGAGAGAGAGAGATGCACTTATTACTGAAATAATTTTATTGTTCCATTGTATTAATTGTTAAACTATGGCATATAAAAAAAAATGCTGAAATTGTCTTTAGTTATACTATGTGAATGTTATGTAATGTATCAGGAAAAGATAAACAATTTTCAGAACAGAAAATGTATTGAGTCGTGGGTTGTACTTCAAGATTTTAATTCTAAAAAGATATGTGGTAAAATTACTCAGAAATACAGTGTATATAAATATACATGTAGACCCCCCTCTACCAAATAAAATGAGAGATAAAAGGGTAATTTACATTGTGAAAAATTAGCACATCCCACCCCTAAAAAAACAAACAAACAAATAAATAAATAGATAAATACATGTAGTGTTTTCTATAAGTCGTTGTTGAAGCCCTGCGTACTTGAAGGCATAGGAATACAGTTAGTTTTTTAAATATCTTTTTTGACATTGATTGTCCTATATATGAAATGAATCTTTTTGAATGTCATATTGTTCACAAAAAAGATAGAAAATGCCTCAATTTTTTTCCCACTCCCAAAATATTTCTATCATACTCAACACCCTCTCTCTCTCTCTCTCGTTACTTCATACCATGAAATAGAATGGATTTTATTTTACTGTATTACAATGTATCCTACTTCATATCTTAAAAAAAAACATTTTAACCTGTTCAAGGAGCATTAATTATTAACTGCTTTAATGTATATACGCATGCTTTTATTGTACTGAATTCAACAGGAAAGGTCGGAGTGCTCAAGTCGATAAAAAGAAGAACCGAATTTATAACAGAGAGTTCCGAAAGGTAGCTTCCGAAAGATCATACACATAAAGAAGAAAGCACCGCATATAATACTGTGTCTACATCATAACGAAATGCAAAATCTACCGCATGGAATGCTAACAGGACTGGACATAATATTTAACAATCAGCATCATCTAATAACAGAAATACTACATATAATGATGAATATACTGTATATAATGTGAGAAGTACATAATATATTGTTGTGTTCACTGCATATAATGTTAGATCTACTGCATATAATGTTAAAAGCACTTCATATAATGATAAAACCACCTCATATAATGAAAGATGTACGTAATATATTGACATGTCTACGTCATATAATTAAAGAAGTACTGTATATAATGGAAGTTGCACACGTTATAATGTAAAAACTACTTCATATAATGTTTAATCCTCATATAAGACAGTCCCGGCGTTCCATAAGTTTGCAATCCTAGATGCTATACCCATGGCAGTTTGGTCTGAGTAGGCCTTACAGTTACTTGGGAATGGACTTGCTCATCCAGAAAATGTTGGTCAGATATGTATTGTTTCAATTGCACTATCAACATGATCAAATGAATAAGTGTCTTTACATCACCTATTGGAAAGTAGTGGGATATGTAGAGTAAAACATTACCTGTTTTCAAAGCTATGTGGCACAGTGAATGAGTATCACACTACTAAACCCTTATGTTATTCCTTACATTGTTATAGATATGAAACTATCTAGTATCTGTTACAAATGAGGAAGAGATATGGACTGCTGCACATTTCACTATTAACCGGGTATATTACATGACAAGTTTTAAGTACACTTTCAACATTTAAAGGAATCATAAAGAATCTCATTTGAAGGAAGCTTCATCCCACATAAAACAATGGATAAAAGTAGGTAGGAAGCATAGTTTTAACATGTTTAATTTCTGACTTTTAGATGTGTTACATGTACATGTGTAATACCAGCTACATACATGTACAGAACAAGTATAAAGCGAGTGAAGAAAGAGCATAACACCCTAACCAGGAAAATATTCAGGGTGTATTATTCACTTATCAACATTACAGAGTTCATAGTATTGATATAATTTTCTTTCATGCTTTGAAAAATAAACAAAGGTAATTAAGAAATTATTTTGCTTAAGTACTTGTACAACAATATTTATATACAACAGCCTTACTGATTCACTGTGTTTAGAAAGTCAAAGTAAACAGAGACTATACAACTGTCCTACCAAGATTTTTAATTTCCGTTATAAAGGTCCATAATATAACAAATGCTTGTAATATCTATGTGTAAGGAATTTTACACTGACAATCCATGTGGTCTCATATTCAAGGTCACAATACAACCTTTGATCATAGACTCATAGTTAACATTAACATTTTTGTTATGTACCACACCAGAATTTGGATATATACTAGAATTAAATGATGCTTACTTGTTGTTGAAATGATTCTTTCTCCTGATTCTGTCTGTGATTAAAGGGGTTTATTCTTTTGTGGGCTAAAATGAAAGAAAATAATGATATCGAAAAAGCAACAAGCAAACTGAGAGAATTGTTGTCCGTCCAGCTTTTGGGGTCTTATTGGTTGAGGTGCAATAATTTATGGCATCTTCATGATATTGTAACTGTCTTGCCTATTCTGGCTTGTCTGTCCATCATGCAAGAAATGTTTTATGTAAAAAAAAAATATGAAAGCTCTGTCTCTTCAGGTGCAAATGTTGTGATAAAGGTAAACTTTAAAAAAAAAAAAAGTTATCGGGTCGGTCAAACTTCAAAGTGAAGGTCATAAAGTCAAAAATCCTCATATAATGGAAAGGATATTGTCACAGGTAAAATACATATATACAAATATGAAAGCTCCATCTCTAAAGACACAAAAGCTACAGCAAGAATTTAAAAATTTTGTAAAGTAGGCCAAATTTCAAGGTCAAGTGGTAAAAAAAGGAGTTGGCTTTACATGTGAAATTTGAAAGCTCTATTTTCTCTTATTCAAAAGTTCTTACCAAAAAGCACCCAAAATTAGCTTTATAACAGAATTACAGGATTTAGACATTGTCTGTCCAGTGGGGAACCAACACTTTAAACATACCATGATCTCTGGTACATAGGTCACCTTCTCTTGGTGTGCTCTTAAGCTTGCTGTGTCCAAAGTCCTTTGTTTTTTTATTAATCAGATGACCTACAGAAGAATTTGGAAAAAAAATATCAAGTTCCAATCAGGCCTATAGATAAATAGCGTGTTTCCGGTTTCCCAACTGACCCTAAAATGTATGAGCCGACCATGAAAAATTAATCCGCCGATATCTTTCTGGAAGTAAACAATTCCATTTTCACTATTAGAAATCCTAATCTCGATCACTTCGGTGTTTGGGAAAATGCACACCGTATACACATTAAACAGAAATGCCATTAGTAAGCCACCCTTTTGGGAAAAAGAAATGAACTCTTCATTTTTCTCATTTTGTTTATTGTCAAAGTTGAATTTTAAATAAAAAATGTTAAAATAAAATAAAATGTTTTCCCTACCTACTTACCCTATTTTTTCTCGGGTTGGAATAGGAAACACACTATTTATATATCTTGGCCTCAACAACAGTACAAATATGTATCTGTAATTCATTAATCTTCATAAAATTAATAAATTTTTACTGTTTATCTTTTGTTTTTTTCCTCATGATGCCAACCTCCTCCTAGCCATACCCCAACTACAGACTCCCAACTAATGTGGGAGAACAGTCCTTTCACTGACCTTATCATGTCTTTGTATTCTATGACACACACATCCATCTAAGTTGGAAGTTTACTGTTTTACTTTAAGCACTGTCTCATAAATATTTAATCTCTTACGCTGCTTCATTTTCTATCTTGGATATCAAAAATGAAAAGTTGCATGCTTCTAAACAGAATATCATATCATCCACAGGGCTAGATGCTAACTCGATTCCTACTATCCCTAGTAATGTTTGCTTGTCCAGCATTGTAGTCAAAGAATGCTGGATGTTTTGCCCCAATTTATGGGTTCGTGGTAAGATGCCCCCCCCCCCATGTTTTTTATCAGAAGCCAATAATTATTTGTGCATAATAATGTCAATTTATAAGGCCAAATAAAAAAATATGTGTGGTTCCGGTTACCCGACCGTCCCTATTTTATACCCCCGACCCTAAACTTTTTTTTGACAATATTCAAATTTCCGGAATTTTCCCTGATTTCCCTCATTGGCTCCGGTATTAGTTTTAGTTTCAGCAATGGTGGCCTTCTTTGACAACATTGTTTCAACACGTAGTACAAGTGTTTTGTCAGTTACAAATGTCACCACTTGAAAGGAAGCAATAGTATTATCTCACCAATATCACCAATACTTAATTCAAGAACATTCAATGATATTTTTGACTTTTATTATATTTAAAAAAAAAAAAAAAAAAAAAACAAAAAAAAAACACCTACCTACCTACCCTAATTTATTTGGAGGTGTAACCGGAACCACACATATTTTTTTATTTGGCCTAAGTATACACATGTATTTAAGTATGGGCAAGTATTTGGAGGGAGTGCCCTCCCCCCTTTTTTTTTCATAACAATCTTTTTTTTTATATTAATTTAGTATGAAAAAATTCATTGAAAGGCCTGTTTCCCACATTTATTGATTGTCAAAGTTTTTTTTTTTAAGGTAAGTAGTATATTAATTTTCTGGCATCTCCTCTTCGAAAATGATGCTACATACTTAAAAGGACATAGACTTTTTTTCAATTGTCTACTCAGACAGTGCATTGTTTGTATACTTTGTTTTTAATTCATAGTTTGAACTGTTTCAATCAATACGCTGATGAAGAAACGAATGAAATTAAATGCTAGTATAGACCAAAATGACATTGAGCCCTACCATAGTTGGACAGTCTGACTAATCTGACAGTGATGTTTCAAACAGTATTTAAATTAAATCTCACTAAACAAATTCAGGATTTGCTATAATTTTTTTCTCTCAATCTTTATAATTGTTTTTAATGAGTGTGCAGTACAAAATTTTCAGTTGATCTACAGGGCTAGCTGTACCATGACCTCAATTTTCAAGTTGTCCCAGGCTACAGTACTGTTAGTGTCGAACTCTGAATCCAATCAAATTCATGTAAAAGCAAATTCAATCAACATCCATAAGTATACTGCAATGGCATAAAAAGAATAATTTGCATGATGGGATATGGTTGTACTGTATACTTACTTCGTCCTCTGAGTACGGACAAATCACACAAGTCTACTTCTGTGTCATCTGCATCATCTTCACAATTTTCATACTGGATATCAAACAGAATTATTAAAAAAAATTAACTATATATCTATTAAATAATGCATGCAAACTAGACTATCAATAAAGCTGTCAGGGATTACTTACATCAATTATATTTAGAGATACAGAAAAACTTATATTTACCAAAGTTGTTAGTTACTGCGGATTTGAAAATATTTATGGCAAGATGAAATTTTCTTCATTTTTGCCGTGTAAATTTTTAATTCTTTATGGGATATTATATCCCAAAATAGCTTGTCATATCCCATTTCCCGACGGTCAACTAGTCTATTTATCAACATTTTGCAGTTTTGGGATGGTGGATGGGTGCCACATACCAACAAAACCTCAGATGTAGAAAAAATCTAATCAATGAAAGAGTTCTAGTGTTTTTTTTTTTTTAATTTAATTACCTTATCAAAAATATGCTGTAGATTGGACTGATATCTTCGCAATCTAGTCTCTGGATCTGTGGAAATATACCCTCGATCTGTTCTCCTTTTTAAAGCCCCCGCCATTACATTACCTTGTTGACATTCTGAGTCCCGAGCCCGATCGATATAGGAGGAATGGTTGCGTTTTCACATCATCATGAAGTTTATAATCTCTAGGTCAAGTTTCTCATTGTATAGACCTATGTGTTTTAGCATATTTTACTTTATAGAGTAAGATTTACTTCTTAGATAAATGTATTGACAAAAAGAAAGTTGAGAGCAGGAATATTATTTGTTTCAGAGTTATTTATAGAATAAGAAATTTTCCTGAAGATATTTTTTTCATTAATCATTTAATGAATGTAGCAAATGCCTTAGAGGGGACTCTACATGGGACAGAACTCTAGTAAAGAGCCCAACCCAAGTGTGGGTAAGCAAAAATTTGATATGAATCAAAATTAATGCCTTAAATGTTAAAATGAAGTGTTGTTTGTAAATTGTTTATTTTTTTGTTTTTTTGCTAAAACTGACAGGAGTTCAGATTGATTGATCTTAATTTGAATCTATTTCACACCTTAAAGAGAACAATCAGATTGTATTGTTAGATGAAGCATACAGCTTTTTGTAGTGAACTAGACACATAAATTGTAAATAAATATATAGGCCAGCTAGATTATTTTCTTTCTGTATAATGTGGACCTGGTTTAAGTACTGTAAGTGACATGTATTAGACAGTGGCGTATATTCCTTTCTGCTAATGTGTAGCCTAGTGTGAAGTCACAGATTTAACCTGAGGTGGAAAGTGTGGGTAGGCAAGGAGCTCCCTCTCGATAAGTTTGGGGGGGGGGTTCAAATGGAGCATTTTTGCAAACCCAGACATCTACAATTTTGATTTGACCAGTAAAAATAATATTGTAGACACATTTTCAGTTTATATCGTGATATGTCAGACCACTTAACAAAATTGAGAACTCTTAACTTATCCTTTTACTCTGCTTAGAAAATATGGAAACTTCCTTACTGAAAAATCAAAATTCAAACAGTACGTTTAATTTCCTACTAACCAATTATATTTCAAGTTATCAATTTCATTTCCTGCACATATTGCTTTCGATGACATTTTCTGATACAGACTTAATATTAACAACACTTGAACTTTTGCTTAAAAAATTCCAGCTATGGGAATAGTTTTGTCTTTAAATATAAAGCTATCTATTCACCCAGGGTTGCAGGATGATTTTGCCCTCAATCTATGCATGCCCATTATGACATATTTTATAGCTGATCCGTAGATTTTCACCATGACATCATATTTTTCAACACTGTCAATGTAATTAGCAATGACTCAAAAATCAACAATTTAATTCTGAACAGTGCTGATTAATTGTACGAATGCATTGTATTGAAGTCCATCTGGCTCTTCAGGCTATAATTGGCATGGACAGGTCCAGCACAATCTCTTGATTAAGCTATATAGCTTGAAATAGCTATATAGCTTTATAAAGCTATTCAAAATAGCTTGATAAAGCTATTTATATGAAGGTTTTCACAAAAATGTTATTTGTACAAAATAGACAAAAAGTCGCAAGTATTTGATTATTCAGATATGTAATATGGGTTATCAAATCAACAACCCAAATCAAAGATAGTTCTAACATTGCAGCATTTGAATACTTTTAAGCAAAAGATGAATTTCCATTGTTTCGGTAACTGTACACTACCTTGTGTGCGTTGAGGCATGGATAAGTATGATTGCTTCTCATTGTACTGAATTATTACCAATCAATTATCTTGTTGACCATAATTGGCCTCCTTTATAATTTCATTTAAGAAGTAACTGTATCAATTGCTTTATATAGCCCCAAAACTTTTAGAACTTTGAGTACAAAGTCTCTTAAGGAGACACAATTTGATGAGTGATTTTTACATGCATTATTTTCATAAGAGTTCAAGGTTGAATATCATCACTGCACCAAGGTGCGACTTTTTGTGCATACTTGGAAAATAACACATTTGAGAAAAAAAGTGATAAAATAGCTAAATCAAGCTATTCTGAATAGCTTAATAAAGCTATATAGCTAAATCAAGCTATATAGCTTAATCAAGAGATTGTGCCGGACCTGATGGATGAGGGAGGGTCAACCAGGCTCAGTCCTAAAACTCTTTTATAATCCTTAAATCATATTGCTACAATATGTATAGGTCAGGAGAGGGTATATGAAACTCCAATACCATCAGTATTGGGACAAGGTTGGAAAGAGCAGAATTGCCAGCTTTATATATGTATGGTAGGGATTCTGTGTAAATTATATACACCGTAAGTAGGTCACATTAACATAAAAAGAAGGTATGTGGAATCTGGCCTTTAATACCATCAGCCCTGGCATGGGAAAGGGTTCTGCAGATTAAAACTTTAATATACTAGGTCAAAAGTATAACTACATGTACTATGTAGAATTTCTATACCATTGATATCAGTATTTAGTCACAGAGAGTTGAAATGTGGAATGGCTAACATACTATAAATGGCTGGCCGGTCACAAAGAAAAAGTTTTTATAGTACTATCTGATGTATAATCAATAGGTCACATGGTTAGGTTATTGTGAGGATTTGTGGAATCTCAACAAAATAATTGTCAATTAGGATGAACTGTACTTGGAATTTCTAAACTTTTATTATTAGGTCTTTCCACCTTTCTGTGGAAAGACCTATTGATATTCTTCTGTTTATTATTATTATTATTAGGTCTTTCCACCTTTCTGTGGAAAGACCTATTGATATTCTTCTGTTTATTATTATTATTATTATTATTATTATTATTATTATTTTTCCACCCCCTGATGTGATTCTATGTTTCAAGATATATCGAAAAGATTTATAGTCTATAAGAATGTACTCTTTAAAAGATTTTTATAGTTGACCCTGCATGTATGAACTTTGACCCCTTAAGGAGTTACAACCCCTTTTGCAATAAAGCCTCGTTATCGCTACTCCTTCGAAACCGTAAACCGTAGAGGTATGGAACCTTCACCAATGTCTTCGACTAATTGAGGGGACTCTTCAATCTTTTCATTGCGAAAGTATTTGTGCACCCCTTTTATGAGTTATTGCCCCTGAAAGTCTTTGATATTTACGAATAATGAAAAATTTTCAAAACGATAAGTCGTAGAGACATGGGACCAACTGCATTACATTCATTGACCTTTGACCTAAAAATATATGGAAAGGTCAAAGGTCAAGGTCATTCCAAAAATGAGAAATTAAGCTCTTTTTACAGCTCTTTTGTCTTTCAATATATACTATTATTCTTTGCATCATTAATATGTACTCTTCAATTTATCTCAAAGATTTCATTCTTGTCCCCTAAGCTTAACCCCTTTGAAAGTTATTGCCCCTTGTGCGAAAAACCTTGTTATCGCTACTTCTCTGAAACCGTAAATCGCAGAGACACGAAACCTTCACTAATGTCTTCAGGGTCATTAGACACAACTTCAGATTACCAGAGCAAAAGGATCTTCTGACCCCTTATATGAGTTATTGCCCTTTAACGTCTTTGTACTTACTATAAAACCTTATAACTTTAAAACTAAAAGTCGTAGAAGGATGGGGTCAAGTGCAATGTGACCCATGACCTTTGACCTTGAATATTTGTTCAAGGTCAAAGGTCAAGGTCATTACCAAATTTTTAAAATTTTAATTTTTTCCATCTCTCAAGCCATTTCTGGTTTCTCCTATATAAAAATAAACAGTAGAGAGTTAAATGTGAAGAATATATGAAATTTAAAGAAGGTGGAAAGACCTCTAATTGTTCGCGAACAATTAGTCTACTAGTTATTATTATTATTATTATTATTTTTCCACCCCCTGATGTGATTCTATGTTTCAAGATATATCGAAAAGATTTATAGTCTATAAGAATGTACTCTTTAAAAGATTGTTACAGTTGACCCTGCGTATATGAACTTTGACCCCTTTAAGAGTTATTACCCCTTTTGCAATAAAAGCTTGTTATCGCTACTCCTTCGAAACCATACACCGTAGAGGTACGAAACCTTCACCAATGTCTTCGACTAATTGAGGAGATTCTTCAATCTTTTCATTGCGAAAGTATTCGTGGACCCTTTTTATGAGTTATTGCCCCTGAAAATTTTTTAAGGTTACAAATAATATTTTTTTTTCAAAACGATAAGTCGTAGAGACATGAAACCAACTGGATAAGATTCTTTGACCCCAGACCTTGAAATTTATGTCAAGGTCAAAGGTGAAGGTCATTCAAAATATGAGAAATTAAGCTATTTTTATATCTCTTTTGTCTTTCAACATACGCTAAATATCTTTGCATCATTAATATGTCCTCTTAAAACTATTTAAAAGAATTCATTCTTGTCCCCTAAGATTTACCCCTTTAAAAGTTATTGCCCCTTTTACTGAAAACCTTGTTATCGCTACTCCTCCGAAACTGTAAACTGTAGAGGCACAAAACCTTCACTAATGTCTTCAGGATCTTTAGATACAACTTCAATCTATTCAGTGCGAAAGTATCCGATGACCCCTTATATGAGTTATCGCCCTTTAACGTCTTTGCGCTTACTATTAAACCTTATAACTTTAAAACTAAAAGTCGTAAAAGCATGGGGTCAAGTGCAATGTGACTCTTGACCTTTGACCTTATTAATTAATTTAAGGTCAAAGGTCAAGGTCATTTCAAAATTTTTAAAATTTTCATTTTTTCCATCTCTCAAGCCATTTCTGGATTCTCTTTGTATGAAAATTATCTTTAGAGAGTAAAATATGAAAAATATATGAAATTTAAAGAAGGTGGAAAGACCTCTAATTGTTCGAGAACAATTAGTATCCTAGTTATTATTATTATTCTTCTTCTTCTTATTATTATTTTTCTTCCGCTGATTTTTTGTTTCGACATTTATCGAAAAGATTTTTTGTTCATTGTAAAGGTCATAAAAAGTTATGAACAAATTTGACCCAACGCGTATAACCTATGACCTCTTTCGCAGTTATTGCCCCTTTCACTAGAAACCTTGTTATCGCTACTCCTCTGAAACCGTAAACCATAGAGGTACGAAACCTTCACCAATGTCTTCAACTAATTGAGGAGACTCTTCAATCTATTCATTACGAAAGGATTCGTTGAGCCCTTTTATGAGTTATTGCCCCTGAAAGTTTTTGAAGTTTACAAATAATGAAAAATTTTTTAAACGATAAGTCGTAGAGACATGAAACTAACTGCATTAGATTCCTTAACCCTAGACCTTGAAGTTTATGTCAAGGTCAAAAGTCAAGGTCATTCCAAATAAGAGAAATAAAGCTCTTTTTATAGCTCTTTTGTCTTTCAACATATACAGTATATCTTTGCATCTTTAATATGTACTTTTAAAACTATTTCAAAGATTTCAATCTTGTCCCCTTAGCTTAACCCTTTTAAAAGTTATTGCCCCTTGTGCGAAAAACCTTGTTATCGCTACTCCTTAGAAACCGTAAACCGCAGAGACACGAAACCTTCACTAATGTATTCAGTGTCTTTAGACACAACTTCAATCTATTCAGTGCGAAAGTATCCGATGACCCCTTATATGAGTTATCGCCCTTTAATGTCTTTGCGCTTACTAGTAAGCCTTATAACTTTAAAGCTAAAAGTGGTAGAAGCATGGGGTTAATTGTAATGTGACCCTTGGCCTTTGACCTTGAATATTTGTTTAAGGTCAAAGGTCAAGGTCATTTCAAAATTTTTAAATTTTCATTTTTTCCATCTCTCAAGCCATTTCTGGTTTCTTTTGTATAAAAATAAAGAGTAGAGAGTTAAATATGAAGAATATATGAAATTTAAAGGTGGAAAGACCTCTAATTGTTCGAGAACAATTAGTCTACTAGTTTAATCCTATGTCTGTGCAAGGGAGTACCCCTGTATATAGACAGATCGAGGTGTAACTGATGAGAGTTTGCCAAGTTTTTTAATTGACCACATCTTTTGGAGAATGATCACCAAGTCATTGCCATGATCTGTCTCAGAATTTGTGAGAGATCCCACAATCTTCATGGTCTCTTTTAAGTTTTGACACTTCATGGTCTCTTTAATGTTTTGACACTTATACCCAGAACTGAGTCTCTCAAAGAACACCCAAAGATCATAGAAGACCCAAAAATTCTCAACAAAGAGGTTTTTCAAAGAACACAAAATGTTTTTATTATGCTTAACACCCAAAAGATCTCTCAGCAGTCTCTTTCAGTCTTACAGTGGTCTCTGCTTATCCACTTTTTGTAGATCTGTCACTAATCTTGATTAGTTGCAAAGCAATATATCATTCAGCAAACTCTCAGAGGTTACTATAGAAAACAATATAACCATCAATCTGTGAAGAATCTTTTAGCTTGTGTTCCTTGAGTGTCTAGATCACTCAGTGATCATAACAGATTGCCATGTAATGTGGCATTGTTTTTAATTTTTCATTGCACAATATTAGCTCTTATGAACTCCATATCACTTTTACACAGAAAGAGCCTCGTAGACTAGGCTTTCTGAGATAGCAAAAAAACATCTATATCAATCCTTCCATAGGCAGAGTGTACCATGAATCCCTGACTACTAGCTATATCTGACAAAGAAGGGTAGATTTGGAAACTGTTTATCATTAGTACATGTGTAGACCACAAAAAGTATAATGATATATTGGAATCACTATAAATGTAACAACCTTATGCCACACAAATGGGATCAGTGTTTAGGGAATTCATGTAGTCTTTCAGTTTCATACACATGTAATAACTAAAGAATCTCAGTACAGTAAAACCCATTTTGTATGAACACCGATAAAGCTAATTTACGGCTATAGTGAAGTTTCCGTAGGTATCTCCGGAAAAATTATTAACATGCAGTTCTATGTAAAATTTTAAGGTTGTGATGAACTCTGACATATCAAATTCATGGATATATAGCGAACTGATTTTGTGTCCTGTAGAGGTTAAAAATAACATAATTAATTTATATCTTTTATTTATAGGGGATTAATTCTTAAAATTTAAAAATTGAACTAATGTTATTATTTGAAATTATTTATCTTTGAAATTCAATTTATCTGAAAACTTTTGTACCCTAGTGTATGTAAGGTTTGTATTTAATATTCATGGCACCAAATCTGTAAAAGGAAAGGAGAAAATGTATGGCTGGACCAGGAATCGAACCCTAGACCCCTGCATCACTAGTCAGGTGCTCTACTGACTGAGCTACCCAGGCTGATATCCATGGCCAAAACAATTACATTATAAACATCTATTTGTTTTTCTTGTTGACAGTTAATGCTCCCATACGAGGGATAACTCCTTTACAACATGCACTGTCTAATCTCAATTTGGTACCACCTCCGGCCTCACCCCCCACCACAGCCAACCCGAGCCCTAGACAGTGGGTAAAGATTGGAGGGGTCAGTGTATCAGTTATACAAGGACAACTCACTGATGAACAGGTCAGATGTGTTTTTTAATAAATTGGTGCTTTGATCAAAACATTCTTACTTCAAATGATCTCTTAAGAGATTCTGGATGTTAGCTGATAGAAATTGCTGTCAATTTAGGATTTAATTACTGGATTCTAAATGAAATTCTTGCATATTTAAAAAATCTTAGATATCACTTTTTTAGCTCACCTCAACGAAGTTGGGGGAGCTTATGTAATACCCTTGGCGTCGACATCAGCGTCCCAGGTTAAGGTTTTTGGAGCAGTTTTCTTTTCAAGTACTTCTATGGCCTATATTAGTCAGAGATGCATGGAGGATACTTCTAGTATATTTCATTGTACCAGTCAAGGTTTCAGATGCTGCAATTTCAGCTAAAGAATGACCAGGTTAATGTTTTTGGAGCATAATAAAGTTTTTGGAGCAGGTCTCATTTCCAAGTAACTATAAGCCCTATATTGACCAAACTTGCATGGATGATACATCTAAGGATGCACACTACTGGACCTGCTTCGGATGCTGGATCTGACCTATATTTTCCGGATGAGTAACCAGGTTAAAGTTTTTGGAGCAGATCTCATTTCCAAGTAACTATAAGCCCTATATTGACTAAACTTGCATGGATGATACATCTAAGGATGCACACTACTGGACTTGCTTCGGATGCTGGATCTGACCTAAATTTTCCGGATGAGTGACCAGGTTAAAGTTTTTGGAGCAGATGTCATTTTCAAGTAACTATAAACCCTATATTGACCAAACTTGCATGGATGATACATCTAAGGATGCACACTACTGGACTTGCTTCAGATGCTGGATCTGACCTACATTTTCCGGATGAATAACCAGGTTAAAGTTTTTGGAGCAGATCTCATTTCCAAGTAACTATAAGGCCTATCTGAACCAAACTTGCATGGATGATGCATCAAGGGACAAACAATCTCAAAACTTGCTTCGGATGCTGGATTTGAGTTACATTTTCTGGATGAGTGACTAGTTTTAAGTTTTCAGGTAAGTCTATTCCCAAGTAACTGCAGGCCCTATCAGACCAAAATTGCATAAATGTTGCATCCAGGGATGCACACTCCTAGATTATTAGTTTAGTGTGGGACTTTGCCTTACTTAAAGACAACATTTGTTGAGGTGAGCTCTGTAATCTCTGATTACCTATGTTTTAGTCCATGATGTTGTCTTGAAAAAATAGATTAATAAATAACCTATTAATGCACTCCCATGAATTTACAACAGAACATTAAAGTGCTATTTCAACTTTTTCTTAGTAAAATCCATGCACTATACAGGTTGATGTTTATGTCAATGGAGTGCCCTCTAACTTTGACCTGAGTAGAATTCCTAGTAAGAAATTAAGGGATGCTGCTGGATCTGCTTTGGAAGCTGACTGCAAGAAGGGATTTCCTAATGGCCTGAAAATAGGAGACATCGCAGACACAGGGGGGTTTAATTCCAAGTGCCAGAGAGTGTATCATGTGACCCTTCCCAGAAGTCAACAGGATGGCAGTCAAAACAAGGTTTATATTATTCTGTGGTTCAAAATCATTTTCAAGTTTAGATCTTGAAGATCTTGACAATTTTAGCAGTTAACTTCAAATTTTAAACTTGGTTTTCATGCTTGTATGTTTAATTCCCTATAGATGAAGTGCATTGCTTTGTTATGTCAAAGATATCAGAATTAACTGAATTATAGAATTTATGAAAGAAAAATGTAAAATATTTAATTTATGAATACCGCTTAGAATTCATTAATAAATACAGTACAAGGCATGGACGTATGTAGCGCTAATTCATGATTACGCAAACAACTCAATACCCAGTGATTGCACTAAATTTTAAATATGTCAATTTATATGTACACATACGGTATACTGTACCAGTAGTATGGTTAAGAATTTTAATACTTTTTCAAACTTTTCTCAGACTGTGACAAAATCGGTAAAGAACTGCCTTGAGAGAGCAAATAAAAACAGCTTCGGCTCCATTGCTGTGCCAGATCTGGGGACAGCCATAGGATACCCTGCCAGTATCCTCGCTGACCTGATGTTTACTGCAGTGGAGGAATTCAGTAAAGGGAAAAACAACCCCAATCTTAGCCAAGTGGTGTTCCCCATCTTCAAAAAACAAGTTTATACGGTACCCACTGTATATCATTCAGCAATGACATTATTTGAATTAATATAAAGAATTTTTAACAAAGTTTTATAAATAAATATTAATGAAGAACTTTAAATTGTAAAGTTAACATATAGTACACTAAAACTTGTATGTATTTTTGTGTGTTTTACAGGCATTTGTTAACAAGGCAAAGGAAATATCGACTCAAAATTCAGGTATCATATAATATTATTTTCAGTTTTTAGCTCACCTGAGCTGAAAGCTCAAGTGAGCTTTTCTGATCACATTTTGTCCGTCTGTCTGTCTGTCTGTAAACTTTTCACATTTTCGACTTCTTCTCCAGAACCGCTGGGCCAATTTCAACCAAACTTGCCACAAAGCATCCTTGGTTAAAGGGGATTCAAGTTTGTTGAAATGAAGGGCCACACCCTCTTTCTAGGGGAGATAATTAAGAATTAGTGAAAATTTGGTAGTATCTTTTAAAAATCTTCTTCTCAAGAACCACTGGGCTGAAAAAGTTGAAACTTATACGAAACCTTCATTACATAGTGTAGATTCAAGTTTGTTCAAATCTTGATCCCCTGGGGTAGGGTGGGGTCACAATGGGGGTCAAAGTTTTACATAGGAAGATATAGGAAAAAATCTTTAAAAATCTTCTTCTCAAGAACAACAAAGCCACTATTATATAGTCATATTGATATGGAATCATCCTCAGGTAGTGTAGATTCAAGTTTGTTCAAACCATGACCCCTGGGGGTAGGGTGGGGCCACAATGGGGGATCAAAGGTTTACATTGGAATATAAAGGAAAAAAATTTGAAAATCTTCTTAAGAACAAAAAAGGAACAATCAGTCATATTGATATGGAATCATCCTCAGGTAGTGTAGATTCAAATCTGTACAAATCATGAACCCCGGGGGTTGGGTGGGGCCACAGTAGGCGATCAAAGTTTTACATAGAAATATATAGGAACAAGAGGCCCATGGGCTACATCGCTCACCTGAGCACATTGGCTAGGAAGAAAAAGCAAAAATCAGTTCAGTATTGGAAAGTTTACGGGGTGGGTGGTGGGGGGGGGGGGTGAATTTTAAACTACCTGATGATGCTTTCATATCAATATAATAACAAATGGCTTTGCTGTTCTTGAGCAGCAGATTTTTTCCCATACATTCATTTGTAAAAATTTGATCCTCCATTGTGGCCCCACCCTACCCCCGGGTGCCTTGATTTGAACGAACTTGAATCTACACTACCTGAGAATGCTTCCATATAAATATGACCAATCATGGCTTTGCTGATCTTGAGAAGAAGATTTTTAAAAATTTTTCTATATACTCTTATGAAAAACTTTGATCCCCCATTGTGGCCCCATACTATCCCCGGGGGGGGGGGGGGGGGTCATGACTTGAACAAACTTGAATCTACACTACATGAGGATGCTTCCATATAAATATGACCAATCATGGCTTTGCTGTTCTTAAGAAGAAGATTTTTAAAGATATTTTCCTATATATTTCTATGTAAAATTTTGATCCCCCATTGTGGCCCCACCCTACCCCCGGGGGTCATGATTTGAACGAACTTGAATCTACACTACCTGAGGATGTTTCCACATAAGTTTCATCTTTCCTGGCCCAGTGGTTCTTGAGAAGAAGATTTTTAAATGATGCCATTATATTTTCACTAATTCTTTATTATCTCCTCTTGAAAGAGGGCGTGGCCCTTCATTTGAACAAACTTGAATCCCCTTCACCCAAGAATACTTTGTGGCAAGTTTGGTTGAATTTGAAACATGAAAAGTTTACAGACAGACAGACGCACAGATGGACGACGGACAAAATGTGATCAGAAAAGCTCACTTGAGCCTTCAGCTTAGGTGAGCTAAAAAATCTTTAAAAATCTTCTTTTCAAGAACAACAAAGCCACGATTAGTCATTTTGATATGGAATCATCATCAGTTAGTGTAGATTCAAGATTGTTCAAATCATGATCCCGAGGGGTAGGATGGGGCCACAATGGAGAATCAAAGTTTTAAATAGAAATACAGGTAACTCGAGATACCTCGAAGTCCACGGGACCGAGGAAAAACTTCGAGAGATCAAGAGTTCAATGTTCAAGAGTCCAAGATTTTCCGGGTTTGTTGACAAGTTTTAAAATTAGTCTTACCGGATGTAATGATTTTCATGCAGTGCTAACTTTTTACACATGGTTTTTTATAAACCAACGATATTTTTTCGTAATTTAGATGAATATTTCATTGAACTGAGTAAAGCAACAATGTATATCGTCATTTCATGTATATTTATTTAATCTTTGTAATACGGACATCATACTACGCATTTGTTACATGAAAACGATATTTTACAGCATCGTACATAGCATTGACTATTCCAAACATGTTCATTGAACACAGTTCTGTAAGTAATTGTCCAATAATAGTCGTCGTACTGAGATTGAGACTGTTTCTGCTTTTTTATATTTCGTTTAACTTTGACACTGACTCGAAATGAAAATTAAATTAGTGTTTCGTCTTTTAATCAATTACTACTTTTCACTGACACTAAATTATGGTATGACAGTCGATGATAATCATTTTAATAGCATATAGGCAAAATATGATTAATTATAAATCAGTTATCACCTTGCAGCATAAGTGTCACCTGAATAAACATCCCATTCCTCGAGACCCGAGTCTTCTGCCTGGGGCCATTTAAATGTCCAGGTAAAGGTGCTAATTATACCATGGATTATATAACCTTGTATACACATAGCCACTTCGAGGTATCGAGGGTAAATTCTAATAGAATATGCATAGCGGGACTGCATTTTGACTTTGAGGGATCAAGGTTTGAGAGATCAAGAGTTTGAGAAATCAAGAGTAAATTTGCTCTGTTATATAGGGGGAAAATTCGGGATCGGAGACTCACTTCGAGTGATCAAGAACTTAGAGAGATCGAAGTTCGAGCCATCAAGAGTTACCTGTATATAGGAAAAATCTTTAAAAAAATGTTTCCAAGAACAGGAAAGCCATGATTAGTCAAACTGATATGGAAGCATCCCCAAATATTGTAGACTCAAGTTTGTTCAAGGCATCCTCCAGTAGTAGAGTGGGGTCATAATGGGGGATCAAAGTTTTACAAAAGAACATATATAGGAAATATTTTTAAAAATCTTCTCAAGAACAACAAGGCCATGATTAGTCATATTGATATGGAAGCATCCTCAGGTAGTATAGATTCAAGTTTGTTCAAATCGTGACCCCCCCCCCCCCCCCCCTCCCCCCCACCTCTTCTGGGTAGGGTGGCAGCAGACATTTTTAAAATTCCGTTTTCAAGAACAGCAAAGCCATGATTAGTTATATGAATATAGAAGCATCCTCAGAAAATTTAGATTCAATTTCATTCAAAACATGGCACCTGGGGGTAAGGTATGCCTTGAACAGGTGATCAAAGATTTACGTATGAATATATAGGAGAAGAAATCTGCTGACGAAGAACAGCAGGGCCATATTGACTCAGATGAGCATTGTGGCCCATGGGCCTCTTTTTTTTTTTTAATCAGACCTATGATTTGAGATAATTGTCAGTGTACATTGTAAAAAAAAACCCCACAAAATAAGATAACGCTATTCTATTTTCTGTAATTTGGTCCTCAAGAAAAGAGCTGCTGTGCATATTTTCAGTTTACCATTTACTCTTTACTGTAGTTGTAACATTTGAGTTTACAATTCACTTTTTGCTGTAGTTGTAACACAGAAGACTAGCTGTAAGTTAGGAAGAATAGAGGTCTGTTTGAAGGTTGGAAAACTGACAGAACAACAAGTAAGTTTGCAGCTGTTAAAAAAATCACAAGTACATGTACATTCCTAGCTACATTAATTAAATGATTGAAGTAGTCATTTAAAATATCAAGATAATTATTTTACCCCCACTTCGAAGGAGAGGAGGTATACTGTTTTAACCTTGTCTGTCTGTCTAGCTGTGTGTCTGTCTGAAACAAATTTTTGTCGCAGTTTTCTCAGCAACTACTCAACGCAGATACTTGAAATTTTTTAACACACTCTTTGTCTAGGCATGCCATATGGTGGGATTCATGAGAGTATATATTCACATCAGAGCGGGGGTATTACTAGTGAGCATTGTCTCACAGACTTCTTGTTCATTAAGGTCAGATGACACGTTCCTCAATAATGTAATTTTTCCCAAGAATTTATGATTGAAGTACATTGTATTGCTTCTGTAACAAGTATCCTCATAAAAAATTGACATTATCATGCATTTGTGCAAGATTCCAGAGGTTGGTATTTCCCATATAATCCTATTGATAATTCCTTGAATTGCTGATATCATAAATTTTTATGAATGTGGCCGTGGCATATAGTGTCCGTCTTCCGTCCTTCCATCCTTCTGTCCTTCTGCTTTGCATTTAGCTCAGTTCAAAGCTCAGTTTCAAAGAAACTATCCAAGATATTTTTATCAAACTTCATATGCTGATAGATATTGATGAGAGCTATGCAACTGCATCAACATTTTTTGACCTTGACCTTTCTTTTGACCTTGACTTTACTTTTCTTTAATTAGTGTTCAGCTCAGTTTTAAAGAAACCATTTAAGATATTTTAATCAAACTTCATATGCTGATACATACTGATAAGAGCTATTCAACTGCATCAACATTTTTTGACCTTGACCTTTCCTTTGACCTTGACCTCACTTTTCTTAAATTAGTGTTTAGCTCAGTTTTAAAGAAACCATTCAAGATAGTGTTATCAAACTTCATATGCTGATACATACTGATGAGAGCTATTCAACTGCATCAAAAATTTTTGACCTTGACCTTTCCTTTGACCTTGACCTCACTTTAGTTAAATTGGTGTCAAACTTCGTATACTGAAACATACTGATGTAAGCTTTTTAACTGCATCAACATTTTTGACCTTGACCTTTCCTTTGACCTTGACCTTACTTTTCTCAATTTGAGTTTAACTTAGTTTTAAAGAAACCATTCATAATATTTTTATCAAACTTCATATGTTAATACATACTGATGTAAGCTTTTCAACTGCATCAACGTTTTTTGACTTTGACCTTTCCTTTGACCCTAACCTCATTCATTTTAAGTTGATGTTTAGCTCTGTTTTAAATAAACCATTGAAAATATTTTTATCAAACTTAATATGCTAATATGATTTGTGAGAACTATTCAACTGCATAAAAAATGTTTGACCTTGAACTTTCCTTTGACCTTGACCTCACTTTTCTTAAAATTTGCATTTTGCTAAGTTTTAAAGAAATCATTTAAGATATATTTTTCTAAGCTTATGCACTTATACATAATTTGGTGAGAATTTATCATCTATATCCAACTTTTTAGATTTCAATTTTAAAGAAACTATTCAAGATATTCTCATCAAATTTCAGACACTAATACAAATTTTCATGTTGCATTACTAATATACCCTCGGCAGGGCATTCATGTCCTATGGACATACATGTATTTCTAGTTTTTAGTCTTTTGTTTTTAGTTTTTGAAAACAGTTTAGCATGTTTAGAAATCAAAAGGTAGGAATAATTATATACTGATGATGTCTGGCATCTCATTGATTGGCGTCCTTCTTAATGACATCTCTCGATCTCGGTCTCCTCTCCTTGAAAATTAAATGGAAGACTTATTTGTTGCTTTTGCAACAAGCTCATCTAGTTAATATAGATTTTTGGTCTATCATGAAGAGATACAAAAACAGATATTCAAGGAATATGTTGTCAGACCTTAATACCTTGGTACCAACAGTAAACATGTACATGAGTTGTCTCCCTTTGTGGATCATTTAGTTTGTCCAGTTTAGCTAGCCCTTGCATGTCTACATGTAGATCTGACTAACAAAATTGTTTGATGTAGTGGGTAGTGGGAGCTAGGCTGGCTATACATATCCTCTTATTCTAGGCAAGTGAAATCTATAGTTATTGAAAGCAAATTTCCAGGGACGATTCAAATTCTTGACTGACATATACATATTTTAAAATTATTCACTGAATCTAGTTATATATGTACCAGATGAGGCTTTGTTATGAGTAGACATTACATAATGTAATGATTATCAAATTAAAAAAAAATTGCTTCATAATACATTTATTAATTACATGTACCGGTATGTATCCATAATATGCAACATTCTTTTGATATGGTTTAAATCCTCATGACAGAGGTATTTTCATTTCAACCAGTGTTAGTGTATTATAAAACATGTACTGTGACTGTCATGTATTCCCTTCCATGATTCCTTTTTCCACACTGCTTTTATTATAACTAAACTAATACAGTGAAACCTCTCTAATCCGACATGAACTGGGAGACATGCAAATTTTGTGCTGGAATAAACAGGATGTTGGATTACACAGTTTAAAAAAACATGGAAAATAGTCAAATGGGGATGAAAATCAAAGTTGGAATTCCCAATGAAAAGGATTGCACTTGTGTTGGACTAGACAGTTTTCACTGTATATCCATAAAATTCTTTTGATATGATATAAACCAGTGACTGAGATATTTTTGTTAGTGTTAGTGTGTTTGCTAAACATACATTTTATTGTTGTATTACAGGTTGATGTTATTGTTTGTAGCGGACCTCAAGATCTGAAACTGAAAAATGGAGGAATGGCAGAGACAATGCTGAAGGCTGCAGGGCCTGGACTGCAGGAAGAGTGTGATAAGAATTATCCAAATGGAATCAAGTATGGAGACATTGCATTCACTGGTGGCCATAACTTGCCTTGTCAATTTGTGTACCATGGAGCTCTTCCTAAGTGGGGTGCGTCCTGTAGCACTACACCAAAACAGGTACTTGAGTACTTAAGTGTGGTATAAAGAAACTTAAAATTCTGAAAAAAAATGTAAAATTCATATCAATAATTGTAATTAATTCTGTCAACTTTCTCAGGATTTCTTTACGTACTTTCTCTTGTTCTCTTTAAGATCTTGAAAGACTTTGTCACCAACTGTCTGGAGGAAGCCAATAAACATCCCATGACAAAGACCCTTGCTTTCCCCACCCTGGGGACTGGGTCTCTAGAATACCCTCCTGATGAAGTAGCTGAGGTCATGGCAGAGTGCATTGAAGACTTTAACAAAAAATATCCAAATACTGAACTCACCAGAATCACCATTGTAGCTTACAATCTGGACAAAAAATGGCAAACAGTACAACAGGTATATTGTTCTTCATTTAGAAAAAAAATTTACAGGATTTAATTATTAAGTATTTTATCAACAATTCAACTCGGTCGGATTGATGGTAATCGGTTAGAAAGTCTGTGATCCGTTAGTTGGAAAAAAAATTAAAATATAAATAATGTCATTATGTGTAAAATACACAATAATAAATAATGATAATTAAAATATATTAAATAATGTGTAAATTTGGATGCAATTTCCTGATTCAATTTAGAAAGTTGAAAGAAAAATTCCTTAATGTTAGCATTTTCTCTTATCTATTTAAGTTGATTCAGAGATATAAAGGCTCTCTAGATTAATGACATACTGGGGGTAATTGGTCAGTTTGTGAGATGTTTATTCCTTTTAAAACACCATGTGGTTACCCAGCTTGTCCTGCATTTCTTTTAATGATTTTAATTAAATGATCCTTCATGACTCTGAACTAATAATAATGTGTAACTTACCTTGTCTATTGAAATTGAAATAAAATACATATAGTAATCTGATCAAATATAGACATAATATTGCTAACATCTTTTTTAGTCCTCTCATTTATTTGAATAAAGCTTACATGAAAAAAAATCTGACAACAATTCTTGATATAATTAATCCATTAATCGAATGGAACATCCTTCAGTTAGCCGACTGGAAATTCTTTATTAGATTGCCATCCCTAAAATTACTTATGTAAACATGCATGTCTTTCAAGCAAAATTATTGTTTATGTGTGTGATAATATACAGGCATTTCTTTCTGCTCTACAATTTACAGGCATTTTTCTGCAGTTGATTTTACAGGTATATTTCTTCTATACTCTACAATTTACAGGCATTTTTTTCTGCTCTACAAATGACCACTCCCACCCACACTGTGACATCGCAAGGACCCGTTATAACTTCAGGTACAGGTAAAGTGTACAGTGTCTCAATCAATAAATTATAAGCCTGTTGCTTAAACAATGGTTCAAAAGGACTTTCTACAAATTTTAACTACATTTTTTTCTGTCATTTCTAAGTATATTTAGAAAAATACAGTGCTTAAAAATATTTTTTGTCCCCAGAATTAGAGATTTGTAGGCATATAGAATTTATTCTGTCCCAGTCTGTCTTTTGTCAGCAAAAATTTTAATTTGGCCATAACTTTTGAACTGTTCATGCTAGGGCTTCCATATTTAAAATGTATATTCCTCGTGACAAGGCCTTCCTTTGGATACAAATGTTTTTGACGTCCTGACCTTGACCTTGGAGTTTAACCTTCTTTTTAAAAAAAACTTTAACCAACTTTAACCTTGCAATGGCCATAATACAACTTTTGAATTGTTGGTGCTAGGGCTTCCATATTTCACATGTACCTAAATGATTTTTATGATCTGCACGTAAATGATTTTTATGATCTGAACGTTCTTTGGGTACCAATATTTTTGACATCATGACCTTGGAGTTTGACCTATTTTTGAAAAATTTTAACCTTGGCCATGACTTCTGAATGGTTGGTACATGAGCCTTAATTTTTTTCTGTGTATTCCTTGTGACAAGACCTTTTCTTTTTGACATTGACCATGGAGTTTGACATCCTTTTGAAAAAATTAAACATTTGCAATAACTTTAAAGAGACACTGTGATGGAAAAACAGGAAAATTGATGAAAGTAGAGTTTTTGCAAGACACATGCAAATTTTATTCAATTCTTGAAAGCATTAGGTTTCAGAAAATTACAGGTTTCAGAACCTAAAAAATCTACTTTTATGGAGAAAAATAAAAGTAAAAATAATTTTACTTTGCCCTAACGCGAAAATATTGCTTCACTTCTTCCTCTTTAAGATACGCATGCGCAGAAAAGTTGAAGAAGTTACCACAGTGTCTATTCCATAGATATAAATGTCGGATGACCGAGGATTTTGATATAATTTTCAAAAAAAAAAAGATGATCAAAACGTATTCCTCATTTTTGATTGCTCCAATTCAATGTTGTTTACAAGTTTCACCCTAAAAATAAAAGACACATGACCTTGACATTGTTGACATTTCTGATAACAACCACGCCATAGATACAACTTTTTCTTTTCTTGCACTTGCATTTTGCAGTCTTTTCTTGCTTTTACCATGCAGCTGAGATCTTAAAACTCACACATGATATTGACTCACTATGTAACTTTAAATGGTTGATGCTATGGCTTTCATATTTCACAGGTGTATTCCTTGTGACAAGAGCTTTTTGGATAACAACATTTTTGATGTCATAACCTTGACTGTTGAATTTGACCTTTACATTTAAAAAACTTGAACCTTGGCCTTCAGCTGCTATATGGGGGCATCAGTGTGTCACAAAGATGTTTTCAATAATTGATTGTTAATGTTATGCTATTAGAAAACAAAAATTTCATATAATAATTTATAATAATGTGCACCGAAAATCATGCACAGTCTTCCAGTACATTTTTCAATTCTTCGAGAAGTAGACTATGACATTCCTATTGCATTTTTGTAGCAGTTATTCCACTTTTCATAAGAGTCATTTTTTAACCTTTTTTTTTAATTTGAAATTATTCCAGGTCCATCATGTTCTTCAATTCTCTCCTCCCATCCCTACCCCCAACTATAATTTTGCTATGTACATGTACATGAGTTAATTCTGCAGTTTTTCTGAGTTGTATTAAGAATGTCATTTCTAAATTTTTATGCCGATTTCTGTGCGTCTGCATTTAACCTTCGTCAATTATCCTGATTACATTATATATGATGTCTCTTGAAGAAGTCTCTTGCTGTGGTCTTCAATTCAACATTCAGATGTATCAATTGACATTTTACTAATTAACAATCATTTTCAATCATACATTGATTCAATTAATATATCCCACTGAACTCAAAATAAAAGACAGCACAGAGTTTGCCTGCATGTTTCATATTTCAGTTGGATGTCTTATTAGAGAAAGGCATTCTGATGGCAAACTAACAACTGTTAAAACCTTATGACAAACCATGGTGACTTCAACTTTTCTTTCATCAGATTCTTTTATTGATGGAATAATATATCATTATCACCTGCATATGGTGTTTATAGGGCTCCTAGTTGATTTGATGTGCAAGAGCATGTTATAAGTACAAATAATTTCTAAACTGAAAAATCACAAACAAGTTAATGATGCAAGGGTATCAACAATCTCATTTAAAGTCAACATTTTGCTAATTTTATGGTTGATATAATGACCTTGTTTCCAAATACAATCTGTTGTTAGGTTAAATTTAAAAAACAAATTGTTTGAGTATATTTATTTTCATACTAAATTTTTATAGATAACTCTGTTTAAATGATCAAGACCAAGGGTTTATGGTGGGTGTGACTGACCAATGGGGGAGTGAGGGGATGATGCATATTCCTCCCACACCAGATACCACCTCTAATGTTCTCATGGGTCATCGTTTGCTCCGCCCTCAATTTGTCTTGTTTAATTGGACTTTTGAGCATTATAACTGTTTGTTTCATGTATGCATATTTAAAAAAAAAAAGGTGTATTATATATTCTAAGGTACATGTATAGAGGTTTACAACTATGTACATGATTAAAAGTTTTTAATTAAGACTTAGAATTGTAAATTTTTTTTTGGAAGAAACTTTTTATTTTAAATGCCAAGGGGTAAATGTTTTCAAAAACAGTACTGGTATTTATTGTAATTTTCTTGCACAGCTTCGAACTTACCTCCATTGAATACCAAACCATACTTTAAAGCTCTCTATGATGCAGCACGAGTGCCTCCTTCCTACTGGACAAAATACACATCAAACAAAACCCTGGCTGATTGGAATACCACTGTCTCACAAAAAGCATATGAACTTGTGGATTTAAACATCGCCGACCCTCAAATGTACAGAGCTATAGAAAGTTTGGCTTTGAAAACATGGCAATCACAATTTGTAGGAAAAGGAATAGACTCTGCTGGATTAGATCAGTTAAACTACACCAAAATTAAAATTACCAGCATAAAACGATTGGAAAATCCACATCTCTTAGAGGAATATTGGAAGCACAGAGAAAAGATCTTTTTAAAAGCATCGCAAAAAGGTGCGTTGAAATCACTTCAACAAATCTCACAAGCCAAGAATGGTGAAGTGTTGACAACAAAGATGGCCGATCTTTCACTGAAGACAGAGATTTATCCAGGTATTAATGAGCATTATCTGTTTCATGGGACCCAGCCAACAATCATTAAGAATATCCTGACCCAGGGACTGGATGGGAGGGTTGCTAATAATCCTGTGTTTGGAAATGGAGTGTACTGTGCAGAGAGTTCTACCAAGTCAGACCAATATGCAGGTATACAGTAATAGTAGATTCTAAAGCTGCCTCAAGTTAACATTATAAATTCTTCTGTTTCTAAATTAAAATGTTCATTGTTTCTGCTGCAGACTCATCATTTTGACCTATTAGTGGGTATGTAAGTTAATTCATAAGTGAATAGAGAAATTATACTGTAAAATCATTACCGGGTATATTTCGTGAAGTTCAATTTTATTTTCATGGAAAATCCTTACCTTAAATTTTCCTTTATGAAAAAAAGAATTAAACTATTTCCCTCATAAACTTACGTGGACTTATAATAAATTCTACATGTAATTGTCTGCTAGATTTGACACCTTCAACTAAAATAATTCCCAAATATATTTTTCTACCTAAAATAAAAAAAAATGGCTCATAATTTTGTCACAGAAAAATCAAGTCTCAGCTTGGACCTAAACCCAGGGCCTCTGGGATACCATGCTAGTGCTCTAACCACTGAGCTACCTTAAGACCTGATAAGTTGACCGACTTTCATACATCTCCTAACCCAATGACATATCCCCCCTCTAGGCTGAAATTCATCCTTGAATTCAATGAATTAAGGAAATGCTGTAAAGCATTTTCTTAGGGAATAAGTGGATATTTTAACTTCGGGCATCACAAGTGGTGAAAAAATTAAGTCTAAAACAGGACTTGAACCCTGGGCCTCTGGCATACTGTGCCAGAGCTCTATAATCACTCAGCTATTGAGACCCAGTATTTTGACTGACTTTCACACAACTGTTTACCTGCAGGTGATAAATTGAAGGAATTTTATTGCTGAGAGAAACTTTACCAAATTCAGCTTGTTCTGATTGAGTGATAATTTACCATGATGAATAATAACTACAAATCTTACTATGAAATTCTCTCTCAAAATGCAATTCCTCTTGCAGTTTTAGTTCAATTTAAATAAAAGTTGGTACGAAAGTAAATTCACTATGATACCTATATAAAATTCTGTTAATTATAGAATTAAATTATTAATCTCATCAGTTTGGGTAATTGCATGGCCATACCATCCTAATTTTTTTTTTAAATTTTCAAAAACCTAGATCCAAAACAGAACAGGGATTTACAGGAGAAACAGATGTTGTTAGTTAGAGCTTGTCTAGGAGAGATATTTGTCAGGACCGACACTACAACTAAGTACAGCTACACCAGACCTCCCTGCCAGCGCTGCTATAAGGACAGGTGCACTGATGCTACCCATAGTTCTCAATTCTTTGACTCCATTGTTGTGGACGGTGGCTGGAACTTCAGAGAGTTTATTTTATATGATAACAAAGCTTGTTATCCTGAATATTTGATTTCATACAAGAGAATTTAAATGTATTGAAACAATTAACATTTGATTTTTAATTACCAAACAGTTTTATAAGTATACAGGGTTATTTTCGCCCTGTTATTTTTGCCCTGTGTTATTTTCACCCTTTTACATTGCAAATAATTTTGCCCATTTTAAATTTGCCCAGTCACAGTTCTATTTAAGAAATTATACTGTGTTTTTTTTTAATTTGCCATCTGCGAGTAGGTAGAAAGGGGCGAAAATGAAATGGGGGCGAAAATTTTCCTGTATATTTCCCAGTATATATAATATAATATAACAATATTCAAGTCAACAGTTTTGTGGAAGGTCACACTGCTTTTCAGGGTGCTTTATCAACTTTTAAGCTTCCTATTATTACAGTAAAACACACTTTTAATGAAGAGCCTGTGACGGTCGATTTTACTTCATTATAAATGTAATTCATAATATATATAACTTCACAGTATATTTTAAAGTCGACACTTCCCTGTAAGCGTCAGTTCACTTTAAGCATGTTTGCTACATGTATTAGCAGGTTTTACTGTATTTACTGTTTATATGCTCTCTATATATTTTGTATCCTCTGTCCTAAATATATTATTTTCAATTTAGCTTTTTTTGCTTAAATTCTTGTTTATTATTATATATTCATTAAGAAGTAACCTGATGAAGGTGAAAACTAGTTATGGATAAAAATCTGGTTTTTCAGTAAAATTTTGTTAAGGAATCTTTTATGTATACACTATTCTTATAAGTCCTGTTATATCCTTGTTGAAAATAGATTGATTTTACAAATATGTATTAAAAACATTTTTGATTTCAAAAGTATTATTTTCAGCATTTTAATTATATACATGTACTAGCATTTAGTCCAAGGAGGAATGCAACGTACACCAAAATTTTTTTAATGGATCTTTAAAATTCCTTTTTAAATATGGTTTCAGCATGGAAAGGTTGATAGTTAACTCTTAATTATTATATTTTGTATGGTTTTTTTTTTTTTAATTTTTTCCAAAGAAAATGTAAAAAAAAAAAATTATTAGCAAATATGATGCTTTAATTATCATTTAAAATTTGCTGTTAATAAATGCATAATATCTTACTAAAAACATTTCAAGAAAAGTCTGCAGATACACAATTGAATTTTTTTAATAATATATAATTATAAAAGAAATATATATAATTTGTTAAATTTTTTTATACCTGTATATGGATTAAATCTCCAAGAAAAAAGTCTTCTACAGAGAAGAAATATCAGGTAAATGTATTTTATAAAGGAAATGAAATGGTGAAATTTAAAGCTATATATACATATCTGAGCTTAAAAAAATAAAAATACGAGATTGAGTGTAGATAAACATGATACCGGTACGTATATGTTATTTACATTCAAATTAAAATTTTCACTGATTTGAACTTGAATAACTTCATGTTTTCATAGTTAAATTGATTTTAAACTGTGTCTGTTAATTAAATGCGGAGTCGGTATAAATAAATCAGTTATTAAATTGTTTTAAATTTCTAATATCTTTGAAACGAGATTGATTTAAATTGTGTAATTTACAGGAAAGTTCTAGCTTTATATAAAGTAATAAAACAAATAGAAGATCTTTTTAATTTTAGTTAGTCTGAACTTATGAAAAATATGCCATATATGACTTTAAAAAATATTGCTAATTTTCAAATTTGGATCAAAACCCATCAAAATTAAACTGATCCCAACCCAAATTATAGAAAATGGAAATCTAGAGTACTAGATTGCTTGGGTGTAATATGGTTTAAAGTATGATTGAACTTATCAATCATATGGATATTTTAGTATGTAGAAACTACATGAGAATGATTTTGTACTGATTTTGACTGGGATCTATTTATTTTCAATCAGGATTGTTCAGATTTAAAAATTAGCAATTTTTCAAAAGTGACAAAAATTCATTTCAATTAGTTTCTTATTAAAATATAAGTGTGTACTGTATCATATCTTTCCTACTAATGACTTTTTTCTTTAAAGGTGCTTAGACACAGATTTGAAGTTAATATTTTCTCAAATTTTCTGTATTATAATATCACGACTTATATATTGCAATAGCATTTCACACGAAAATATAATTAAAAACTTATTTTATCTAGAAATTATTGGAACTACGAATTCCTAGACGTGTTTGATTAGCACATCATTGCACTTTCACAAATTTTATCTTTATCCCTAATATTTAAGAAAAGAAGCGATTTTGTTGTGTATTAATGAAAAACATTACATCTATAATTCAGAAAATTCAGAGTAGAAATGTGCGAAAGCAAACCCTCTCACTAATATCGTCAGTCCGTGCTCAGTGTTGTTTACAGAGTTTAACAAATTGAATACAACCGTGAAACGTAAACTGTTTTTGTAAACAGGGCACGAGCTCTGTTATTGTTAATGTTTACCATTCACCAGGTGTGTTCAATTGTTAAAGTCTGCACACACCACTGAGCATGGACTAACAATACTGTGAGTGGGTTTTGCTTTCGAACATTTCTACTCTGAATTTTCTGGATTATAGTTCTAATATTTTTCATTAATACACAACAAAATTGCCACTTTTATTAAGTATTAAGAATAAAATTAAAATTTGTGAAAGTCCAAGGATGTGTCAATCAAACGCGTCCAGAAATTTGAAGTTTCAATAACTCCGAGATGAAATAAGATTTTTATTTTATTTTAGTATGAAATGCTATAGCAACATATAAGTCATGAAATTATACAGAAAATTTGAGAAAATATTAACTTCAAATCTGTGTCCAAGCACCTTTAAAGGTGCTTAGACACAGATTTGAAGTTAACATTTTCTCAAAATTTCTGTATAATATCACGACTTATATATTGCAATAGCATTTCACACGAAAATATAATTAAAAACTTATTTTATCTGGAAATTATTGGAACTATGAATTCCTGGACGCGTTTGATTAACACATCCTTGCACTTTCACAAATTTTATTTTTATCCTTAATATTTAAGAAAAGAAGCGATTTTGTTATGTATTAATGAAAAACATTACATCTATAATCCAGAAAATTCAGAGTAGAAATGTGCGAAAGCAAACCCCCTCACTAATATCGTCAGCCCGTGCTCAGTGTTGTGTACAGAGTTTAACAAATTGAATACACCCGTGAAACGTAAACTGTTTCTGTAAACAGGGCACGAGCTCTGTTATTGTTAATGTTTACGATTCACCGGGTGAGTTCAATTGTTAAAGTCTGCACACACCACTGAGCACGGACTGACAATACTGTGAGTGGGTTTTGCTTTCGAACATTTCTACTCTGAATTTTCTGGGTTATAGTTTTAATACTTTTCATTTATACACAACAAAACTGCCACTTCTCTTAAGTATTAAGAATAAAATTAAAAATTGTGAAAGTGCAAGGATGTGTCAATCAAACGCGTCCAGAAATTTGAAGTTTCAATAACTTCGAGATGAAATAAGATTTTTATTATATTTTAGTATGAAATGCTATAGCAACATATAAGTCATGAAATTATACAGAAAATCTGAGAAAATATTAACTTCAAATCTGTGTCCAAGCACCTTTAAGATTTTATCAGCAGGTTTAAGAAATATTAACAAATGATGTTAAATAATTGAACTCAAAATGGCCATACATGTATCTGACCTTTCTTGACATGTGTTTTAATTATTAGATATTTATATTATACATTTATTAATATGGAAAATTTTAAACCTAAAACTGTACATCTATTTTCAAATAAAACAAATTTTACATTAATTTTCTCTGAAAGATAAATCCCCAAAAATTCAAATAAATCTTTCCATGCTAAAACCAAAAAAATTAAATGAATCTTTCCATGCTAAAAAAAAGTAATAAAATTAAAAAAAAAAATAATAAATAAAATTTTGTGTTAAGCATTCTTCCTTAAATATTTTTAAGGGTAAACATATACACTTTCATTGGTACATGTATCTGTGATATGATTCGCTGCATTGTACATACATATTCCTTTTTGTGTTCACATCTGTGATACTTACATATACTCATTCTGTTATAAATAAAACTCATTCTTGCCTTTGATTTTAATCATTGTTGTCATGTAACAAATTACAATGCAATATAAGTATTGCATGCCATTGCATTATTGCTTTATGTCTGTTTCCTCTTAATGGCTCTTAATATGAAAAATTATTATAAATACTGTAAAATTTGTTCTTTTTTTAAAAAAAGAAACAAAGAAGTAAACAATGATATATATATATATATCATTAATATATAGGAATCCTTTGTTGAAAAAAATTTAATACATCAGCTCAATATTTACACCTTTACACACTAATTTTCTCAATGTCCAAAATATCTTAATATCTTTTCCTTTAGTATAAAGAGGGTTTTGAGAAAATCAGAGGACTGGTACAAAATGTATGAAAGTCTTGTTGAAAAAGCCTGGATCCGCCATCGGAAAGAAGGACCATTCATTATTTCAATAAATGTTGTAATTTTGCATGCGTAAATTAAACTTACTATACGAACGTCTACGCCCCTCAGATATTAGTAAAACGAACTAATATAGTATAAGATTTATTTTACACCTATAAACTTATCTATATTTTATTTTGTATACGTTTTTTAATGGTTTACCCATAATGAAAATAATGACAACTCCCTCATACCTGCCTCAGGTGTGACGATTTTAAAACGAGACGGAAGACAACAAACATGGCGTGCATACACAGATTCCTCTGTTGGAATCTCCGAACAGCATGTTTTGTTTTCTATATTTTAATTGTGGTAAGTTTATTTTGTTTTGATTATAATTATACAGTAATCTGGGAAATGAAATATTTCGAAAACTTTCAGATCTACTTGAAAAACGTTTAGATCTATGCTACTTTAAATTTCTCTTTCACTTCCGGTATTTTTCATTCAGAATCTAAGTTATTATAATTAAAATTATTTTATCGAGAAAACAAAGACTCAACAATTTTATTCAGGGGGCCTTTTTACATAAGAACTTACGACAAAGACCGAAAACTTTAGTTGATTGTAAATGTTTTCAAAATTAATTATTCTGTTTGAAATTGATAGCATAAAAATATCTTGATGAGTTCTTTTTAAAAATGGCAAAATCATTTTCAAATTAATGTAAAATAGAAAATTAAAAGCAGAATCAAATTTTGGTCTTAGTTCTAAGTTCTTTTGTAAAACGGACCCCTGATGAAGTGAGAATCATACATGTACTGTACTAGTCACAGGTACTTGGGTCTTGGTTTATAAATATGTATGTACCTTTTGTTACATATCAATAAGGTACATACATATTTATAAACCAAGACCCAAGTACCTGTGGTACTAGTTAGAATAATCTAACTGTGTCTCGGAACAAGCCCTCACCACAGTTAGAATACGTCCCATATACTTGCTATGTAGCAAATCGGAGTGGATCCACTCCGAAATGATTTTGAAGAATACAAAAGGAGTTGCACTGAAAATAACTACCAAATTAATCATAACAAACCTTTTTGAGATTGTATATGCCTTTTAACCTAAAAAATAATCCATATAAATACAAAAATTCAACGTTTTTTCCTCGCTTCAAATTTAATGCCATGTTGACATTTGGAACTCTCTGGATTGTTCATAGAAAATGCACAGAGTTCAAGTTATCGCCCGTGTTTATTTTGCAACATTGCCAATACACGGAACGAATTCTATCATTAAACCGTGTCCATAGGACATATCATTTTAACGATAGAACATTCTATATAGAACTGTACCAATGGTTACAATGTTAATCAAGAAAAAAACAATCTTGCAATGTAGACTTAATTAAATTACATCATTGAAGTTTAAGCTTAATACTTGTAGTTTGTGTAATTCTTAAGTATAAAGATATATATACTGCTGCTTAAACTAGTTCTGTTCATTGAAGGACACATATACACATCGTCGCAAACCACAGCCAAAATGTACGATCCTCTCCCATTCTGGCCGTGGTTGAATGAGAAAAGAATATTTCACAGCTCATTGAAATATTGACCAATGCGAGTAAAGCATAGTCGGATAATGAACTTTGACGCGACCTAGCTTTCAATACCCAATCGCAGTATACAAAACATTTCTTGTATACTGTGTTGATGTCAGTTGTTGATTTCAGTTGCGATGGAAACAAATATTGTCATTGGCTGAACATGACGTCACAATAAAGAGGCGTAAATATTCAAGATTACGACACTTTTTGTGATCAAGCAGCCAGGGGTATGAGAGAGAGCTATATGCGGACTCCGGACTGTGGCTTGAGACGATGACGTATACCATGCATAGTTTAATTGGCTTTTCTATAATTGCATAAAATTATGCTTAAATTTAATTGTGTGAATATCTACATCTGTAGATCTTAGGACAATATTAGGGCAAAGTTATTGACTTTTGATGATCAAGGTTTTACTTCAGTGACTATATGGACCTGGTTATAGGTATTGGTTGAACGAGGCCTCAAAGGCCGAGGTTAACCAAAAGCTGACCAGGTCTGTATAAATAATCATGAGTAGACCGAATTCGAAAGTCAATAACTGTTTTGTTAAATAATTAGGAATTTTACAGCATATTTAACACTTTACCCTGTAGTTCTAAATGTTAAATAACCTCTCATAATGTGTTCTGTAGTGTAACAACACATTTAACATAATTATTTTTCAACAGTTTAACATAACTGTTAAAAAGTGGAAAACGTACAATATATTATAAAACTAATAAAGGAGTTTAGTCTCTTTGGTACTGGCATATCTGCCATGTTTACATTCACAATGATACAATATGCTTTAAAACGTGCAATTTGATCATTCCAAAGCAATGTAAGCAAATCTACAGTTGGTCTCCAACTCCAATAACCCTCCAGGAACTTCAATCCTTTTGAGGTAAGCTCACACTGAGGTACACCCGAGGAAAGGGAGTCTAGACCTGCAATCAGCATCAAAATCCCTGATCATTAAATTTCATAAACATGTAATATTTGCATTTTGCAGGTAAAGCTGACTATTTCCATTTATTTTAGTTTACAGCCACATTTGCCCTAACGCTTCGCCTTGTGGACCTGATAGCCACGGGAACAGACTTTGAAATCAGCATGGGATTTAAAACACTGTGGCGAGCTCATTTTTGGCAAAGTAAGTGCAATGGAGATCTTGATCAGGCTCAGGGCATCAGGGTTCTGGAAAGGGAGGAGTATGGTACCTCCTTATAACCAAAGCAAGAATTAAAAAAAAAAAGTGATGGTTATAAAAAACATCAATTTGGTGGGTTTTGGTGCATAAGCTGAGAGTCATTTATATTCTTAAGTTACAAACTGTTAGCAGATCTACTGTCAGATTAATAATGGTTTAAATTTTATTTCAAAAATTATATTTTTTGATTTTTTTTTTTATAAGGGGTGAGTCACATGAGCTTTAATGTAAAAAAAAACCAACAATTTACTTATACTGACTTCAAAATGGGGATTGAAGACTCTAGAAAGTGTATAAACAGCACAATGTAAAGCAAATGCAAATATATTGTATACTGTATAAGCACAAATTTTCGTGGGGATAAAATTTCGTTGATTTGTCATCTAAAAAGGTTACGTGAGGATTTAATTTCGTTGTTTCGAAAGTAATCCTATTCAATATATAGTCTTATAAAATTTCGTGTGGGATTTAATTTTGTTGATAATTGTTAACAACGAAATTAACGAGATTTAATCCCCAAGGAATATATTTCTGCATTTACAGTATACGTCATACAGGAAGCATGTTGGAATAAAATTATCATGCCACCTAAAATGACAGCTTCTAGTATTTGTACAGTATATATACAGTCAAACCTTGTTATCCTGAACTCGATGGGACCGAGATAAAACTGAGAGATATCAAAGAATTTGAGATATTGAGGGTAAAATACTTAAAAGTTGTGAGGAATGTTTTGTTTAGAACTCCACAGTAGTAAAGAATATATTAGAAAAATAAATTAAGAATATTCTGAGATGGCACTTTAAAATATGGAGATTAACTTAAGAAAATAGTGTACTTTTTTGTCCACAATAAACACATTTATACACTTTTTATGAATGCATGGAACTGTAGCTCTCTGGTTGTCTGTCTGGTTATTTTTAGAACAGATGGTGAGCTACATATCTGCAGCTGTAAAATTAGGTGGCTCCATTTTTCATAACATATTTTCCCTCTTTTTCAGGTTTTTTGGCGAGCGACATAGTCCTCACTTTTGGCCATGTGGTAATCATTCTCTACAGTGGTTTCATGATTCTACAAGTGATGGAAAGGGTATGTTTTGTCATGAATACAGAAATACAGATGTCTTATACATTTTCTTTCTTGTCAGTCTATTTTACTTTTATTTTCCAAATAAATATATAAGTTAACTAAAAATGAAACCTGATATTACAAATTATAATAAGAAAACTGTGCACCATTCATTTTGAATGGTGGAATAAAAATATCAATTTCATATTAATTTAAATTTAATACATGACACAAATGTTTTATACTTTCCTCACAATATGATCATTTTTAAATTTTGATTTGACTTTTTTTCAGCATTTTGTGATGTACATGAGAGCCCACAAAATTTACATCATTTGTTTCATCATATACATCTTAGTGGAGTTTGCCTTCTCTGTTTTCGAGTACTCATTCTACGCCATGAACACATTTGTAAGTAAATCAAAGTGTTTTCTTTGAAATTAATCAGCATTATAATAATGTAAAAAAATAATGACATGCAGGAATATATCTTTGAATGTTTCCAAAAATTTGCTTAATAGATTCATTCATATTTGTTGTATTGAAGATTGGGACAATAGTTTGTTGATTTATGATCAAAACCATTATAATAGCTTTACGTGCATTTTTATTTCATGATCCCAGACATTATTGCATTGACCTACAGATATACTGCATGGGTATACCGTATAAACTTAATTTTGCCAATGTATGGCTGTGTTTATTATGTTGAAATGAGACTCAGAGACTTATTTACATGTATTTCACTGAAGCCCCTAACAAGGGGTATATCAATTCAGTAAAATTTTAACAATTGAACTGTCAACAAAGCAACATGTAAACACTGAACAATTAACAAAATGAAAAACTGAAAGATCTATGAAATTCAGTTTGACATTTTGCAACATTACTCTCAATGCCTGCTGGAAGAGTTATCTCCCTTGTCACAGTGTTCATCAGCAATCCTAATAAAATTATATTTTTATTTTAGAGGCTGTCTTTCGTGGTGTTTACATGGTTGTTCTGGGTGTTCAGGACACTTCTAAATGTAAGATTCTCATAGCAAAAATACAGCTACTTTTTCTTGTTTGTGGTTAGTTTGTTTGCAAGATAATCAGGGGGAAAAATGGATTCTTTAAATATCATTTTGATTTTTTGTCAGGTGACTTTCGTTGTGGTGTTGGTGGCCAGAAAACAGGAAATGAACGAGCAGATGGAGATGGAACTCCGATTTGCAGGGGAGTCCAAGCGAGGTTATTACTGAGGTCAAAAGATCAAACAGCTGTTACATAGCATCCATTTCCTCATTGTGCCATCTTTAGATAAGCACATTAGTGACATATCATCCAAAAAAGATGAATCTCCATAGAAAAAGAAATGAACATTGCATGGTTTAAATTGGAAGTACTTTGGTGGTACATGTTTTTATTTATTTAAAAAAAGAAATTTGCATTATTTCTTGAAATTCTGACTGTGACAAAGTGTTTTGCAAATTATGATGCATTGTAATTGACTAATTGTAAATGTGACACATGGAAAATATTTAAACAAAAAGCCTTTTGTCTTTTACCTTATGTTAACTGAATCAGCATTATGAAATACCAAACAAACATTTCCACCAACAAAGTTTATCTTTAATGAAAAGTGATGTTATTAATTATTTTAGGCTATGTTTTTGTCCATATTTATGACAAAGATGTGTGATATCATGGTTTCATGTATGTAGTACATTCATTTCAACTGTATGACATTAATTTCTAAGACACTTTTACTGTAGCCAGAAATACTGCAATCGAGATCTTTCACATAGACTAGAACATTTGATTGACATGTAAATATTACATCATTGTATTATTTCCATTATATGTACATATATACCTATTACATGTATTACATTCATATTTTTTAATCTTTGAATAAATAATCCCATAAAATCAATTTTGTTTTGTGTTAGTTTCATGTAATTGTATATGTAGCTTTATTTGAGGGAGTTGAGGCAGAATGGAGATTGTAGTTTAATTACAGAACAGAAATCACATGATAGGTTTAACTTCATATAATACACAACCCCTTTGATAGAAAGAATATACAATGTGTTTTTTTTTTTTGATAAATGAAAGTTCATTTGGAATAATCCTTCTCCAATGTTTGATTTACATTGTTATAGTTTATATCCCGCAAGGGGAATATAATTAACTGGGTTTTAGGTAGGAAAAACCCAGTAATGGTGGGCAGGTGGGTGGGTGGCTGCCGAAGAGTACATCATTTGGTCAGATAACTCCTCCTACAGTTTTCAAGATAACTTTTTTTTATTCTGCAGATCAATTGTACATATACCAGAGATGTGCATAGTATTTGGATTTTGATTTTTAATAATTTATGAAAAATATACAAGCTGTTGAACTTGGTCATTTTTTGGCAACATATTGCATATAGGGTACCCATTTGTCTGGATAACTCCTCCAGTTTTCAAGATGGGAAGATCCTCTTTTGCAGATCAATTGTATATATATATAGTTGAACTTTGTTATCTCAAACACTGACATCTTGAATACCATGGATATGTCGAAGTGTTTTGAAAGTCCCAGCCACTTATTCTTTAAGTATTTTCCCCCTGGATATCTCGAATCCTCAGTTATCTCGAAGTTTTTTCTTGGTTCCATCAAGTTTGAGATAATGAGGTTTGACTGTATATCTGAGATGTGCATAGTACTTGGATTTTGATTTTTGATAAACAAGTTCCTGAACATAGTCGTTTAAGACAAAATATGTTCATAGGGTACATTGATATTGATGGGATGTCCCCCCCCCCCAGTTTTCAGAATAGAAAATGTAATAATTTATGTGAGAAACACAAAAGAAAACCCAGTTTGCCATCACATTGACAGCTTTAATTCCTTTGTTTTTGATTTCGTTTGGTTTAAGGATATCGGATGCTCCAAAAAAGTTACATGTATAGAAATCTGTAAAACAGATTGTGTGGGTATAATTATTGGTGAAACACATATTTATAACATTTCCCTATCAAACTAGGCTTATTCTTCGAAAATCTATACTTTTATATCTAATATTCAAATTCAATTTAAAAACATACACAAAATATATGTAAAACACATTCACTCTAATTGTTAAAAGTTAAACAAAATGTGTTTGCGAAACACTGATGCCCCCGTATGGCAGCTTATGGCGAAGGTTAAAGTTTCTCAAATGCAAGTCAAACTCCAAGTCAAGAGATCAAAAATGTTGGTACCCAAAGAAAGGCCTTGTCTCGAGGAATATACCTGTGAAATTTAAAAGCCCTAGCACCAACTGTTCAAAAGTTATGGCCAAGGTTAAAGTTTTTCAAAAGTAGTCAAACTCCTAGGTCAAGGTCAAAGATGTTGGTGTCCAAAGGAAGTTATTGCTACAAGGATTACATATTATATGTATGAAAACCCTAACACCAATTGTTCAAAAACTTTTGAAAAACTTTTAACATTTCTATTCAATAGTTGCTGCAAGGCTTTCATATTTCAAAGGTATATTCCTCAAGACAAGACCTTACTATGGGTACCAACATATTTGATTTGCATTTGGGAAAGTTTTACTTTTGTTATAAGTTGCAATATGGGGGCATCAGAGTTTCACAAACACATATTGTTATTTTTAAGTTCTGAGGGCATATCACTGCCTAAATTTTACCACTGAATTAGAACTCTTTAGTATGCAGTATATAGAGCTTTCTTAACCTTTATAAATCACTTGAATTCACTATCGCCCTCCAAAAGCAGAATCTAATTGTTATGATTTAAGATCCATTTTTCACATATTATAGGCCGAGGCGTAGCTTAATGGATAGAATGCAGCCATGACATTGGCTCGTTGATAACCAAATCTGTCCATAGTCACAGAAGAATCTTAATTCAAACTTTTGCATTGTTGAAATAAGACAATTAGAGTGTACCCTTTACTGAGTTAGCAAGATAATCAGATCCATTTTCTTTGGTTTCGTCTCAGAAACAAGAATATTGCAAACTCCCTAATTTATACAATTTAACTACATGCGTAATAATGTCTGATGTTGACCACATATAAATCATGTTCATTTTGAATTAATGATATCCCAAAACGGGGACATTTTGTTCCTTTTGCAGAACATGCTTTTAGATTAATTAAATGCATCTTATCAGAGAAGAACAATTTATGAAGATTATGTAAACAAAAACTGTAGAATAAAATTCCACGGCCCTTTGAACAGAACATATTACGTTCTCCCCCACTTTCAGGAGAACACAGTATATCATAGTGATAGCGAAGGGGATTGTAATCCTCATCTGTCAAGGAAAAGATATGAATCACTCCAAAAGATAATTAAACTGTTTCAAATAACCAATATATGATCATTTCAAAGACTCTAAAAGGGGTACGAGCTGTCAGAATTTTGAAGTGTTTTAATATAACATTATTAAATTGGGTATTTGCATGCGTTTAATGCCAGTATTGTTGAAAAATCCTTCTACAAGGCAAACGACTTCCAAAAGATTGTGTGATACTTCCAATGCGTTATATTTTTGCGTTACTATTAGGCATTTGTTGCCTGAACGCATGTCTGGCTAACGAACAGCAATGTTTGGCAATGCACGGTTTCCAGAACACATACGAAGCCGTCCGCCAAAAGGCCGAGGAAATGGCTACACTGGTACAAACTTTGAAGGCACAACTGGACAACTCCATTGAGCTTAACTGTGGCGATATTGGTGCAAATGGTGAGATTGATAACGATAATGTACTAAGTGTATTTTTCATTGATTGATTATTTCTCATAATACATGTATAAATGTCTTTAAATATATGCTAACCAAATTAAAGTTGCACAAAACCTGTACACATTCAATTTGACCCACTGCGATTTTGAGGACGGAAGTCAGATGTGTAACTTTACCCAGAATAGAGATGATAACTACGACTGGGTACTGGACAATACCCACCCAGACCACACCCTGGGCTCCAAAATGGGTGAGACATTACTTTATTAACTGTTTGTGCGGGGTTTCATATTTTAACATGTAAATAATTGTTTTAGAGCATGAAAGTATATTATACATGTACGAATATATTCTTTTTTTGTTTGTTGAATGATAAAAAATAAACGTGATAAATATTTAAAAAAATGAAATAATGTGAATAAGTGAGAGAAACAATTTTATTTATTCAAACATTTTTAACCACAATTTTTGGATTGTATCTTCATCCTATTCAATAAAAATTGATTCAAAATATGCATGATTTATTTTGTTTTATAAATAAAAAACGTTTATGATGCAGGTCATGCCTTAAGCTCTTACAGATACGGAAGTCGTTATGTAACGCGTATTACGTCAAGACCCTTCAATCCTGCACATGCATATTGCATACGTTTTTACTACAAGGCAGAAACTCGCCCAAATACCGGCGGAAAACTGAATGTTTATCTACAAGTAAAACTTTGATTCCTTAATGCTACTTGTAATATTTCGTATACAGCATTATATATCTTCAACATACACAGAGCAAATGCCGTTCTTTTCAACTTAATTAAATTAATTTGTAGGAGGGAAACCAGAGAGGCAATCCCGTGTTCTCGGTGACCAACATTCCAGCACACAATTGGACCCTGGCAGAATTCAGCCCTGATCCAGAATACCTAAGGAGGCCATTTCAGGTGAGTCACAATTACACAATTATATAGAAGCAGTTTGTACATATATGGTAAACCTGAAGCTGTTTTAATTTTGTTTTAATTTGCTGATGCCGACGATTTTGCAGATTGTATTTGAAGCTGATCACGTCAGCCAGTATGTCTATATAGATGACTTGAGTGTTTATAATGCACCCTGCACAACTGAAGGTAAATAAAGAGTAGCCTGACCAAATTTTAATCCTGTTGAGGAACTTCTGCGGCCCATTAATAGCACTGCAGGGAAAGACGAAACGAAAGTTTCAATATATATTGGTGAAGCTGATAGTTTGAAAGTCTGCGGCACATCATTAAATAACTAATTTTTTAGCCCTTGCAACCGAATGTATACATGTGTACTATATTTATAGTAATTGATTCGTTATTTAAACATTGCACTTCGCGAGGCGAGGGGATGTTCCGCTTAGTGAGGCATTTGCTGTTAAAATTTGATATTAAAAAGCTTTTTGGTGTGTATCCGAGTCATTAGATCATATAATATTAGATTATTGCATTTAACCGAAATTTTGTCCAGTCAAAAATCACTTTGTATACATTTTTCATTAACAGGTGTCCGATTTCCCCGTTGTCCAACAGGGTCTGTAGTGAAAAATGTTGGTGATAAGATAACATGCTATGTTTTCCACATGGAGCCAAAGACCTACAAAGATGCCATGAAGACATGTAAAACAATATGGCCTCTGGCGAGCCTTGTAGCCATCGAGTCTGCTGCGGAACAGACGTTCATAACTAACATGATCAACCAATCTAATGGTAAATACAATGTTGTAAACAAGATGAGAAATAAATAGTCCGTCATTATATAGTTCCATTTTCTACGTATGCAAATTCGCTCTAACGAGAGGTGATCTGAAATTTTACAAAAAGATATCTCATTATCAATCTGTTTTTTACATGTACGTAAATGAACTCCAGTTTTCACTGTTTTAGCCATGTCGCTTGCCGCAGATTTTGGTTTGTGGACGAATGGGAACGATATCGATCAAGAAAATACATTCACGTGGAGTGGACAGTCCCACCCAATTACTTTCAACTACACCCACTGGCACCCAGGACAACCCAATAATGTGGCAGGGGATCAGGACTGTGTAGTTATAGAATATCCCAAGTCGGACTTTGAGTGGGGCGATGTATCGTGTTCAGAGCGCCATTCCTTCATCTGCGAAATGAATTTTGATAAATCTCAAGCGCATGTGCAGGGAAGTTTGAGCAATGGAGCCATAATTGGTTAGAAAAAAAATGCAAACATCTAAACTAGTTTCTTCTTGCATTGTAATCAATTCTGTTGTTTTGCTTTTAATATACAGTTTTTAGCGAGCTAAGATGTTGTACAATACTAGTGTCTTAGTTTTGGTTTTCCTTGTTTGAACACTAATTAACGATCTAAACAGTATTTGTATCTCTGTATGAATATCCTTTTAAAAATAATAGTAAAGAGATGCTATTGTTATATTTTGGTTAAAACAAAACAAAACAAACTGAGCCATATAATAAGTAACATTCTAGTTCTCTCTGACTCATATACATGTACTTCATAATTTTATCTCCGAGATAAATATCCAGGTACGTGTTATGTTATCAACCACACGATGTGTACAGGTAATTGTTTGGAAAGATGTTTATGTACACTAATAAATCTGCTCTGAATATTTATTTCTGTTAGATTTTGTTTACTAGTATATTTCAAGAATGTGTCTTGCATGTATCACTTTATTCTACTATCTTAATCCATTGTTAGGCTTTGATAGTTTTGCAATAATGTAATGCACGTGTACCATCACTTAATCCACCGTGAAAACTAGCACAATAATTGACACTATAATCATAGTATGTGGACAGTTTGGTGCAGCTTTGTCAGTCTAAAATTGTGTTCGTTTCACTCGTTGAACCCAAAAATCACGCTTTTTCAAATACCCAAGTGGCTTTCGTAAAAATTTTGATAACTTTGTAAACATCTTGTCAGACCTGAAGAACTGGACATTCAGGAATGCTGTTTTTTATCACTCGAGCGTTGGCCACCTTGAAAGAAAGTCTTCAGAATAGACGATATTGTTTATAGCAATAGCAAGCCATCATGAAAATATTTTTTGGATGCAGAAAAGTGGAGAAGGAAGTTGGGGTCAACGGACGGGAAACTCTGAATGTTGTGATCATCTCATTTAGTTTTTTCTTTGTGTTTACGGCATATCTAGCACTCCAGAATCTACAGAGCAGTCTAAACCAAGAGGAGGGACTGGGAATAACATCACTCTCCTTTCTCTATGGTTTCATAATCCTGTCGTCCATTCTGGCACCATGGGTCATAAAATCACTGGGAATCAAGATTTCTCTACTCATTTCATGGATCTCGCACATTCTCTACACTTGCGCCAATTTTTATCCAACGTTTGCCACGCTTCTTCCGGCATCTATTCTACTTGGACTGATTTCCGGACCTATGTGGACCTCCCAAAGTGTTTACATATCCACAAATGCGTACTCTTTCTCTGACCTGAATAAAGCCGACATTCACGCCACCCTCAGTCGTTTGAATGGGATTTTCTTTACCTATTACGAACTCACGCAGATCTCCGGAAACCTGGTGTCGTCTTTAGTGTTAAATAGAGACAAATACAACTCAACATCAGCATCAACACAGTTATGTGGTTGTAATGACTGTCCAGGTGTTGCCTTGGGAAATGGGACAAGTAAAATCGTAGAACCCTCTTCCTCCACGGTGTACCTTATGCTTTCAATTTTCTTAGCGTTTGATGTCGTTGGATTTTTGTGTACTGTGGTATTTTTACCTTCAATTCCAAAGAGTGAGTGGGCTGAGCAGTCCAATACAAAAGAATCAATTACAGCCTGTTTTTCAGCTTTGTGGGATCCCAAACTTGTCTTGCTCGTACCGTTTATTTCGATAATGGCAATGGAACAAGCCGTGCTGTGGACTGATTTTACCAAGGTTTGTATTTTATAATGAAAAATGTGAAGATAACAAACAGTGATCGATCCAGAAAAAACTACAAACAATACGAATCTGTGAACAGGACATAAAATACAGATCCCTGGATATTTCAGAGGTGGGATCAGGTGTCTAGGAGGAGTAAGCATATCCTCTCGACCGATCACATCCGCCGTGAGCACTGCATATTGACCAGGTAGACGGAATATTCCGTAGTCAAATTTATCATAAAACAAAGGTCTAACAATTGGTATGAAATATGTCAGCCAAAATACGTCCCTATGATAGGTTATATTTGCTAACAAGGTCATTATAACGACCATAGAATTTACAAAATATTGCTTTTAACGAGGTTGTTGAAACCCCTGTTAAATGAACGTATCTGACAGTAGTCTGCTTCGGTTTAAAAACTGATCGTTCTCCGAGCATGCTCTTGTATATTGAATAGATGAGAGTCATAAGCACCATGTGAAGGTGATAGCAGATGTTAATACTATATAAATAAGGAAACCTGACAATGGAAAAACTGAACTTGTTTCCTTTGTCTTTTATCTTAGTTTTTAGTTGGCCCTCAACGTCTACATGCAGTCATTAAAACATCCAAATTTGGAACAGATGTGGAAGACTCTGTGGTGACTTTTATTTGAGTTCTCCAAGGTATATCGAGTCGACATATGAATGGAAGTAACTATTGTTAATTGACCAAATGTTGTCAATATATATCTGAATGTGGAATGTTGTAGGCCACAGCAAGTGTTTTCTTCTCATGTAGAAGGTTTTGAATAATTTCTGCTGCATAGGAATAAAAAAAAACACAGGTTCGCTAATAAGGGGGCGCAATTAGTGCCCATCGAAATTCCAACAGTTTTTCGGAAGACCTGGTCTCCAAAGACTGCATAGATTTTGTCAATGAGGAACTCCAGCATCATTAAGTAGTACTTGTGCGTAGAAGCAGAGTAACCCATGTTTATTTTACTACATGTAGTTTTGTTAGCTCTAGAAATGGAGGCTAGTGTATCGAATTCATCAATCGTTGACCTTTACTTATGAAAATCTATAAGTTAGCATACTTTTTGTATTTAAGAGGGCTGGGTGGTTGTGGCCATTTTTAGACTATATTGATCTCCTTTAGAAGAAGAGCTCCATATAAAGATATACAAAAATGATCAAATTTAAAAACTAAAATGTATGAAATTTTTGTTTGCCAATTGATAGTTGACACCTTAAGATATCATATCTAAAAAATTAAGTTATATCTGATGGTTAATTTGTTGACCCCCAAGCCTCCTTAAGACAACACTGGATGCTTGTTTTTATTGCAAAAATGTCTTTGTTTTTCAGTCTTACATAAGTTGTCCTTATGGCATACAAATGGTAGGTTTTGTTATGGCGAGTTATGGCTGTGCTACCACCGTAAGTGCCTTTGTGACGTCAAGGATAGCTAAGTACACCGGGCGATATATTCTTTTTGGCCTAGCAGTTTGCATTGACATGACTATCTTTGTCCTATTGTTTGTCTGGGTACCCAAACCAGACCAGAAAGTGTACGTTTTTGCTATTGCTGTAGTCTGGGGCCTAGCAGAAGGTATATTTCAAACTCAATCAAACGGTACGTATAAAATAAGTGTTTTGTACATTTACAGCTTTATTATATTTTAAGGTATTCAATGTATAACGACCATAATTTGTACTTAATAAACGAATAGTTCAATATTTTTAATCATGATAGCATTTTGAAGGTGTTAAAAAATACTATCAAATACTACCAAATAATTTACGAAATTTTGATTATCGTCCAATAATTAGTTGCACCTTGAATTTTACATTAAAGTCTGTGGGCAGCGCAAATATTATTAAAATATTTTAACAAGTAAATTGAACACAAATGTTTTGGTGAAAATATGCATATGCTCTCTCCTTTATAAGATATGAAATAAAAGAAATCATTTACCACACGTAAAATTTTCTTCTTTTTATCAAGACATATAACTTCAAAAACGTCCACTTCTTATATGATATCAATCGTGTGAATTATGTTCATTTCACTTTCATCGTTATCTATCAATACATATTTAATAGCGATTCTCTGTAACCACTTAAACTTCTTTGCCACGCATGGTCACCGATTTTGAAGAAACTTTGCCCTTTATTACAACTTGACACCAGAAACATATATCAAATAAAATTTCGTTGCTATGTGTCTTGGTTGCCATGGTAACAGCCAGAAAAGTTGAAAAAATTGAGATTTTCAGCTACTTTAAATCTTCATTAAGCCTTAATAAAGACTAAGAAAACCAAACAAACCATTCTCCCAGAAACATGACACCTTGTTGCCACTTATGCTATAAAAAAACTATTTAGAATTTATCTCTAAGTAAGTGGTAACCATGGGTACATTTGGAATACATTTTAGATGCTGAAAAATGCTGAAAAACGCTCTATAGTCACAAATGATAGATGTTACATGATCAAACTCAATCAACAACGTAAGAAAAATAATGAAAAATATTTGACCTCATATAATTAGGTATTGGTAATATTATTCTAAAAATAACTTTCATGGTTGCCATGGTAACACAGTGTCACCATGCAAAATCTGTTGCTATGATTGGGTTAATGCTACTATCGTGAGGAAAAACAATAAAATTCATGACTGGCACATATGCATCCTTAGGACCTTGCAACACCGACAACATAAGAAAAATTGAGAATAATTGTTACTTTGCAGTGTAACCATGGAAACAACGTACTAGTTGTTTAAAGTGATATTTTTTTTGCTGCTTTAGGAATTTACTAACCTTTTAATCAAGAAAATATTATTTGAATCACCTTGAATAGTACTTATCTCGTAGAACTAAAGTTGAATATCATATATTGATAAAGGTTGTTGAAAAATACAACACTGTTGCTATGGTTACCAAGAAGTGAAAATGTTCGATTTTGTTAATTTTTTGTCAGTATTAGACCCTATGTGCCAGCTTTTTGCATGCAGTTAGAGATTGGGTGATAGTCAAAATTGAAAGTCAGGTTATTTGTTCACATATATCAATCATTAAAGTTTTGGGAATCTACATACAACGGTACGTATGCAAGGAAACAGAGTATTTTTCAGATTTTTATGCATGTTTTTTCGCCTTATTCCCATAGCAACGCACTATTTAAAGGATAGAAGTTGAATTTTTTGAAATGTGAAAATTAGGGTCACACCAAGGCCTTTAAAAATTGATCATCAGTTATATAGAAATATGCTTTTTAAAAAGATAGGATAAGATTAAAACAATAAGAGAGTAAATTTAAAATCCCTTCGTGGTATTAAAACCATGGCAACCATTGCCAACCTATAAGAAATATCATATTTTGTCCTTGGTATATGTTACAAGGATCTCTTCTCTATTATTTGCTTGCATTTCAACCTATAATTGATTTTATTCTCAAGTGTATGACTTTATAAAATTAAATGAACAAAATTATTACTTTTGAATACATTGTTTCCATAGTAACGTATGTTATAGATGATTTACCAAACATGTTTATCATGCATTTAAGACACCAGGCCTTCAACTTTCAGAAACAGTCATTGCCACTTGTTTGCTTTGCTGCAAACGTTAACTGTGGGACTCTGAAGATGTTGAAAAATGCCATTTTTCAAACTTTAGGACATGTTGCTATGGTAACCAAGACACATAGCAACCAATTTTTGCCTGATTTGAGTTTATGGTGTCAAAGACTTTTATCATATAGAGTTTGGAGAAATTCTGAGACTATGCGTGCCACAGCTCCTATATAAAAGTTCAAGTCATTACAGAGAATGGCTCTTAACTAGTTTAAAATGATTTAAAATTGTTTCATATCCCTTCATTATACATTGACTACCTTAATATTTTAAACGTTGACAAGGGTTGTCATTTTCATGGATTTAGGATCAAAGTGCCGCATATATATTTTCTCACTTGAATTTTTATTTAGAAACATATCCATTCACTTTAATTTTGGAAAATTATTAAAAAGATTCCCTTTTATTTCTTTTCTAGCATTAATAGCGCTACTTTTTCCGGAGAAGACAGAAGCGGCCTTTGCAAACTATCATTGCACAAAGGCTGCCAGCTTTACTGTGTACTTCGTCATCAGTTTATACGTGTGCGTCAAAACCAAACTGGTCATTGTCATTGCTCTGCTTGCTGTTGGATCTTTATTGTATGTCGGTGTTGAAGTTCATGTACGTAGAAGAAAGGAAACCGAAAAGAAGTGATTTAAAAAGTTTGTTCAGAATAAATTCAAATATACTTCCATGAACTTTACCTCACAGCTTGTAAATTCATACATTTTACCCTTCTATTTGAAAAAGTAACTGATTGAATCCGATCTGTGAAACTGAACACACACACGTACACCCTCACACACACACACACACCCTCACACACACACACACACACACAAAAGGCAACAAAAATTTATACTGTTAAGGTGTAAGAACATAGTTTGATCGGATGAAGAAGGTAAATGTAAACTGTACAGGTATGATGAATAGACTTTAATGCCTTCATGTTAATATTTTGTATAATATAATTGATAATAATGATCTGTATTACAACCAGACAACAATGGTCCTTATATTAAAAACATATATAATGTATTCTGCACTTTACTTTATTTCACATTTAAATTTCGATGTTGCCAGAGAACTGGTTCTAGTTTCAGTAGTAACTATTTGAATGGTGGAGAATATACATGCATGATTTCTTCATTATTTAATAACGCAAATTAAATATCAAATACTGTATAAGAAACGGTCGACCAAATTCAAACTTTGTCCAAAAATGTATTGACCTACGAAGGCCCATCTTCATTGACCCTTTCAAATAATCTTATGCAAAACTTTTCGGATCGAATTAATCCTATACTATACAAAGCATTAGTAAGCGGCTTAAAATAAGTTATCATTGCTGGAACTGTAGCGAAATCAACACATATGAATTAAAATAACCGGTTATAATAAGAGGTGATGCATTCCTTGTTCAAACTATTGTGAAGTACACTTGACTATGTTTTAAAATGATGTCAAGTAAGTTTTTTTTTTATATTCTTTAAGTATTTTTAGACAATATTAGTTCATCTTCTCAAATTAAAAGCTGCAAAAAATGATTAAGATAATCTTTTCCCACATTTCTATAAAAATTCATTCGAAGTTTTATCCATCCTTCCAACACATGTTTCACAGATTTATGCTAAGGCCTTAAAAACGAATCGAACATGTTGTTGTTGGATAAGCTTACATATAAAAACATGAAGATAAATGGATTGTTTATCAGTACATCATGTTTGGAAGAAGAATATTTGAATCTAATAAAAGTAAATTAAAGGTACAGTTTTTTTTGTACATTTTTATAATTTATACATGCGTAAAAATACTTTACTACTATCTAGTTTCAACGGTCACTTTCATTGTGTTACCGCTAGCCTTAACTTACTAATACTTGCGAAGGTAACAGTGCAAAAGTTACTTTCCTCAATCCTTTACAAGAACTTTATTCAAACAAATTATGACACGAATATTGGGAATATTACTCAAACAATTAAAGACGTTCGATCCTGGGCTTTTCAGCAGATTTTTGTCTGGATCTCTATTTCTGCAAAATATTTGAATTCTTACATTAAATTTGGATTCTACAATGCCAATTAAACTATATTCAATTAAAATTCCACGATTTAATTCCTTACAAAAAGCATTAAGTGAGGAACTTTATTTTGTGGTGGATTTTTTTTAATATAAGAAAATGATAATTTTTCTCTTTTGTAGTATTTACAGTTCAGTTAAACTTGGATTACTTTTTTCCTATAAATTATTTTGTACAGTAAAATGTTTTAGGCTAATCCCAAATTATTTATTTATCTAATTAATTGTCATTAATTCTGTCATCATATTGTGACAAATAGAACAAAGATGTCGTGAAAGTCTAGGGAAAATAGCCTCAATTTAAGCTTACAAAATACACTACTTTAATAATATAGGTATTTACATCATAGACTCCACTTTTAATTTTCTCTTCGGAATATATAAGATAATTTTAACCATTCTGCATAATTTCAGTGAAAGCTTAATACATTATGATGATTTTATTGCTTGTTAAATTTTTAATGAAAAGAAAAATGATATTTTCTTAGTGCAGAAAGTCAAACAATTGACTTTGCTTAGTAATTTGAAACGTTTTTTTATTTTCACAAATTTTACATTTCCAAAGAAATATTCTATAGTTAAAATTACAAATGAAGTAAAAACATGCTTCTTAATGAAGAATTAAAACATAGAAAGCACTATTAATTAGATGTTCAGTAATGAATGCATGTGTGCATGTTTCCTTTATGCTTAAAAGGGAGAAAAAGTCATATACATGTATTCTTAAAAATATATGCACATTTTCCCCAAATTTGTAAGGTTGTAACCCCCTCTTTAAATTTATTATTTCCCTATGGGAAAAATTCCCTTCTGGCCATGTACTTTTTTCCTGTAAACAAATTAAGCGTTCTTGCTGTTTGATACGATGTTTAAAAATATAAAAGGGTTTTTAGGAAACAAGTGAAAAGAAATCTTTTTTCCTTTCACCGAAAATCCTCTTATAAGGATTCTATTTACATAATGCCTAATTATATGCATTGTAATGTAGAATGTTTAAAATTCATTACGATTTATAAATTTTATCTTTATAATGTTACATGGCTTGAGGAGGGCGGTATGCGCGACAGAGGCAACTTCGTAACAATTTTTAAGCACACATTTAACATGGCTCTCTTTTTTATTGAATGGCTCTATTGCTTAATTGAATGATTGTAATTTTCTCAGAAGCATGGCTAAGGCCTGTTATAAGGTGAACATTTACTCAAATTACACTGATGGCCCAAGGGTAAATCATTTAACACTATCCATTCAAAAACATTAAGTGTAAATCTATGGTTAGTAGAGTAAAACCATGCAACAAGTAAAGATTACATGTAGGTCTTATTAATGGTACGCATTTGAATAACGCACCAAACGAACATTCACATGCAATGAGAAAATATGACATACCGGGTAATGCGTAGAACAACGAGGGAGTCTTCATGCAAATGTATTTTTTCTAACATTCAACGCAACGACACGATGTCAGTACAACATATAATATCCAACTGGGATATTTCAAAGCTGACATATCATCTTCCTTGCATGCTAGTAAACATATAAGTATTGTTCTTCAAACATATAAAATTTTTCTTCATTAAATACGCAAACAAACCACGCAATAATCTAATTGTGAACTGGGAAGCAGTATTTTCTTTTGTTTGAAGTTATCGGCCTTAAAAAATTTAAATACTTTCATTATTTGCATAAATAAATAATTCTGCTAAATCAATTTTAAAGTAAAGAGATCAAGAATAAACATTTTATAATTTCTTTTAAGATAACGATAAGAATTTTCTCTTTATTTTAGAATAAGTATTTTTCCCATTAATTTTTATTGTAAATAAACTAGGAAACATCTATGTATTATGCATATATTAAATTTATTTCAAATGACAAAAGTGTAACTTAGTCAGATGGACAAGAAGTTAAAAAAGAGAGAGGGAGAAAATGGGGAGTGAGGGGGGTGGCGGGAGAGGGGAGGAGTGAGAGGGGAGGAGTGAGATGGTGGGGGGGGGGGGGGAGTGGATTGGTGAGAGTGCGAGAGACAGTAGAGTGGAAGGAGTGAGGGTGGCGAATAGAGGAAGAGTGGTGAGAAGGAAAGAGCTTGATGTATTGCAAGTTACTAATCAGTTCTCTACATGTTTTCCAGTATCTATGTATACCGCCGTGCAGTTCACAAGTCTACAAAAGTAAAGTCTACAATTTCATTGAATGTAAATTTTGATAATGAGAAATTATGGAGAGATAACACTTTTTGTTTGTTTGTTTGTTTATTTGTTGTTTAACGTCCCTATTTTTTTTTTTTTTTACCAAAATCAATAACATAAAAACGTAAAACTTTTCAACTTTACCATTCCCTACGATGAATTAAAGTCCAGGCTTTTTGACATCATTTACAGCCGCTTTTTCAACTTTTGACTTAAACTATGTGGTTTTTGGAGACCAGGTCTTCCAACAATCTGTTGGAATTCCCATGGGTACCAATTGCGCCCCGTTATTAGCAGACTTATTTTTGTATTCATATAAAGCAGAATTTATCAAAATCTTATACATCAGAAGAAGAAAACACTTGCTGTGGCCTTCATCTCAACATTGAGATATATCGAGGCATTTTATCAATTAACGATAGTATTTCCATTCATATGCCGACTTGATATATCCCATTGAGCTTGTAATTAAAGATACCACAAAGTCTGACATATCTGTTTCTTACTTGGATATTTTACTAGAAAAAGACGTTAATGGTAACCTAACAACAAAGCTTCATGATAAACGTGATGACTTTAACGTTTCAATTGTCAACTTTCCATTACCTATACCCTTATCACCTGCATACGAAGTTTTTATCTTTCAGTTGATTCGTTACGTAAGAGCATGCTCTAAGTATGAACAATTTCTAAAACGAGGTAAGTTATTGACAAACAAGTTGATGAAACAAGAATATCAACAGTCTCGTTTAAAGTCATCATTCTATGGTCGATACAATGACCTTGTCAGCAAAAAAATCTATTATTAAGTCAAATGCTAACTGACATAATTCATACTAATTGTTAGGCCATTATCTACACACTGAATAAACACACTAAATATTCCATTTACATCATAGAAGAGTTGAACACACACCATTTTTGGTTTACTTTTAATAAAAAAAAATAATTTAAAATTCAATAAATAAAATTAAAAATCAATGTAAGTTGAATTCATATGCAGGTATGAAATTGAATGGATATATATGGACTACATACTGGCCACGTTGACATAAAATCCTTAGAAAATAAGTTTTACTAAACACAAAACATGCTAGTTGTTAATATTAAACTGCATACATAATTTAGCAAATTAGTACTTCAGGGATTCAATGGTCTACATAATTCTGCAATGTATGAGTGTAACCAATGTTTCATCAAGCTCGAATGCCTGCGTCGCAAAAAAGAAAATTAATGGGGAGGAGGTTTGCCTATAAATCTTCATTTTGATGCGCTTTAAATTTTTTAAAATATAAAATAATGTATATAATATTTTTAAAGCAAAAGATATTTTTCAATTTGGAATTTTTATGTGTATTTGTAGAGTCATAGCATTGTTTTCCTCCCAAGTCTGAAAGACGC